TACAATCAAGGAGACAATGGCTGGTTCCACCGCAGGCATACGCCCCAGGCCAACCTTGTCAGCACCCTTGTTTCGGTCCAACAGGCATGTAGCTCCTCGACATACTCAGCCGAAGGAGGAACAGAAAACCCAGAGGATGCAGACTGCCGGCAAAAGAAGGCACTCGAGGCCCCCGCTTCGTTCTGAGGTACATCCAGCTTCAAATTCAAGTGCGGATCGCCGCAGTCACAGGCTCATCGGAAACCAACTAAGACCCAACAGAGCCCACCAAACCAGACTCCTCTTCGAGGAGGTTCTTCACCCCGGGCACCCTCGCGCTTGCGACTAGGCCGGTCGGTCAACCAACAGAGCCAATTCTTGGTCCGCAGAATCGCCACTAGAAGGCCCATTTAAGGCCGACAGGAGGACCACACGCACAGGCCAGGGCATAAACGCACAATTGGGACACGCACGCTCGGTCAGTGCCTCCCGCAGATGGTCCACTCCAAGACAGGAGGGACACAGCCCATGGCCATCGTCCTGCAGCATTGGTGCCAAACAGGACTGGCAGCTCAACGGTTCAAGCATCCCAGCAAGCAAACGCGCAGAAGCAAGTTGCTGCTAAGGATAGCGGCACTCCCGGTAGGGTTAGGTTGAGCAGAGACGCCACTAGTAACCCACAGAGACACGCTGAACACATGCAGGGAAACAGCCAATATAACAGGGTTAGTTCGAGCAGAAAACGCCACCAGTAACCCACGGAAACACACGCTGAATATGCGCAGGTAAACAGCCAATATAACCGGGTTAGGTCCAGCAGAAAAACGCCATTAGTAACCTAGTAAAACAAACTCAGCCCTCAAGGGCAACGTAGCAGGGCCGTGTCGGGCAGTGACGCCACTAGCAACCCACGAACAGGCGCAAACAGGCGCACAACTAAAACCAGCTGTATATGGTATCAACAAAACACCGTGATGGCAAAAAAGAATCAACGCCGAAGCGGATCAGCGTAGCAAATGCTAGCACACTAAACGTCAAGCCAAAGCGGCAATGAAAACGGAAAACTACCGAGCACAATGTCATAAGCAAAACAAACACTCAGGGCGAGAAACTCGCAGCACCGACTGACGAGCAGTCACGAGCTACAGGCAGCAAGCAGCGCAAATAGCAGTGGCACAAACAGCTTACCGTTAGCTTAGCCAGACTCAAATAACCTGTATGCGAGAAAGTGAAAAGGGACTTTATAGACTCGCGTGAGCTATCGGAGGTCATAGGAGATGTAAGCACCGCCTCTGGCGGTCAGGAAGGATGAAATAGAACCTTTGATACCATTAATCATGAACGGTTACTGTTAAAACTGCTGAATATGACATCAGGGGGGCTCAAAAGTTACATCACAAACCATACGCAGTATGTACATATACATGGTATTAATTATAGATATAAAAAAGTTGTTTATGTTGTCCCACAAGAATTCTTCGTTCTGAAAAGGAATTTGGAAAAACATTCAAACATAACTTGAAATCAAACAAAAGATTATAAGATTTAGCTCCAGCTAAACTGGATTTGGTTTAATAAAACTCAATTGTGTCAGAGCTGCCTCCTGTCTCTGGGCAGCAGCAGCAGCAGCTGCAGCAGGAGCAAGGTCAGAGCTAGACAAAACAAAAGTCACCGCTTGCAATGTGAATTGGGTGAATTGGGTAGAGTTTAACTCAATAATATAATACTTTTACAGCTAATCCTAATTCCCTCTTTCTTTAAAGACAAAGTTTATAATCAAATCACTTTTAACACAGATTCTAATTTAAATGTTTGAAAAACGGCTTTTGTAACTAAAATAAAAAATACATGAAAAAATTCTCACAGTTATGAAATATATCAGCGATACAATAATGGATTAAATCAGAGCAGAAGCAGCAGCGCAGCGAGGGCGGGGGGGACAACGGCAGCAAGATAGAGCTGTGCACACACACAGGCAGAAAGTAGTGTTTTAGCAAAAATGCAAAAACAGAAAGAAGAAGAACTTTCAAGATTACTTTTTTAAGCAAATATAACTGATGTTGTAGTTTATACTTTTGTCACCCAAGTCTAGAAGTGATCACTTTCCACACTAGTAACAAAAGGCACTCTTATCTTTAACGTTTCCTTCTATTTTATCAAGGTAGCGAACTAGTTTAAACTCAAAATGTTTAACTGTTGGATACAGCCCGAGCCGCAACAAAAAAATGTAAATAACTCACAAAAGCTCTCATAGCTCAACTTTAGATAAAACTCGGCATTCTCCGGTGAATTCTGTTCCCGCCAAAAAACGAACTTAAAAACAAAAACTCCCTTTTTCTGTATGTAATTTAAACCGTGATCACTGATATATTGTTGCTTCTTTACTTTTGTCATTTATCAAGCCTGGAATTGGTTAATTACAAAACTTTTTGTGACAAAGGCCTCCTTTACACGTTTCCCTTTTTAAAAATTGCTTTTATTTTCACACCATGGTTTCACTAAGGATCCAACAATCTTCTCTGGCTAGCAAGGGGCCTCTACCCCGGTAATTACTCTTTTTCTCTTCTCAAGGGGCCTCTACCCCGGTAATTACTCAAAAAAGGGCCTCTACAGTCTAAAGTCCACCTAATATCAGCTTTTCCACGTCCAACCGGGGTCTCCCAGAACATGAACCAGCGTTCACTGGTACCGGGATCTAGCTTCCATCGGCAGAGACCAATCACACGTCAGAAATCCCCGGAATGTGGACATGGGAAAACAATTTTAAACGCTTAGTCAGTCCAAAAAAGAGGACACAAAAAAAAAATATAGTGAGAGAGCAAAAAAAGTCCCGGAGCCGGTCACCTCTCCAGCCTGCTGGACCGCTCCCAGGTCCCCGATACTCTTAGCTCTCTCACGCTGAGAAAAAGAAAACAAAGGAAACGCCCTCAAAACAATCCAGAGAATGGCGCACACCGAGCCGCACATCCTCCACCAAATCTGTCAGGAATGAAGCAGACAGAGACGGATCGTGGTGCGCCAAACTCTGGAAGTTTATTTATGTTTCTCTCAAGTTCCAGTGGTTTCAATTGTTTCTTTCTCTCAGACAGAATAAAGGCAGTACACAGTTTATATAGTCATTGTCACGTCACACATCGAAAGACATACGTGTCACACAGAGACAGAGCACATCATAGTCATAACATGGAGTCATCATCAGAGTCCTTGTTCAGTCCTGCACGTAGGCCATATTGCTATCTAATACTAACACTACATCAGGACTAAACCAGGGTTGACAATGGGGGACATAGTGCATGTTAACATGCACTATGTCCCCCAACTGCTTCGAGTCTGTTCGCCGATGCGGAAGTACCGTTTAATAATAAAATAAACTTATTGCGCACCTCCCTGAACACATACTACTGTTATATAAAGTCCGTGGAAGGTCTCTGAACACAGACACGCTGCAAAGCTGTATTATTGGAGAAGATCTTTACACAAGAAGCCTGCCGATGCAGGAGGGTCTGTTGGTAGTTAGTGTCTAAAAAGGACTGTGGTGATGATCCAGGACACTTTAACATTTTACAACATGTATGGACATTTATCAACATTCATGGACATCGGTCTTTCCCTATATGGACCAATACATATGTGTATTTTCTGTGTCTTTAATTGTTGATTTTCTGGTCTGTGTTGGTTGTTTCAATGGTTTTGTTTAGTCCACTGAGATGACTGCTGTTGTGATTTAGGGCTATACAAGAATAAATTGTACTTGTAATTGTAGACAATTAGGTAAAACATATATATATATATATGTATATATATATACATATATATATATTTTTTTTTGTGTTATCTTGGAATGGAGGATAATGGGGGGGGGGGGGGGGTTCCTCTTCTTGGGGGAGCTGGAGCCCCCTGGAGCAGCCCCTGATTGAGTGATGAGCTATAGCCCTACAGAAAATAAGACTGCTTTGAGATCACGTGAGCGCGCATTTGATTGACTAATTTGGAATTGGTTACTATGGAGATGGAGGAGGGAGGGGCCGTAAAGAATTGATTATGGTCTAATCCTATGAGCGTTTTGCAAATATTTTTAGCTTGATTGCTTGAAGGGCTTGTTAATAGCATACGATGTGAAGGGGGTTACGTAGCCGCTTTGAGTGTGTGCGTGCATAAATGGCCGTGTACACTGGAAATCACAAGGAGACGAAGTGCGGGGGTGGGAGAGGGCTGCCAGACTCCAATGGCTCTACGACTACGCGCAGGTGTCCTTGGTTTGTGTGACACGTCAGCCGCATAGGACCAAGCGACTGTCGCGGATGATAAAATAATACAAGTCTGAGCTGCCGTCAAATCCAGAGGGAAAGATGTGTTTGGATGAGAGACCCCCGCTGGGTGAAGACATGCAGCGTATGCGCCATCGGCTGGAGACAAGTGAGCATCCCCCTACGAAGCGTCGCCTCGCTGGCCAAATGAAGGTACAGCGCATTGTCCCTTTACATCCTCGTTGAAGATGTTTGGACAGATGTGAGACCCACGTTTGAGGCATCTTTTCATCAAACGGCTTTCGTTTAGCTAATTTTTATCACACAATGTGGACAACATGGAGAGAGACGGGCCCATGTGACTGAGAGAACTGTTGATCAAAAGAACATCATCTGAAATTATGAAGGTTTTTTTTAAGGACAAATAACCTCCGTTCGAGTATTGGACTAATTTGCACTGAAGGACCATGTAACAGAAATGTAAACCCTTTATAATGCACTCAAGATGATCTGACCGCTGAAAACATGGGCACCAACCAGACTGATATTCCCTGGTTGCCCACTTTTGGCAGCTCCAGTGAGACTGCAGTGCCATGGACTTCAATGATTGACAGTATGGTAAAGATGGTGTGCATAATGCTGATTGTATGTGTATCTCTCTTTGGTAATGTAGTGGTCCTTTTGGTTTTTCAAAGGAAACCTCAGCTTCTTCATGTGGCCAACCGCTTTGTTCTCAACCTACTTCTCGCTGATCTACTTCAGACCATATTGGTCATGCCCTTTGCCATCACTGTCACTATCCCAGGTGTGTGGCCCCTGCACTCACGGCTGTGCCAGGCTTTGGTGGTCCTCCAGCATTTGTTTGCTTTTGCAGGTGTCAACACTATTATAGTGGTCTCTGTGGACCGCTATCTGGCCATTATTCACCCCTTGTCCTACCCCACACGCATGACACCAAACCTGGGCACAAACCTCATCATCTGCACATGGGTGCTCAGTTTCCTTCAGAGCACCCCTCCTGTCTATGGCTGGGGTACTATTGACTTTGACCTCCACCACCACATGTGCTCAGTGGTGTGGTCAGCTAGCATTTCCTATGCTGTGGTTGTGTTAATCTTGTCCTTCTGGCTGCCTATGCTCATCATGCTGGGATGCTATTGGATGGTTTTCAGAGCAGCTCGGAGGCAGAATGCAATGGTGCATCCCATTCAGTCACAGTCCCTGTCCCAGCCTTGCCCCTCACACTTTCATGGCTCTAACAATCCGGACGTTCAGTCTACAGCTCAAGCCCAGCCTCTGTCCCAACAAGCCTGTTCCCCTGATGAACCTCAAACATCCAGGGGCTATCCTGTGCGTGTCCGTCACAGACGCTTCTACTATCACTGCAAAGCAGCACGAGTGGTGTTTGTCATTATGGCTTCATATATTCTCAGCATGGGGCCTTACAGTATCACCAACACCATATCTATGAGCTCCAAAACAGCTGTTCCTCCATGGATGTCCTCCATGGCCTTGGTGCTGTTCTTCTTGCAGTGCTGTCTTCACCCGTACATCTACGGATACATGCATCGCAGCGTGAGAAAGGAGTTCTTGGCATTGCTCTTTGGACTGTTCTGTAAACAAGGCCGTCTCAGACAGAGTTCTGCCGTAGAGAGCTGTTTCACCACAGAAGGACGTTCTGCAGCCCAGCCACACCTGCCCAGCCTGGCAGCACGCGTCTTTCCTATGCGCACCTGGGAAGAATGCACCACATCCTCCTCTTTTGAAAGGAGGTCCAGGGACAGTCGCAAAGATACCACATCAATAAGTCTCAGCTCTGAGAAAGAGTTAATGGAGCAGAACAAGTAAAGCACAGACTGATGTATGTCCACAGGACAGGAGCTTTATATTAAGTGTATGAAGCGTTTTGGTTCAGAAAATTGTATATTATTTCACAATTGTGCTCTCTTTTATGGTTACCGAAAAAATATAATAGGCCTACTGACAAAAGAACCATACACAGCACATGTTAATTTACCTCACTGCCACTCAATGAACCGCATACTTACAAAAGGCACCCGCACTGTTAGCGTGTGTCATGAAAAACAAACTCAGGTCTACTTTTGTTAATATGAAAAAAAAACTCTCTTTGAAATAAAGCAAGATAATGTATGTGTACCACAGCGCCTTTGGAAAAACAAAGTTCACATCAGCAGGACAATACAAATGACCGTGACATCACATGATACAATAGAAAATGTGTGTTTTTCACCACATATACGTATGGAATCTTTTAGCTTAAAATTACTCTAATCTGTGGACCTATATATTTAGTTGTGTCACTGTTTTTCCAAGACAAAAAAGCACTTTGTGTTGCTCTATACAGTTTGTGTTACCTGACAGAATACACAAATGTATTTTCAGCGACATCATTTTGTAGAATACACATAGCATTTCATAGCAGACAATCAAGACTTGTGTAAATGTCTGAAAATGCTGTCCCGTCTTGTACCGCTCTACAACATACAGTATTGTACCTGTGCAGGGTATAGAAAAAGTGCCAAATCTTGTTATTTGTATAATAAAGGAGACTAGAAACTGTGGCTTGCACTGGTCCTTGTCAAATGAAGCAAAACTTTGGGTTGTTTTAATGTGGTGCCATTACCGACACCACATTGTGTCCATAGCTCAAAAAGACAAAATGAAAATATACTGAACTATTTTAGAAACTAGAAATGCACATGCAGGGGAAATCCATTCAGGTCTATTTAAATGAGTTGTGTGTAAGTGTATGCACAATCTTTTTCATCCTCTGACAATATAATTAATGTTTATATGAGCTTGGACAGCTGAACAAAATTACCTCACTTCTGTTTGGATTAAACCAAAAATGGACCAAAGGTAAAGAAGGATTACTCTTGTTGTTAAACTATAATTCATTGCATTTTAGTATTATAGTTGGTTTCCTTTACAAGTATTCAAATTATGTATAACATGGCATTATCAACCCCATACTACAATTGTACCAGCCATGTGTTGGTTCCCCTAGGGTGCCCAATGTTGTTTGAATTTGTACAGAACTTTGGAAGTGTTTGGGGGAAAGGTCTGTGTAGCAAGAGATTAAATTCCTACCATCAATGCTTGTAGTTAGTAATAACTTTGGAGGCCAGGCCGCCTGTTTCTCCCAACCTGCAATTACATAATTTTTATATATATATATTTCAGTATTTGATTGCCATGAAGAAATCAGAGGCCAAGTTTGATTTAATTTTGATTTATTTGTAAAAAGAAACTGACTGCCAAACGCAAAAGGCAGCAGTGTTGTATTTACAGTTCCGTAAATGGCCTATAAGGAGAGTAGGATGAGCACGTGTCAGCTGATATAAATAAACGGTCTCAGTGAGGCACACTTGGAGCTAATCCAGATATCTAGTCATAACAAGGTGTGCTTTTAAATTATTACCTATATAACCTCTGTCATTAGATACAAGAAAATGGACATGTTTTATACTGAAGCCATAGTTTATATCATTTTTAACTACAGTAGGGTTCCAAAAGATTGTAGCCAAATAAAATGATCCTACAGCTGATGCAATTGTAACAATCTTTAAGCGTTCTCACTGTTGCTTTTTCTATACAATATATTTACACACTTCAGAATATTAACCATAGAGTAAATGGTCTTGAAAAAGAGAACAGTTAGCTGTAAAATGAGGCGAGAGGCAAAATATATCACAATTTCAACAAAAACAAAATTAGAAGTCTTAGACCCATCGACCGAACATGTTCATGAAGTCAACTAGCTAACTGGAATACACATTGCTGTTCAAGGCAATATTCTTATTATTTAATTATTGGTCAAGTGTGAACAAAATGTAAAAACAAAGAAATGAAATAGCAACAAAGGTTTAAAGCATAAAGGACGGGCGCCGCTTTTCATGTCTTCTACTGATGAGATGTTTCCAGTTTGGACCATTTTGACGCTCTGCTGAATGGCTCTTTGACAGCCAGCCCTCAGTCCACTTTAACCACACTGTAGATTTTATTGACAAACCAAAAGCAGGCAAAAAATCCAATGGTACCTGGAAGGGGCAAAAACAAAAGTTTGTCAATGACACCCAATCATCCATCCAAGGGTCCTAACGTGTTTGTAATTCTTAAAATGTATACGAAATAATATTCTAGCACCATCACAAGCCTTGAATAGAAAACTGAAAATTTGGGTTAGCAATGTTAGCAAAAGTTCAAATGAATACTTTTGGGAGGCACTGTAACAGCTAAAATGACCCTATTTACACTGGCCTTGGTTTAAGAATCTTCATCAGTCCCTTTAACATTTCAATTTAAAATAGATAATCACAACAGCACCAATGATTAGACACTTTATTTTCAATTTCTTTAAACTACATTTTATTTTGTAGAGACAAGCTTGGATACAGCTTTGATTTACAGCTGTTGGTTAAGTGTTATATTAAATCTTTTCCGGCTAAAAAGTAGTTGCAAGGAATATGCAACACTTCTACAGTATTTGCAAACATTAAACAGTATTTGCATCACTTCATGTGTGTAATTCAAATACACTTAGAAATACTTTAATTAAATCTGATGTTTACACATTACAATCTAATGTTTACACATCAATCATTATTAGGATACTTCAAAATGATGTGTAGCATAACAAAGATAATCATAATCTCAATATTCTAAATTGGACAGCAGTCTATGAAGTTTGTTTTTGTTTTTTTACTTTTTTATGTCATTTGAGATGAATGTGATCAATGTTGTGCACAAATCCTGTAAAAATGATCATCCCTACAAATGACTTACCAGTGAAAAGGAAGAAGATCAGCACCATTATCATGGTGTATCCAAAGTACAGAAACGTACTGGCTGCACCTATAATTTGCAGTTTTGAGAAGAAATAATGTACAGCATAGATAAACAAATAGACCGCTGTGAAACCACTCGTCAGGAACGAACGCCACCACCAGTGGTAGTCCTGGAAAGAAACAGAAATATTCCAGTGGATACAAGTTAATCATTGTCTAAGTACCAGATGCTCAATGCATAAAGCAATCAAACAAATGAAGTGAGCAAACAATTCTCACCTCTGCACAAAGATGGAAATAACAAAGCAGGATAGTGGCCTCAGAGCAGGTGATCAGAAGGATGATAAATACTAGAAACAGGAAGCCAAACATGTAGTACATCTGATGAGACCTAAAAGAGAAGTCAGAATGATACACTGTAAGTGAAGTGAAGAACAGGTCAGTGCGACAGTAAAACCAGTCTTACCAGATACTGTTGAGGATGAAGAAGAGCTGAATAAAGATACAGCCAAAGGGCAGGATGCCTCCCATCACAATGCCAGGGATTGGCTTTGTAAAGAACGACTGCTCTGGAATCTGTCGAGGAATCTGGTTTGTGCGCACTGGCTGTTCGATTGCCTGTAAGTAAAACTTGCATGTAACCATACCAGTAAGTGCAAAAATCAGAATGAAGAAAGTATGCAAAACACACTGGTTTCTTGAATCCAAAGTAGGCCCCAATGAAAGTGAGGGGCACGGAAATTCCAAACCACATCGCCAAAATGGCAACAAGGGTACCAAACGGAATAGCAGCGGAGGATCCCTCAACCCAGAGAATAAGGTTCATCAGGAAAAAATCAGCAAATACAATTCTGTCGGGAAAAGTTAACAAAACAAAAAGATAAATATTATCATAAATGTAATAATATGAATCTGTTTCCATTACACTTAGGCAGCAGTGGCTATAATAGTGTGTGCAAAGTAATAATGTTATTTTGGAACTCTGTTTTTTATTATATGATTTATACTACTTCTTCTGTAGAACCCCATTTTGTGAAATATAAATATTAGTCACATGATTAGAAAATACAGAATAATTATACTCTAATTACATTTATATGTGGAGTTATGGGTACATTCACATTGACCCAATTGAAGTAAACTCTGGCTAATGGATCATTTGAAAAGGCTCTCCATTAACCTACCCTGGGCACAGGAGGGCAGTCAGCAGGACATTGGTCTTCCACTTTTCTCCTCCAAAAGCTAAGAAAGAAAATCGAGCAGTTGAGCACAATACTTTTCTCACAAGTTAGACACATAATATTTTATTCTAAAGATGGGATTCATACTTTTGTAGAGGCGAGCAGAAACATAACCAGCAGGAGTACCCAGCAGAACCCACAGGACAACTGCACAGGTCATGAGTGCTCCTCGATTGGCAGGCGACAGGAATCCAAGACAAGCTAGAACTGAACAAGACAGATGAATGTAAACGGAGGCTAATAATGACATTCAATCCCCTGAAACAACTACAGTCAAAGTTGGGAAGCAAAAGCTCAATACATTGCCATCTCAACTTCGCCCAATCTCGATTAATGAATTCCAATTTTAATTATGTTTAATTAATTGCATTAATGTCATAGTTTGTGCATGTAACCATACCATGCACAAACTATGGTATGGTTACATGCATAGTTTGTGCATGGTATGGACAAACTACGCATGTGCAATAAACCGCAATTCTGAGCACATATTTCCCTGTTCTAAATGTCCCTAGATTTGGTTTGAAAATGCATTGGATGAAGCAAAAAACCTCATATTAATCCTTCTCGGTTTGTAAAATTTAGGTACCCCAGATTTAAATGGTAGCATGCACAAGTGGACACAGCAAAGCAGTCTGTGGTGTTGCGATATTCTCGTCATCTATGAGAGTGCCATGTACGGCAGCTGCTGAGCCATGGTCCCATCCGCAGCAACTGCTCTGGACATTTGCATTAAGGCACTTTGTATACTGCTGCTAATGGTTGATGGTAACCTAAAACATCGACCCAATATCCTATCCAACAAATGAACCAATAACTTGGAAATTCAAACGACATTTGAATTATTTGTTCACCCTTTTTAAAATACTAGTATTCAGTTTGGCATGCAGTCTGTTCCTGGATCCCATTCCAATCTATGAAAGATAAAAGGAAGGTAAATGTAAGTGCTTACAAAGTGTGATGAAGGTCATGATGAAGATCTGGGTGCCTTGCCCCAAAAAGACAGACAGAAGCATTCCTTTCCTTGGAGGTCTGAATACATCCCCATGAACCTGCTTCCAGCCAGACTCCTCTTGTGCATCCTCCTAAAATGTACAATGAGAAAAAATACATAATTTTACCTTTTAATTGTGAATGTTTAGAGTTTCCCCAACCACCAAAACAGCTTTACCTGGCCAGCCATGACCAATAATAATGCTTGTTTAGAGCTCCAATGACATGATTAACAGATAAAGTATGTTTGTTATTATTAATCTAACATTAATAAATAACAGATAAACATGAAACAAATCACTAACAGCTATAAAGAATGACTGAATTATTTACACATCCTCAATAGACGTTTGACAGTTGAAGGGGCCGGCTGGTCAGGCTACTGTCATCTACCGGAAAGTTGAAAGTTTTAAAGTTCCAAATTTGACATGTTAAGAGTTTCCAGAAGAGCAGTGTTTTTCAACCTTCTTTGAGTCACTGCACACTTTGTTGAAAACATGTCAGAGCAGAACACCATTCATAAACGTTGTCTGAGGTTTGACTGTGTCCAGCTCTTTTGTTTAGTGGTTGTTATGCCCTCCTTTATTTTTTATTTTTTTTCCCCAAGACACAAGGTACTATAGTGCTTTCACAGACACTGGTTGAAAATCAATGCAGGAGTGCAGTGTTGCAGAATATGTGTGATAGTTTCCCTTTTCTCACCACGTTTCACTAAATGTTAACATATGTTTCATTTACATCACACAATCCGTCAACAGAAGGATAAACAAAAGCTCCCTTGAACAGGCTTACATAGATATTTGCAGAGTTTTCCTTCGAAGTGGGATACTTTATCAAGTTTTCCTGTAAAATGTAATACAATGTAATATTTAAAGTATGCGCTTCAGTTACCCTGTTGACTGCGCATTTATCAAACAGATGAATTGCTCAATATATGCTTTTATTTGAGTTTCAAAGTGGTGCACTTGATACACGTATGAAAAATACTGCCAAAGAGAACAATGTGAGTCCTTGACTAACTGAATACATTACCTGGTCAACTTGGTTGTATCTGGCAATGTCCTTGTGTAAGGTTCTCAACATAATCATGGCAACCATGCCAGAAAGGAAAAGAACAATCACCAGCGAGTTCATGATACTACAAATGGGAAATACAAGGGGTTACAAATTAACTAATCTAAAAGTGAAAAATTAAGTCATCGCTAGTTTGAATCACAAACCTAAACCACTGGATATTGGTGTGAGGCATTGAAACAAGGATATAATCCCATCTTGAAGCCCACTTAATTGAATTGTTCTCCTGAAAATTATAAAAGAACGAACAAATGCAGTTTGAGTACATGAATAAAAAATAACTTAAATTTAAACTTAATAATTTAAAATTTGCCTGAATACCTCAAACGTGACAGAGTAAGTATAAACAACAGACAAATCACTGTCAAACTCTCCAGGGATCTCCATTGGGGCTCCTCCTTCACAGTTGACATTCTTTTCATCTTTCTGATTAATACTGTGATACACAACCCACATAGTGTTAGTTAAAATATGTATCAAGTATAAAAATCATTTTATTGCATATATTTTAGATGATATAACACAAAGTACTATAGCAGTACTGTAGTTAAATACTTAACTTCCTATAACTTAATAACTAAAATGTTGACTATCTTTAGAGGCTAAATGTCTCACCTTTTTGGCTCAAGGGTTGCAGCTACCAGCCTTGCTCCTCGCCATCCTTCAGAGGCTCCACTATGGTATGTAATTTTAATTTCCATGTGATTGAAAACGTAAAATGTATTCTTTTTGTTGAACTCAGCCTGAAAGTAAATTATGAATTAGTTAAATGATTTTATATTAAATTATGGGTGTCATAAGTGACTCACATTTATGACACAGGCATCTTTTGCTCTTCCATCCGCAGTAACAAGACAACCAATAGGGAATCCTGGATTGCAATATTTCTGTCCATCTTCCACATCATAACACCATGTCACTGGCATATTGTCAATGATCCTAAGAATATAATGAATACACAGTCAGACAATTGTTGTTTGACTGGTCCATCTGGTAGTGACAGTTTGTCACTACCAATTACATTTACCAGTGGTGCTGGTAGTTAAGTTGCATTCCCATTTTAAGAAAGTCCAGTCGAGTTGCATCGTCTTGGCTGCCCTTTTTATATGTCTTTGTGCATACAGCTTGGCATTTTACATCTTGCTTGAAATTGAACTATGAATGAAGTATAAAAGCATTATTGGAATTCAAAATTAGTGTTATAATGTTGATAATTACAATTGACATATTAAGTTTATTTATAGTTGGAATTGTAATAAATCATTAAAATAGTTCCACTCACTGTGTAAGGCGATGACTCAATTCTTTCTCCAAACAAAACCTGCCCAAGGTTCTCTGATGGTCTCCTTTCATCTTGGTCTTTGCAAAAGTCAAACCTTGGATAAAACCCGTTTATTAGCACACACACATACACATTGACGACGTAATGGCAACACAAAGTACTTACATGTCATATTCATAAGGCAGCACAGACTCTACTGAGTCCAAACGATTGACGTACAGCTGGATCTTAGTCTGTACACAGATATTTCGATGGATTATTTCAGACAAATAAATACTTGTTCCATGAAACACCAAGCCACTCAAACCGCAAAAATGCGAATGTTGTGAATATAAGGTAAGTAAGGTCTGGGGTCTGTTTTGGTCTCAAGTTGAGGCCTGCGCAGCGTCACCGGGTAACAAATACATAGATTGAATAAATACATGCAGCAGTATCAAATGCTTTCTCCTACAACACCACGGGCTCTGAGAGTAAATAGATATCATTTACATACCGGACAGTCCTCGCCAGCTTTTCCGTCTTCACAGAAACTCACTGGAGCTAAACCCGGAAGATAAAAGCCTGAGCAAGAGACGAGCGAGCAAACCAGCACCAAACCGAGCTGTATCCGCAGCTTCATGTTTGCGGACGCGATGTAAATAAGACAATTCACCCTAAATCAACAGTGATCCCTTTAAATACGAGTCAAATCTGCTAGTTTATCTTTTATCAAAGACGCGGATGAAACCTGTCCGCCTAGCTGGCCCAGCTCAGCGACGTGACGTACGCACAGCAGGGCAGGAAGGCGGAAATGCACAAAAGGGACACTTATTTTCAAAATATTACATTGTATTTTATGTCTTGTAGTAAAATACGATTTATCTCCACTGTATCAATCATAAAAACCTTGTATATTGTACTTACCACAGAATACATCGATTAGTTTAAATAATTCGCTTTCTACAAAGAAATGAATTATTATTTTAGGAAAATATTCCATACAAGTGTTTTATTTCTAAAGAGTCTTAATGTCCGGCAAATAGCACTGACGTTGCTGATATTCTGCTACAATGCTACAACCAACAAGTCACAAAGTTGTCACCAATAATGTTTAGAACTTTTTTAACACCAGAAATATATATCAAAATATTACAAACAAAATCCATACAACATATGACATGTACTCCAAAAATAATACATTCTTTATTTTGCACAGTAGGGGGCGCCCATCCCAAACAGGATCAGCTGACTTCTTCATCTGCACTGTTGTACTCGCGTGGTACATTCACTACACCCGTTTTCCAGTTCACCGAAGACATGCAACGCACCCCGGGAAGAACGTATCCCAGCCCGGGCTTCAGTCCCGGAAATAATCGAGCCTCTCCGCGAGGCTGGAGATCTACACACGGGCGCTTCTCTCCTGCGGGATATGGCGCAGGGCCCCCGTGCTTCTCCCCGTTCTCGCCCCCCAGGTTTCATGGAGGCTCTCCGCGGGACTTTGGAGCGCCGTCCCCCGGGGCCTACAGAGGGAGACGCAGAGGAGGCTTCAGCCCTGCACATGGAGCAAGCAACCAGGAAGACCAGCCTGTGGAGAAGTACTTCAGTCCCAACATGGTTCAGGACCCTTGGAAAAATCTGTGCCCCGTTTCAAAAGAGCAGCTCCATTCTGCTTTTAAGCCAGGACTAAGCCAGGACTACAGACAAGGTCCCCCTCAGGACTAACTATACAAATATGAACTAAGGAGTTACGTTTCTTTTTTATATAATGTTTATTTCCTTTTGTAAGGCAGAGCTTTTGTATTTTGGAAACAGTTAAGTGTATTAAAGCGTTATTCACTCGTGTTAGGCATACTCTTCTTTAAGTCACACAAAATCTTAAATGGCGGTTTTCTTCAAATGTTCGCTCGGCCCAATGCTGTTTTCCTTCACGAACAAAACTCCTAAACTTGATGTACTCATGCTCCTGTGTCGCAATCGACGCTGCTGCTGCTCCTCCTGCTATGCTTTATTTTTGTGCTTAGTTTGTACAGTCTATGGTCCTTAATTTAATACCATGATATATGTAGTGCAGGGGTCCCCAAACTTTTTCCTGTGAGGGCCACTTAACTTTTCCCTTCTTCGATGGGGGCCGGGTCAGTTTGTAACAGGAAAAAGTTACTAATAGTTAATTATGAAAAAAGTTCATAACTAAGGAACCAACTTTATTATCACGATAAAGTGTCAATTAAAGTATCTGGACTTTAAAAGGTTATAACTCAAAAACAAAAATTACTAGCATAGATTAGAAAAAAGATTTCAAGCACAGACAGATCAGAGATAGTGTGGATAAAATCAAAGGAAATACTGACAAATATATTTTTGTCGACATTTTAAACGACCAAATCAGCCTCTGATTGGACCATTCTACTGTGACGCCAGGTACATAGAAAATAAAGTGTCCTCAGTCTGAAAAAGCAGCAGATGAAATCCCACAAGACTTACATAGTTAACACAACAGAAGGAAATCACTTGATATAAAAAAGAATTGTTAAGAACATAAATTACCTTTGAAAAATGTGTAACGGACGTGATGGTTTCCGTCCATTTTTCTCTAACAATTAAACTTGAGAAAAAATAAATCTGGTCTGGTTTCACATTTAATTGTTTGACTATATGAAATCATCACTTTGTTTCTACTCTATGTAAAAAAAAAAAAATAGAATCTCTGAATCAAATGTGGACATCTAAAAATACGTAACAAACTTCCGCAGCTCATTCCGTCAAATCGTCATCGTCCGTTACATAAAATAAACAGGGCCACTGTAGGAAACTTGTCTAATGTATAAAACAGTTTTGTTCTAGCAACTTCTAATGGACAGAGGAGGTGTTTGGAAACATGAAAAACATGAAATATCTTCTGATTATTAAAATCAAATTTTTTGTGTTTTGTCACACTTTTGTGCCCTTTAGTCTGAACAAGCCCATATGAAAATACTCTCTGGTATTGTTCAGGGGGGCCGGGTCCGGCCCGCGGGCCGCAGTTTGGGGACCACTGATGTAGTGGATAAAACAGGTGGATTTCACATAAGAAACTGGCAACCCAGGACTTGTGTGACGTGACGCTAGCGCTTTCTGATCGGATAATTACATTGAGAACCTAGAATTAATCATTGTTAACAAACAATTCAAACTTCCTGACCAATTTCCAGAATGTCTTTTTGTTTCCAGAAGTCTTTTGATTACTTAAGGTGAAGTTACTTTCTTATTCTGAATATGAATATTGGCACTATCTCATATCATTTGAAATGTTCTGAAAGCCAGATCCCATCAGAGCTCTTAAGTTAAGCAGGGCATTGCCTGGTTAATAATATGATGAGAGACTTCAACGGACACCAGGTTCCTTACTATATAATGTTTGCACTCAAGGTCCATACAAAAGACAACACAAAGACAGAGAGAGAAGTACAAAAAGAAAAATGAAAGAAACCAAATCTAATGACTCATTTAAGAAGACACTACACCAGTGTTCCCAGAACTGAGATATATAGGGTGTTGCACTGAACTTAACAATCATCAGTACTAAAACTTGATTCTTGTTTAAACAACATTGCATTTCTCAGGACAGACTTCAGCATGTTCACTCTGATGCTCAAGAACAACTCGCTCGCATGAGTCGATCTGGGCTTTTTTAATAGCATCCTCAGAGCGTCATTGGAAGCTACATGCATTTTACAATAAGATAAGATAGACTTTATTGATCTCACTCAGGAGAAATTTACATGTCACGTCTGGAATGGATAGAATCACTCAAGATTGTGCAAACATGTTAAATTTAGGAGATATTATGGCAATCAAGAAACCGTGGCAATAGTAGTGCAGGTTTTTCAGTCCTAATGCAAGTGACTTAAAGTGACTTATTGTACAGTCTGACAGCGGTGGGGATAAAGGCCCTGCGGTAGTGCTCCTTCTTACACTGAGGGTGCCTCAGTCTTCCACTGAAGGAGCTCCTCAGCTCCTCTACAGTCCTGTGCAGTGGGTGGGAGGTGTTGGTCATGATGGAGGTGACTTTGACTAGCACCCTCCTGTCCCTCACCTCCTCCACAGAGTCCAGGGAGCAGCCCAGAGTGGAGCTGGCCCTCCTGACCCGCTTGTTCAGTCTGTTTCTGTCCCGCTCTGTGCTGCCCGGGGCCCAGCACACGGACTCACCACCTGCAGGGGCTGGTGCTATGAGACTTGGGTGGCATCTCTGACTGTCACCCCCCTGACCCAGAAATGGATTAAAGGGTAGAAAATGGATGGATGGATGGATGGATCATGATATTCCCCAAACACTGAGCATATATTAAGAAGATGCTGCAGACCAGCTGAGCTCGGACTGAAAATAAGAATTTGTTCCATAACTTTTGATAAAATGTTAGCTAGAGCTACAGGTCTATAGTTGTCTGAGGAGCCCATTTTTCCGGCTTTATCCTCAATTGCAGGAGTCAGCGTCACAGACATCAATAAGTCTGGAAGATAGTCCTGGATCATAAAGGCAGTGAAACATAACTTTGGCCTCACATGTTTGAGATGTTCAGCCGAGATAGAATCCAGGCCAGCTGATTTATTAGTTGCCATTTTTGTAATGGCTTTAGAAACCTCATAGTATGTGATTACATCAATATTATCAACACTGTCTGCTTCAAAGCGTTTAGTCTGAACACCATTACACAATTTACAATAATGCTTACGCCAGAGCTCAGCAATTGCATTTGTACCAAAGACTCCATCCACTGAACGTGGCAGTGATTATGTGTGTGTTTAACTCCAAAAAAAACATTGTTTGTGTTATCTGAAAGTTTCTTGGCCATAGACTCAGAAGCAGCTCATTTTTATTCTTATGTTCAGAAATGGGTCCCTGTCTTGGCCTCCCAGCTATAGCCCATGATCCAGTGCCTTCACGAGCCTCAGCATAGAATTCAGCCACATAATAATTCCACTTTGGCTGAGTTTGAGGAAAGGTATAGCTTCATGTAAAGCAGAGACAATGGCGCTATACATAGTAGAGATATCAGTGCTATGTATACTTTTTGAACAGTTACCATTTTTGCACAGTAGCGCCTCTCTAGGTGTTTATATTACTTAATAATTGGTCAGTGTAATCATATTAAACACGACATTCTTCACATGACAGAGTGGACCAGTCCAAGTGCCTATATAGAACTGATGCATTATTATTATGTAATGTAATTAAGATTTGTATAACCTTTATTTCTCACACAGTGGGGAAATAGCATTAACCTGGTTTCTGAGGTCAGAGAATAACATTTGGAGATTTATATAATTGAAGAAAAAAAATCTTACATACTGTTTAATCTTCAGTCTTATCATGTGGTCATGTGGTCAAAGATGGCTTTGCAAAGTGACCAAAGCCATCTTCCTATAATTTACACGTAACTATTTGCACTGGATGAGCTGTCTTAGTCGTGTATGTCTAAATTGCTGTGTTATGTTCATCCGTTCTTTCATTTCAAATGCTACAGTTGTGTTACTGAGGCAGCACTTTGAAGCCCATGACCCAATGCGTATTCAGAAGTATAACTCAAGCCTAAGTTATACTTGCGCAACTTGAGGCTTTTCCAGGCCCACATGGGCCCCTTCAGCTCGTCCAGGGCCTGAGCAACTGCTACTGGTTCTTCAAGCAGAGGAGCAACAACTTTTCACTGAGCATCCAATCTTGCCCAGCCATTCTGCAGAGGACACATTATGGCCACTTTTACCTCATACATATATATATATATATATATATATATATATATATTCATATATATATATAAATAAATGTGTATGTGTGAGAGTATAGTGCTGTGCTTCATCGTCATGATGCTGTTCATCCTCCTGGCCTGTAGAGGGCGTGTGTTCCTCACGGGGTTTGAATTGATAAACGGAATCGTAGGAAGAGCAAAGCCGTTGTTCCTTTCACTTGGTGTGGTTTTGATTCCTGATCCAAAGGACTTGTTTCTGCTCCTCGTGAGTATTATCCAGTCTTTAAGGCCTTTCCTCTCTTCTGTTCGCGGCTGATAAAATAAAGTCTGTCTGCAGTTTGTTGGAGGACAGTCGACTGCGCGCGTGAACATTGATCGCCATTTTGCACAGTTTTCTGCGTGAAGCATCCGGCGAGGTACGGGCTCCATTGTGGCTGCGAGGGCACTGTTTTTTGGCTTTGTGAACTCTTTACTTTGTGAATAACCGCACTGATACTCATTTGCATTGACGAGAGTTTTCATCTTTGTAGAATGGCAGAAGCTGATCGCCCTGGAAAATTATTCATTGGTGGTCTGAACACCGAGACCACCGAGGAGGCCTTGGAGCAGTACTTCAGCAAGTATGGAAGGATTGTCGAAGGTACTAACGCCAGCTGTTGTATTGCACGAATTGTTGGTGTTTTGGTGGTAATCATGCCCCTTATGTTTCAGTTATCTTGATGAAAGACCGTGAAACGAACAAGTCACGTGGTTTTGCATTTGTTACATTTGAGAGACCAGCTGATGCAGAGGATGCCGCCTGTGAAATGAATGGAAAGGTAAAGACTTTCGAATGTGTGCTTGAATGTGTATTATGCCAAATTTTACATATTGTGCTCTGTTTGTAGTCCCTTGATGGAAAGAATATTAAAGTAGAACAAGCTACAAAGCCCCAGTTTGAGAGTGCTGGCAGAAGAGGGCCGCCTATGCACCGTTCTCGCGGTGCACCCAGAGGTGGTCGAGGGTCCAGGGGAGGAATGAGGGGGCCTCCTTCAAGAGGTAACCACAAACATGGAATTTCAATTGTGTAATGGGCATAAACCTATCTGTTCACATATGGTTAGATGAATAAAACGGTAGACAATGTTTTGAGTCAAGTATCTAAAACGAGCCAATAGGGTTAATAATGATTATTAAATTATATATCACATGCAATGTCTTTAAAGCTTTATTGATCTCACAATGGAGAAATGTACATGTCACATTTGGCATAGATAGAATCACTCAGATTGTGCAAAAATACCGATGTGTGCAACATGTTAAGCATCACGTTTTCCAAGAACAGCATTAACAGGTCTTAAATTTGACCAAACCTGGGCCTACATACAAAAAACGACCCCATACTATACATACTTTCAGACACCAGCATCGTCTGGGCTCTGATTGTGTTCAGAAACTCTGCATTGTAAACAAATGCAGCTCAGTGGATCCTTGACGACAAATGATATGTATTTTGTCATGTGTTTCTTTTAGATTATTATGACTCTGGTGACAATGAGCCCTATTCCCGTGGCCCTCCAATGAAGCGAGGGCCCCCAGTTCGAAATGGAGGGCCACCACCAAAAAGATCTGCCCCTTCAGGTAGGTCTTTAAGTCAATCATTTCACAATTGGGAAATTTTACAGTGGTGTGATAAGGTATGGCCATTATGATTAGGTAGTCTGTAGCTCGTCGGTAAGAGCAAGCGAAAGGAAAAAGTCCACAACTGCATTGATAACAATGTTTAAGAGATGCCTAAAAGTCAAAACGATTGCTAGGCCGCATAAACACAATGATTGAAAGCCTAAATCAAAAATAAGTAAATCTGCAAACCTGTGTTCGTTGGTCTCATTAGACAAATTTGTTGGATAAATACATTTTGATGCGTCTTAATACCTTTTTTAAAAAATTGTCTTAACTTAAGCCCCAATGTCGAGGGGAAGAGATTCATATGGACCGCCTCCTCGTCGAGACTCTATGATGTCCAGGAGGGATGACTATCCTTCTCCAAGAGACGACCATTACAGCTCTAAGGATAGGTACGTGTGCTTGTTGTATGCCTAAAAATGTAAATGTTATCCCTAATATGCAATTTTTTTTTTAGCTACTCAAGTAGAGAGTACAACTCCAGAGATTCAAGGGATTATGGCCCTCCACCGAGAGACAGCTACTACCGTGAATATTCTAGTTCAAGAGACGACTACGGCTCAATGTCCCGTGGATACAGGTACGTGTTGTGGTGATTTGTTTCCCCTGGTTTGCCTGTTTTACTGACGCATAAATATTGTTCTAAATTCAAGTGACCGTGATGGCTACGGAGGGGGTAGAGAACCTCGTTACATGGAGCGCAGTGGTGGCTCCTATAGAGATTCATACGATGGTTACGGTAAGAGATCATCATATGGATGTAGTAGGTTTGTAATTCTGAAGAGAAAATGGCAAGAATGATCAAATCAGCCACAGCTGCGAAACCTCAAGTTACAAGAAACCAGTTCTCATCTCTACTGACAAATGTGCTTTAAATCCCAGCAAACTCATCCAATGTTGCCTTTGGGTTCAAAGGGGGGAAAGAAGTTGCATTTTAATGATGCTTGCCCAATTTTCTATAATATTGACCTAAAAAATAAACAAACCTGTCGCTGACTAAACCTGTAATTTTTTAAACGACAAGCAGATGGCAAAATTGTTATATTCCACAAAGTAAACTCCTTGGAAAACAACTCAAATACACCGTCTCACCTGCAACGCTCGCTTGGACCTTTCACTGGAAACACTGGAAAATGGCACGTTGAAAGGAATGAATAAATGGTTCATTTGGTGGCTTCACTACTAAATTATTTAGAAAGAATGCTTAGCTAAATCCACTTTTTTTTTCCAAGCAGCCCACTTTTTCTTCTGAATTTGTTAAAACAGGACTTTTGTTGTATTTGCACGTCTGGTTAAGAAGAAATTCTGGTCAATTCTATGGAGTAGTAGAGAACCATATCACTAAAGTATGATTTGTTTTTAATTGTGTAAAAAGTTCAACGATCATGGACCCTAACAGTTCAGCACTGCGCAACTTCTCTGTGTGGCTTGAAAACAACTTTGAAAGCAACACTCCTGTCTAAAACTCGTTCTGTTGTGGAGATCGGCAGCTCGATGCAAACTAATACAACCAATATGGATTCTCTTGGAGCAACTTCTGGAATAAGGTCAATAGTGGTTAGGGTACTTTTGATTTTATTCCTTCCTAGTAGGGCCTTTCTGTTTGGAGTTTGCATGTTCTCTCCTTGGCATGATTCTCCTACCACTTAAATGTAATCCCTGAGCCAACTCCAGTAACATTCTCAATCTCTGTGGGGACAAATGCAAGATAGGACTTAATTACTTTTGGGAAGGAAGTTTGGCTCTTGACATGCAAAAACAATGTATACGTTGAACCTTGCCAATTACCTGAAACATTGACCCTGCAGGTAACTCTCGCAGCGCCCCACCCTCAAGGGGGCCCCCACCATCCTATGGTGGCAGTGGTGGAAGCAGTCGTTATGATGACTATGGCAGCAGTTCCAGGGATGGATACGGAAGTCGTGACAGTTACCCCAGCAGTCGGAATGACTCGTATGCACCTAGTCGTGAGCGTATGGGCCGACAGGACAGGGGCCCAGCCCCACCTGTCAACTCGGGCTATCGCAATTCATACAGCGGCTCGAGTCGTGGCCGCGGCAACCAATCTGATGGAGGAATGGCCCGCAGCAGATACTAACATGGACACAGAAAATCAAAACAAAAGTGGCGTGTTTAAAATAATACAAGACAATATTTTCTAGTCCTACTTTTAATTTGTTTCGTTTTTTTGTGTATTTTAATTGGTAGCCTTCTTGCAAATGTATTGGTAGCGTTCCCAACTACATGTTTTTTTGTAATCGCAGTGCTGTTAAAATCTGCCACAACCTTGACGTCCCGCTTTCCTATTCAATAAAGCATTTTAGTTGTAACTCACTGCTGCTGCTTCTCAATAAGTCACAACATGAAAATGAATTTAACAATGAATGTGAATTTAAACCCAAATACTGGCAAAGTATTTAATGCATCAAGATAAAAAAGACAAGCTGTTCAAATGCTCCTCTGAATGGATTCAAGCAACGACAAACCCAAAGCCATTGCAAGCCAATTCAACTCAACTGATAAGTCAACAGCTGGTAAGCAAAGCAAAACTTTGTTTCTGATCATACATGTTATTGTCCTGTATACAAATGCCTACTTTGCAAAAACATGTGCCTGCGGACTAACGGAGTTCACCTGAAGGTCAGTCTCAACTCTGTTTAGGTCAACTTCCAAACCTCAACAATGCTCTTCAAATGGCAAATTAGAGGGAGACATTTGTCTCACTCTTTCAACTTGTTAAGCAATGTTGTTTAAGTAAGTGGAAAAAGGTCAACAAACTTGCAAGTTCTAACTGAAGATCACTGGAAGAACCTTCAAAGAGTCAAACTTGAAACAGATCATTGAAGATAAATCTTGTCAAACTCCAGATTTTAAAATGTTAGCATTTAGAACATTAAATGTTTTTGAATGAAAAGTCACTTTTGGTTTTTGTTGCAGGATGAACCCCTCCTTTGCCACTGATGTAATAAAAATATGAAGATGGGATATCTGCATAAAGTCTGAGCACGTGAAGCAATATGGCAGCCGAGGTTAGTTTTAGTGATTTTTTTAAAATAATTTTTTGATTGTGTATAAATATATTTAATCATGTTTTTTTCTATGTTAGATGGCATCCAGGTGGTGGAACATGGAGGCATTGATTAATGTAATGGTGGTTTAAATAAACAGATTTATTACATTAGTGTCAGTCACTCATTTGACTTTATCTCAGATTATTCCACTTTTAAATAGGTGCTCATGGATTATATAAAGTGTTTTATTTGGAATTATTTTCTGTTTCTGCCTGTTCAAACAATTTGAGGTGGTCACTTTCTCACAAGATAAGTGTTAAACGTTGGTTTTAAAAGACAATGAGAGATTAAATTGCTGTGCATTTAAGATTACAGTAATATACCATCTATTGTCCATCAATTTTCTTCCCCTTGATCCATTTCTGGGGGCAGGGGGTGGCAGTCAGAGCTGCACCCAGTTCAGAGCACCAGTCCCTCATTGATCCTACACAGCTTTGATCTTTCAGCGGGGGCATCAGGCAAAGTGGGGTTAAGTATAGAACACGACAGACATCAGTGGGAGTCGGTGGAGATGGGACCACCAGCTATAGTACCATGATAATTTTTTATTAGAATTGCTTATAACCATACTATTCCAGGTTGGTTATGTGCTGCATTTAGGTCTGCCTGCATTTGTGAAAGTTTATTTCTGTATTTTTTTGGTCGTTGCCTGTTAATCATAAATTTTCTAACACTAATGTCAATCTCTCTCCTTATTGGAAATTGATTAAATCAGGAAGTTTTGAATTATAAAATCGCTTTTGTTTAGACTTCCATAGACAAGCTAAAAATACGTTTTATGGCTCAGATAATGATTTTAGAATTTCTATTGAAGTATTTTGATAACTCATGTAAATCAACTTTTAGTAAGATGCCCACTTCAGTAAACCAGACATGTCCTTTTTTGTAAAACTGGATTGTCCTGGACTTTTCTGAGCTTTAAATCCAGAATGATTGGAGCTGATGTTTGCTGAATGTATGAGCTTTGAGTGAGTTTTTTTTTTGCCATGGTTCTGAGATATAGCATGTTAGTAGAGGCGTAAATGAACTTGGCTGAATGACCCGTTATGTGAGTTTGATCATTATATTAAGTGGCAAAGCAGAGGGCCACAGAAAACACTGCGCCCCCCCCCCCCCCCCCCCCCCCCCGCCCCCGCCTTAGTTTGGACAAGCCTGCTTTAGATCAAATCAATGGAGTATTATACAGTATCTGCACAAAGGCTCTTGGCAACACTCCACAGCAGAGCGCGCAAAGTGCGTGTCCCGGAGGCAGGTTTTACTGTTACCAGTAGGGGTGATATCGCTGCAGATGTGAGCTCAGCGCGTCACATACCCCCGACGCATTTTGACCATTTTTTTTTTCCTTTTCCGATCTGGAAGCAGAAGTGCGGATGTGAAGTGCCGTGAAAAAACATGTAGCGCGTCTATAATGTCCACTTGACACAAAGATGAATCCAGAGGAGCAGGCTGTTACATGGCTCATATCTCTCGGAGTCCTGAGCTCCCCGAAAAAGAGCATCGCGGACCCCGAGGACTTTCTCAAAACCTCGCTCAAGGATGGCGTTGTTTTGTGCAGACTCGCGGAGCGCCTTGTGCCTGGCTTCACACCCAAGGTAAGTGTTCAGAAAAGTTTACCAAGCGTTTGCAAAAGTACGTCGGCATGTCTCGGTAGCGCGGAAGAAGGGAGGGGTTTGGTGCTGGGGAAAAAAAACCCAGCGCGCTCTGCAGAAATGGCTATGGGGCAATGTAAGTTCACTTCATGTACGCAAAAGCAACTTCCACACGCACAATCAGTGACAGCATAAAGAGTTATTCGTCATTTATTAGGGTGACAAGTCTGTTTCCGCATTCTTGACAAGCGTATTTGGCCAGGACATGTCAGAAACGGTGCTTCTACTTTCGCCGTGTGCATGCATTCATACGTGAAACCATCGATCTCCATTTGATTTCGCGAATGAGACCCATACGCGTGTGTATATGTGTTTTAGATCGTGTTGTTGATAAGTTGCAAATATCAATCGTCACTTCCTCTTCTCAAACGTCCCCCTGTCCCGTGTCCTGTTCTGTCAAGTTGGCGTCTGCACTGCGCGCCTCACTCTCCATAGATTATAATAAACTTTTTCCCATTTATGTTTCTCAAATATGCGTTTAAACATGTTGCCTCCAAACTGGCTTAAATGCACTGGGATTGCTCACAGATAAAAAGTAAACTATCGTCAATATTTAGATAATAACGCTCAAGAATTCTCTGTTGGGTTTTATTGTGAAACCAACAGAGGATTGTGTTAGTAAATCAATTGTTACTTTTATTTAGTCTTAATACATTTTTGCATGAAGGGGACACGGAAAGAATCGAGTTATTTTGTAGACTTTTGAAACTGTTTAATAGGACACAATTCTATATAGCGCACGGTTGTTATGAATGCGTTTGCGTCAGTCGCGTTAGTTGCGTGTCCGTGAGTGTCATGGTCTGACTTTAGCAGGTTAAGCCGCGATGTCTAATAGTATTTTCTGTTCGCTCAGTATTGTCAAGATCCAAGAAGTGAAGCAGAGTGCCTGGGCAACATTCGTGAGTTTTTAAAGGGATGCGTGTCCTTAAAAGTGGAGGTAAGCCTGGGTTTATTTGTTATTGATTGTTTTTGTTGTTCTATCTGCTCTGGTGCTGTCACAGAATGGATTGATCTCGCTCTGATGTGTTGTTTAGCAGCTTAGGATGGTGGCACAGTTTTACACAGACCACATGCATGAAGTCAGTGTGATTCTCCAGGGCTGAGGCACAGAGAAAGAACTTGCTTTACAACTCTACTTCCCTGTTTAGTTTAAGGCCAGTTGGATATGAGTGATCAGATACTGGTCTTCTATTGTATTCTGCTTAATAAAAGTAAATACAGCTGGGGTTGTTTACTTTCTGATCTGATAAGAATAAACACAGCATGTCTAGTTTGTCCACAAAATGTTACTTTAACACTTTTCTACAAGTATAATGAAAAACAACATGTATAATGAAACCCAAAAGTGAGGTTCTCCAGCTGTAATATCACACCACAAAGCATTTTGGAAATTACAGAAAGCAACTATAAACCGGAGATTTTGAGATGTGAACATTTTGGGTCTATTCTGAATTATTCTGATACAGGTAATACCGGGGGTAGGTTCATTGGGTCATTCTACAACTTTTGTTTTCTGCATATGTCTATGGAGGATCTGCTGAAAAATATTTTTTCCAAGTTCTGTTGGATCAGCTTCACTCACAAATGTTAGACAGACTTATTATAGCAGGGAGGTCCCGTTTTCCTCTTCCCATAACCAGTATCATATAATTACGTACAGGCAGAAAGGCAGTGACCACGAGCCTGTCCAGAGAATTGTGGCGATATATCATCTAATAACACGGTTACATTTAGACATGTATTGTCGGTGAGTATTGGTCTACAGCTGAACTCTTTTCTCTGCGGGCATCTGTGTCCTGTGACTGCATAAAGACCAGTCATACCATTTTCACTTCTGCCTTCTGACTCAGAAAGAGGAAATATAGATGTATTTACTATTTACATAATTGCTATGCATAAAATCACTGCCTTTTATTCCATGGTTTGTTTTTGTGTGTGTAAATATGAATTCATATCATGTGTGTGTATTAAAACAGGTCTCCAGTATTTTGGTCACACGTTGTTGCACTGTAAATGAGATCATAGTCTACTATTAGGACGGTGCTACTATTCCACCTCTATATTTAAGATGTTTTATTTAAAATGTGAAACTTTATCCATGGAAAGAAATGAGATAGCTGTTTGAGACCAAGTCCAGCGCTTTGACAGAGTGAGATTTGCTTGTTCTTGAATTTGAATTTCAAAGTAAATAAAACATGTTTGATTCTCACGCTTGATTATTTCATTTTTTTGTTTATATATATAGATAATAATTATGTTTTTATTTATATTATATTTTCACATAATCTAACTTCTTTTTCAGGGCTTTGAGCCAGAGTGGTTGTACTCTGGTGAGAACTTTAGCAAGGTGCTGACGACATTATTAGCAGTCAACTTTGCCACCCAGGGTAAGATGTTCTCATCTAATCATTGCCTTCATAATCAAAATAAAAGTAAAAATATATCTACAACCACAAAATATAACCTATATAAAATGATGTATACTGGATTGTCATTGGGGATTCTAAAGCTGAATCATGGTTCTAAATGAAGACATGTTATTTTCCTGTTATTAACCCCCAAATTACTTGTTCTACTGAAGCATGTTTCCAGAACAGTATAGCCTCGGTCTTTCAGTGGGGGCTTCAGGCAAAGTTGGGTTAAGTGTGGGGTTAAGTGTCTTGTCTGGGAGAAGGTCAATGCTCTACCAACTGAGCCACTGTCGCACATTATTATTATAAGTGTTGTTATAATGCATTGTCTGAAATAGTTAGTTGACATTATGTTGTTGCCGTGCAGTGAACACATCTCTCCTTCATGTTGTTTGATTTAATCTGTTCAATGTCTTTTTTTTTCATCTTTAGTTGAAACTTGTTATTTTGTTCAACATCTTTTTTTAGTTTAAAAACACGCTAGTCGAGGGAGGGTGTAGACGTGATTTAAATCAATATACGAGGTGTGACTTTTTTTAGCCAAACTTGACATTTCCTCCTGTGTGCTTTCTCTTTCTCGCAGACAGTGGTGCGGAGCGGTCATGTCCTCAGTCTGGAGTGCCTTCTCCTAGTCACTCCTTGTCACACACACTTTCCAACGTCAAATCTAAAGGCTCTCTGCGCAGACAATCCAAATCCACTGTGAGATATTCTGAACTCGTCAACATTTAAACTTCTCAATTTTGCCTCTCGTCCCTTTTCAAATCTATACGTACAGATGTATAGACACAACTGTATTTGCTAGAACCTACAGAATTTCATACTTGCCCCTTATTATCCTGAAGTCAAGGGATTTTGTACCTAATTCTTGCTTCTTCATCATGCTAAAGTCGGAGAATTTAAGACTTCTTTCCTTGTTATGCTAAAGATAGAGATTTTATACTTCTTCTTTTTATGCTAGATTTGAATGCCGCGTGCTCCCCATTCCCACTGTTGTGTAACTTGTCAATGCAACACTGAAATTCCCCCACTGTCGCCAATCTTTTAGGAGATGGGGGACAACGGGGGCAGCGGCGGACAGATGATGGTCAAAGCTCGTTTCAACTTCAAGCAAAACAACGAAGACGAGTTATCTTTCAACAAAGGCGACGCCATCCTCGTGACGCGGCAGGAGGAGGGAGGTTGGTGGGAGGGCATGCTGAGCGGGAGAACGGGCTGGTTCCCAAGTAACTATGTCCGAGAAATCAAAACATGTGGTGAGTCGGCTGAAAGAAGGCATCCGTCACTAGACACGTGTATAATTGTTCCTTCTTCCACTAGAGGGTACTGTCTTTACACACTTACTCTCTTTCTGTTTCCTAAGCAGAGAAGCCCGTGTCTCCTAAAGGAACTCAGCTCACCAAGAATTACTTCAGCGTGGTAATTGTTGATGTTTTGGATTACTTTAAAAGAAAAAAATCAATCAATCAATCTTTATACTGTATATAGAGCGCTTTTCCTACACACAGTCCACATTACACTAAGCACAAATCATCACCTAAATACCATCATATAAATACATAAATGCCAGAAATCACAATGAAAAACACAATTAAAAAGCAATATCACAATGAAAAACACAATTAAAAAGAAAAATCACAATGAAAAACACAATTAAAAAGCAAATTCACCATTAAAAACACAATTCAAATCACACAGGTAACTAAAAACATTAAAACATACAAAATTACACAAGGTATTAAAATAATAAAGTATACATGACGACTTCGTGTAGTTCTAATTCGTGGTCCTCTCCCTCCGGGCTGCAGGTGGTGCAAGACATTTTGGAACACGAACGTGAATTTGTCAAAGATTTGCAAGTTGTTTTGGGATCCTACCTCCGGCCACTTCAAGCCAGTGACAAGTACGAGAATGAAAAAGATTATAAAGCCTTACTCTGTCATTTTTAATTTACGCGATGTGGCTACTTTGCTGCATAGTCTCAAGCGATTTCATATTGACTGTATTTTGTGATTTCTGCTGCCAGATTGACCCCAGCGGACAGCACGACGCTTTGTGGAAATCTGGAAGAAATCCTCACCTTTCAGCAGGGCCTCTGTGCATCGTTGGAAGACTGCACCAAGTAATCATTTTTAACATTTGTCTTTCCCATAACGATTGTTGCTATGCTGTTATTCGGATTGTGAAATATACTGGCTCAACACTGCTACCAGTATTATTTACCAAAAAAATTCTGTGCGTTTCTTGCATTTTAACAGAGTCCCAGAGTGTCAGCAGCGAGTGGCGGGCTGCTATGTCTCTCTGATGAATCAAATAAGGGCATTATACTTATCTTACTGCTCGAGTCATCCTTCTGCGGTCTGCATTCTTACTGACCACAGGTTTGCTTTGAACACTATATTACACTGTTTTATTGTTATATTTAATGATTATTTCGCTGTACAAGGTCAGTCAGTAATAATCTATATTTCTTCTACTCGTGTGCACTAGGGATTCTTCTTAATAAATTGTGATGCACAGGTTTTGAAATATATATTGTGATCGGTTTTAGTGCATGCTCCTTGGTCTTGCACAAGTGTAGATGAACAAGACGAGATAGACTTTATTGATCTCACAGTGGAGAAATGTACAATGTATATGAATGTAACGGTCACAGAGCAGTCAAATCAAGAAGTTCTCTTATAAGCTATTGCAGAGTTGTAGACAGGAAGCCATGTGCAAACGGGAAATAATGTGGTTGTGTGTGTGCGGCTACACCGTTTTTCAAATTTTTCGAAAGCTCCTAAATATAACACTCACTCAGTGTATTGTATAGATACCGAAAAGTGTTTAAAAGTGACTCGTATTAATACATGTATATACTGTATTTTGCATCATGCAGCGACGAGCTCGACAAGTTTATGGAAAGTCAAGGCGCTAATGCCCCTGGGATCCTGACGCTGACCACGAGTCTCAGTAAACCGTTCATTCGGCTGGACAAATATCCAACACTTTTACAGGAGTTGGAAAGACACGTGGAGGTACATCATCAATACCAGGGACAAAGACGAAATGATTGTGTTGACTTTAACTTCACTGTTTCATGTCTTATCAATCACAGGAGGCCCATCTTGACTACCCCGACATTATAAAGGCAACAGCTGCATTTAAAGACCTTGTTGTAAGTCCACTTCTCCCATATTCAAGGCAATTGTTTATTAGACCAGAACATACTTTGTTAAGCATGTTTGTGACAGTCTGTGAAAAGTGCCATACACATGTACTTACTTTATTATTTACATACTGTATATGGGTTTATTTTTGTTATTATCATTTTCTGTTAAGATTTAGAGATCAGGGGCCGTATTCCTAAAGATTCTGAGAGTCCTCTCAGAGAGCTCTTATCTTAACCTAAAAACTCCTAGCTAGGAGTCTTAGCTTAAAAGTTATTCCAGAACACTCTTAGAGAACTCTGAGCAAGGAATTGACAACAACTTTTATCTTAGTGAGGAGGCGTGGCCGACCCCGTTGCTAGGTATGAGTCATCATTTCAGACGCTGTGATTGGTTGATCCTAAAAGTTAGAACAAACATATTTTTGATGATAATAGGCAAAATAAGGGCCCTAAAATGGACAAACTCAATCATGGAATCTAATCTTAGGAACACTGTGTTATTGTAAATAATAACCAAAAGCTATAAAGTCAGATATATCAATGGTACATAAATACTGTGAATAGTAAAGTTAGACTTATACACCATCATCAGAGCTTGCTCAGCACCAATTTATCACACATAATACGTATATATCATGAGCACTTATATGTATATATATATATATATATATAAAATTATAATTTAAATATTACTCTATATATAATATACATGATAAAGAAAATTATTATAATAAATATTATATGGATAAATGATGATAATGATAACGTTAGGATTAGTAAAGGCTGTGATATGTATAGACTTATAAGGAATTAAGGAAACAATATTAATATAAACATATTATACATACACTGTACAAATCAAGTACAAGGGAGCTTAAAAGTCTTATCCTCTCCTACTCCTTTTTGAGCTGGATTGTTGTTAATAAAACAAAACTGTATATTTGTACTTCTATTCTGTTGTTGTTTTGTTTGTTTTGTCCTTTTTTTTCTTGTTTGCCATGGCTCAAAATAAAGTATTCATTCATTCGTACTGAATGTGTGACAATTTAGGACCACTTTTTCCTCTCTTTCAACTTTTACCATTTCTACTTACTTTTGTGTAACAAAGGTAAAATGGATGAGGTGTTATTGCTGACCAGCCAATGAGAAGCTGGTCACATGATTGACTTTTAAATATACCACAAACATGATTCCTGCTTGAATCTGTAGCGTTTCACTGATTCACTGTCATCCAGTGTATAGAATATTTCTCCTGTCTCCACCGTCCACCATTTTGTGCTCTTAGGGAACTTTTAAGTCGCTAAAAGTCCTCCTCTCAACTCTTAAGGGATCTCCCCTTAAGAGCACTCTTAAGAGCTAGGATTTTTTAGGAATAGCTTTTATCTTAACTAGGAGCTACTCCTCACTTTTAGGGGAAATTCTAAGAGTTGGTCAAGATTCTAAGAAAATTCTTAGAATTTGGCCACTAGGAGCAACTTTTAGCAGTAAGAATCTTTAGGAATACGGCCCCAGATATTCTTCCCACAGTTGGGAGATTTCAGGGTTGCATCCCAAGTTCCAGAACAGTAGGAATGAGCAGCACAAGATAAATGAACAATAACTCTAGACTAAAGGGAAAAGAATCAATCTCTACCTTTAACATAATAAGGAAAGAAGTCTTAAAATTCCAACTTTAGCATGTTAAAGAAGCAAAAAAAGCTCCTAAGTTATTCTAGTTTTGAAGAATACACTACACAGCTGAAACTCAGGAAATTAGAATAGTGCTAAGTCAGCTTTCTTCTGTAATTCAACTCACAATATGAAACTAATCTGCAGCATGTTGTTTATCATTTTGCAGATGCAGTGTCAGAATGTGCGTAAACGTAAGAACCTGGAGCTGCAGATCTTGTCAGAGCCGGTGCGGAGCTGGGAGGGGGACTGTATCAAGAGCATGGGGCAGGTGGCGTACATGTCCCAGGTGTACATTAAGAACGGCTCCAGTGAGGTATCGTGAGCAATACTTCTCTACATACTTTCTATGTTCTCTATACATACTCTACTACTATACTCTCTACATACTCGTATATAGAGCATGTATATATATTTTATCAAGTGACAAGAATACATCTCATCATTATGTGGCATCATGGTTTCATTATTTTTTTCAAAGTCTACATAAAATGAAGAAAAAATCAATAGAAACCTGAACCTGTGTTTCTCATAATGAAATAAGCCACCGCTGTGCTTTTTGTGTGGTTTCTTTGAAGGGGTCGGCATCAAACATGTGGTTGGAACAGACACATTTGGATGAGCCTCATCAGGCAGAATCACCTCATTTAAAACTGTTGTTAGGGTTTTAAGTTAGCCTCAGAGTTCACAAACCTGGAGCACACTCATGTCGAGAGGATTAATATGACAAACACTGACATCAATTTGTTTCACAGGAAAAAGAAGAGCGCTACTTAATGCTTTTCCCAAACATGCTAGTAATGCTGTCTGCCAGCCCACGGATGAGTGGCTTCATTTATCAGGTCAGACACAACAAACATTAGAATGCATTAGGGCCGAGCGATATGGCAAAAAAGAAAAATCTCGATTTTATTTCCTGCTTTGGACAATTTCTATTTTAAATCGATTTATCATTAAAGTCACAGACTTTGCCCTTAAAAATCTTGTTTGATCTTTCCTCTCAAAATTCAAGTTTAGAAACTATTTTTTATTTGTTTCCCCAAATACATAGTATAAAAGTCTTGTACAAACTGTGCTGATATTGCTAGTATGATTCATGTGCTGCTGGAACTTTCATAATATCCACATTTGTCACAAATTCGATTTTTTCAAAAGCCGATTAATTGCCTAAATTTCGATTTATTGCCCAGCCCTAGAATGCATACTAAGTATAATATGATATTCTAAAACTTCTAAAACTAAAAACAATACTATTTGTCATAGGGACGACTGCCTCTAACTGGCACCACTGTGACGAGACATACAGAGGAAACGGACATTGTGCAGTTTGCGTTTGACATTTCAGGTAAAACCTCAAGTCTATAGGTCTCACACTTTCCATAAAAGATCCTCTAGGCAACTTGTGAAATTACTTATGTTTCTTCCTTTTTGTTACTTTGTGTAGAATATTGGCATGAACTAAAATAAAGCTGATCTTGTTTCTTATCCCACAGGAAGTATGATTGAACGGATCAGTGTGTTCTGCAGCAGTGCTCTGGAGCTGCAGGAGTGGTTGGAGCATCTCCAGCCCTTTACTAAAGGAGGCAGCCCTGTGGGCACCATCACCAAGGTTCACACGGAGCAGATTCATTTTATCTTACTGTAGAGCAAATGGGGATGTAACAGAAAAGTACTACAACCCTAACAATACACATTGACAAATTAATCATATTATAATTTCACAATAAATCTGCTTCAAAAAGGCTGTTCTTCAGAAGCTTCTCAAAAATAGAATAGATGTCGTGTCACATTCATGCATATTAAATAGTGCCCGTGCTGTACAACATCCTTATTCGCAAACAGTTTAGTGACTAAGCTGAAAAATAAACACTAATTTATTCTCAAGTGGCTCATCTGTGTCTTTTAGACTGTGGAGGCAAAGTCTTTGAGCATGGTGGGCAACCCAACTCACTTCTCTCACCTCAGCCTCAGTGTGACACGTGGCCCTTTGGAGCCACCTAAGACCAACAAACCCTGGTCCTTGAGCTGCCTGCGGCCTGCTCCGCCCCTCAAGCCGTCCGCCGCACTGGGCTATAAAGAGGTAGGCGATGGACTCCAGATACTTGATCACATGTGCGACACTATCAAGCATTTGTAAATTAGATTAAAGGTTTGGTTCAAATAAGTTATTATACACTGGTAATGATGATATGAAATCGTTTGTTGCCACTGACTCCTGTACCTTACTGTTATCTATGGGCTGCTATTTATTTTAGCTTATTTTTCAAACAATGATTCCCCACTCGTCGATAGTGCATGTATAATTCCTGTCATCTTCTCTACTTTCTTAAATTAACCAACCTATTCCGACACAGAATAGGTGAAGGCTGATGTTCATTAGAAACCTAATCACTCCTCTCTCATGCACATGTGTTTTTCTCTTCTCCACTCCGCCTTCATAGAGGATGTCTTATATCATGAAGGTAAGGTTAGCGGCCTGTCAGTCCTGCTCTGTGGTGTTGCACTGGTGTGGAGCTGGCTGTGTTTGTGGTGTCTGCTGCTGGACTTTTCACTGTCTATTTCTACTCTTCTGCTGCAGTGTTGAGGGCTGTGATATTAACTTAAACAGTATGCAGATTGATTAATGGAATTCTTTATTTATTTTTTTATAAAAAGTTGATGACATTTGGGAGAATGTGGCGTTATATATTATAAATAGCCTTTTTATGATTCATGGTCAAGCATGAAGCATTCTGGGTTTTACCCAAGAAAACTCGGAGTCACACAAAAATTATACTTACTTTCTAGGAACTATAATTTTTATTATATTATTATTGCTGATAATGACAGCCACAAGATCCACCCTTGTCACCTTTGGCGGCATAAACTTACCGTAGCTAAAACTGCTTTATTTGCTTTATTTATTTATTTTATTTTATTTTTTTTTATTCATTTTAATATTACCTGGCAGTTCCAGTTTTGGTAGAACTATGTACAATACTAGAGAAACAAGTTAGATCGTTCTTGTTTCCTCTCACTGGTATCTTAAAGATTCGCTGATGAGGTTGTTCAAGCCAAGCAGCGCCATGTGCCGTAGCTTCAGTATCTGTGTATTTGTCTTTTGGATTTGTGCTCTGCTCGCTTTTTACTGTTGCCTTTCACTTTCATAAAAACCTACAGGGCTGTTAAACATATATTCAGTCAAGGAAAGCATGAGATTTTTGATTAACGTAGTTGTTTATGCCTAATATGGGAGCTGATTACTTGGCATCTTTTCTGTCTTCTTGCATGAAAAATAAGTGCACTTTTACAAAAGTACCACTTTCAGTCGGTTTAAGAATACAAATAAACTTTGATATACATCCACAGAGGAAAATAATGAGTTTAAGATTTGAATGTATTATAAGTAATAACAATATGAAATCTATTTCATCATAATGCTTTTTACAAAACTAAACTAAACTGGGGTATTGGTGCAGTGGTGATTGTGGGATTGATAATTCTTCGACACAGATGGAAACACGATAGACTGTGTTTCCATCAGTAAAACCACAACGCTGATGAGGTTGTGGTTTTCTCAGTAAAAAGTTTGCTGCCCAAATGTTATTTAATGAATTACTACACTGTAGAAAAAACTCATAACTCCAAATATTGAATGTAAGTATTTAATTTTTCTTTCTCGTTGACAAGCTTTTGACCTAAAGTGCTGTCTGTGTTTATGAATCTAGGCTCTACTGTTACGTAAAAGGTAATTGAAATTTTCACTTGTTGTTACGTGTAGGAGTCCAGCAGAAGCCCAAGACCCATGAAAAAGTTTCTTCCTGGAAACAGGAAAAAAGAGCGCAAACCTTCAGATGATGACGTTCATACAAGAAAAAGTACTTAGTGTAAATAAACAAATGTCTTTATTGTTTTGCCGTGTTCTTCATGATGTTTCTCTTTTAGGCACTGTTGCTCTTGAGGAAGATGCTCAGATCCTACGAGTGATCGAGGCCTACTGCACACAGGCCAGCCTGCACCAAACCACCACTGGTGAGCACACAATCACTGCTCTCACACATCACATTCATGAACCTACAATACGGACAAATTCTGCTTCCATGTGTTTGTAGCTGTGCGGAAAGAGTGTGTCCCTCAAGTGCTTCTGCCTGAAGAAGAGAAAATCATAGTAGAAGAAATGAGGAGTAATGGGCAGACGGTGATTGAGGAAAAGTGAGAAGACTTACAAATACTTACTCTTTGTGTACTTTACACACACACAGACACACACACACAGTACCTGCCTTTTATAAGAATAGACCTATGCCTTATATAAGAATAAAGTCTTTAATTAAATTCCATGTATTTTTGTATAGTCTTAAATCACAACAGCAGTCGTCTCAGAGGAATTTGCAAAGTTGTTGATTTGTCAACAACAGATCAGAGAATCAAACAATTCAAACATGGATAATGGGAGGAGCCATTGGAGCCATTGGTCCATAGGGTCATAACACTGAGGTTTCACATGACTCTTATCTGTGTAAAGTAAAACCTGTTGACCTAGAAAACAGCAGAAAAAGGGAAACATTTTTTGCAGCAGAGACGGTTTCTTTGTAGTTTATCACAATAGTAAACTTCATCTTCATTTTAGGAGCTTGGTGGATGCAGTTTACGCTTTAAAAGACGAGATGCACGAGCTTAAAAAGGTATCCCTGTACTTTGCAACGCTACTCCTCCATATGGTGACGTCTATTCTGATGTGGTTCAAACGTGTCGGTGTGTCGCAGGAGAACCGCTGGATGAAACAGTTCCTGGAGGAGGAGCAGAAGTCTCGAAAGGACCTGGAGAGAGTGGTGCGCAAACTGGCCAAGCAGAAGAACGAGTGTTCGTGGGAGGACGGGGGTCACTGACCTCGCACCGCTCATGCTACATCACACCACTTCCACCACAAAGACATTCAGACTATTTTTTTTTTCCTCCCCCATGCACGGAGTGATATATTTTCACTTTATCGTCAAACAAATCTCTCAAAATCATAAAAGACAATCTGACTCATCAAACGCCAAACTCAATTGATCGTTCTAATCCATGAAAACAAAATATAACGTTGAGATTGTTTTGTTGCTTTACATTTATTTATTATTTTGCTCTACGCCTTATTGATATAGTTTGCTGCCTTTTTTTAATACTGTGTTTTGTAACCATGGCAACGACAGAGCAGATCAAGTGAGCGCGACTAACAGGTTTCAATCCGTGGTTAATTTCAGGTTTTGAGTAGAGTTTAGCTAACAAAGTGCCTCTGAAGTGGTCCACAATAGCAATAAGGACCAGTTTAGCGTTAAATAATGCATGGTTTGTACTGGACGGTTTATTTTATTATGTCCGGAGAGACTTGGGTGTCGGGTTTGTGAAATCTTTTGTTTTGCAGTAGCGGTACATTTCTTTATGAGAATATTCACTCAAAACGGCTTTCGACTTCAGCAGCGGCTCGTACGTACACCAGCAAATGTTTTTGTTTTACTGGTGTGGGTCACGTTTTTGTATCCAAACAAATTAGCAATAAAATACCAATGCTCTTTATTTACCAAAATAGGACAGCAAACGCCTCTCGTCTTTTGATGTCTTTGTGTCCCTAAACGTGGTCCTGGATTTCAATCGTTTGTTGTGGCTTGTTGTTTGTTTTCCAAGCCATTTGTCAGGCACATATTGAAATGTAAAATGTGTAGTTTGTCAAAGTTGTGTGACTTTATTTTTCATGTCAAGTCAGGAATCTATATATTTTAAGGTCCAATTCGGTGACATCTGTAAACGTCAACATGTTTTGTGTTGAGGTGGCTTTCACATCCAGTGTTTTGGAACATGTATTCTATGCAATATTGTTACAAGCTTTTGTTCTGGACCCTTCCTTGGGCCTGTCACGATAACTCGTTTTGAAAGACGATATATTGCTTCACAAAAGTATTATGCGATAAACGATAATATTGGACTACTTTCATGACGCGAGTACAATCCAGCAAAATAATTCTGTCTTTTTTACATTTACAGCTAAGATATTATTGTTTTACATCAAAAATGGCACTGTCTGCTTTTGCAAAGAAAATGTACGAATGATAAATATTAAGGCCCAAAATATATTGTTTCATCCATCAGTTTTTGAACATTAAGTCTACATAGTAATTATCGTGACAGGGCTACTGTTCATTTATTTTATTAAAATCTAATATAATACAGCTGAAGTGTGTGTGTGACTTTTTTCATATAACATGCAAAGGATATTCAGATTCATTCAGACATTTGCCTGTTTTCCAAGGTGCGTTCTCTGGTGGGTTTACGTTTGAAGGAAGGACTGAGTCAGAGGCTTCCTGTGTGCATCACCTCTGCATCTACACCTTCACAACAGTCTCACTTTCCATGCACCGTGACAGCAGCAACCGAATCCACACAGCACCAAGAAATGCTTCAACAACAAAAAAAATCTTACTTTCAGTAAGATTTTCACAGTTCTGAGATGCTGCTCTGTTGTGCAGCAGGTCGTCACGCACTGGACTATTGATACTGATGAGAATAGGCTTTAATACAGTCATATATTTAAATGGATTTGATGCTATAAGTACAGCCTCATTTTTAAGGCTATGAAGCGAAAAACAAAAAAATTATATCAAGCGAGATTTAGGACCACATTCAACTCAATTCACTCACTGCGAAGAGTGAACATTTGAGTGATTCAGATAAGCAATTGAAAATGTGTTGGAATTGTATTCTTTTTTTTTTGTTACTTTTAAAAAAGTAATGTGAAGGTCAATAGGTGGAGGAAGAAGTGATTCCCTCAGCACAGAGTTTCCTGTTTGCTTTTATTATTTTATTGGTGAATAATTGTATATCTTGTGCATGTTTGGAATAAATAAACAACTGCAATATTCAGTATACACAGTGAGAGGCTACAAAAGCCATGTGAAAGAAAATGACCTTATTACAGATTATTTCACACAGTTTGAGCAATAAATAACGTGCGTGCATTTACAGAAATAAATTAGCATTACAAGAAGACTACTTTCTTCATCCTTTTCTTGACAACAAGGCAAGGCCGGTTTATAACTAGATAACTAGGGCTGCACGATGTTTTACAAAACATCGAATTGGGTTATTTCTGATCAACACATATATATATATAAAGGTAATTGAAAATTGCGATGTTGTAGGTTTACATATAGGTAATTGAAAATAAAAATTGCAATGTTGATCAGAAATATGCATATATATAAATGCTTGATAGTATATATACATTCTGAAAATAATTCCTCTGCCCGATAAGACGAAAGGCACTGAAAAAGAAACTCAGATAAACTTTTTTAGTTGTAATGAACTTAGGTAATAAATAATAATACACTTAGATAGTGCAGCCCTATTTATGAAATAAACTGAGCTCTAAGACTTCAAATTAAGGATTTTGTCTTCCTGAATATTGTGCGCTCTCGATCTTCATTATAGACTAAACAACCCGAGAGTTGTACCTGTTTCTTCATAACTGATCAGTGACAAGTCCTCGGTCCATACACTCAGCTGGTTCCCTGTTTCCAGCTGCACCACGTCTTCTGCAGAGGCGGTGCACAGGGTGGATATTGTGTGGCAAAATGCCTGCATTATTGGTTTGGGTTCACCCGTCTGGGTCTTTCTCCAGTCCACTCTGTTGGTCAGAGGTATGGTGGAGTGTCCACTGGAGAATGTCACCCTGGAGTAAACAAAGTAGTATCCTGGTTTCTCGATAGTCAGCCAGCTACTGTTGTAGTAGTTGATGTGTGGACGGCTGTACTGACTGTGCCTCATGTCCCACTTCAGATGTCCAGCTAAAAAAGGCACACAGTCATTATTAGTACAAGTGTGAAAAAACAACAAAAACCTCTTTGGAACATGTTGAAAGTCTTACGATGGGGTTTTGGTGGTGTGGTTGGCTGAAGGACCGTCATCCGTGCAAAGACTGTGTGAGACTCTCTCTTCTCGACGTGGTGACTGTGCTGCTTTTGCATTGAAGGCTCTGGAGAAAATAAACAATACAAATAATTTATCTAGTTTTGTGCCAATACATAGTGCATTTAGTTTGACTTAAAGCCACACTTACCGGCGTGACTAAATGAGGATTTCATGTCCTAAAGAGAATATAGAGTTAGTTTTGTGCAGATCGTTTTTACAGCAATTTGATAATAACTTTTCTATTCATATAAAATCTATATTACATAAGAGATGAATAGTCCCATACCTGTTTTCTTTGTGTTGTGCCGTTCTTGTAAAGGTAGAAGAAGCCGAACATGGACAGGAGCAGGTTGAGCAGCACCACTGTGAACATGAAGCGGATGAGGCCCCTGCTGTGGGGCTTTGGCAGGAGGTCATAGGGGACCATCACCGGTGCGACACTCTGGTGCTGGCGCGGGGGCAGCGGTGGAGGGGCCACGCTGGTCAGGTGTGTGTTGATCATTGCAAATACTCGACTAAGCTCTCACACGTTCAGTCTTACTCTCTCCACTTCCTAGACAGGATGTAGTCTCTGCACATATGAGTGAATCACCTATGTCCTTCCTCCTTTTTCATGAAAGTGTATGCTACACTACTTACTCAGAACTTATATTTACAAGTGTTCAATCAAATTAACTCTAAAAAGAACACATTACTCATTTGTCTGTGAGTATTAATGACACATTGAACTATTACCCAAAAAACTACCCCCTTACATTGCTCTTATTGACATCATCTGAATAAAAGGTGTGATTCCTACATCAAAATATACATGCATTTGCACAAATTTCTCACACTCACTCACACTCGCCAAGCTGCGGTGGTATCTTTACTGCAAATCAGCAAATGTTGAGGTTTCTCTATAACCAATCTGACCTGGATAGGTTTTGCCCGAAATATAGTCGCTAAAGTGACACCGAGAGAAGATGGTCACAGGAAGCTCTGCTGAAATGGAACAACTATAATTTTCAGACACATTTTGAGGGTGGTTTGTTGGTTTTATGCAGTATAGCGAACAACTATAGTGTGATGATCAGTGCGAGTGCCATAAACAGTGCTCTTGGGAGTGCTGATGTGGAGCTGAGCAGCACTGAGGGAGGTCTCTCTGCGCAGCGGAGACAGCACAGAGAAGTGTGTCTTTGGAGTGGGAGGTCCGTCTCCCTGAGCACAGTTAGGATCATCTTGACACTTAAAGAAGGCCACAACACACCTGGAAAACTGTCACACATCTACTATCAGATCATACCACAGGGCTTTACGTGTGAATGTGGTTTAATCTGTGTCACCTGATTGTTGAAGAAGATGTAGATGAGGGGGTTGACCACGGTGCTGAACTTGGCCAGGATTGCGGGCACTATACTGGCCACAGGGGTGACCGTCCCAGAGCGCCCGAACGTGGTGACGAGGGCCATGACGCCGTAGGGCATCCAGCAGAGCATGTAGCAGGACACCATGGACAGCACCATGAACAGGATGTGCTGCTCGCGGCGCTGAGCTGACAGCACGTTGATCTTACCCACCTGAAAAAGTTAGAATAGGAAGTCATTTCAACTAAAAAATACAGGCATTCCACATACATTTCTCTGTATATCACTTAAGGTCACTGTAAGAATAAGAGAGAGAATGTTTTATATTGAATGTGCAACGCCATCTGCTGGTACAATTAGACACAGGCAGTAGGTCGCATTCATGTTCTAGGATTCTACCTTCTCATAAACAGGACATTAGCTAATACTCTAAAAAAGCCATTTGTGAAAGAATTGTTGAGAAAACCCGCCAAATTAATTCTTTTTCAATGCTATGTGACTCCTTTATGAGCAAAAACATTGTTATAATAATAATTCATTGATGTGTACTGACAAAGGTGTGTGTGTGAATGGTTGGTGGTGGTCGGAGGGGCCGATGGCACACACTGGTTGCCTCGCTTCTGTCAGTGTGCCCCAGGCAGCTGTGGCTACAGTAGTAGTTTATCACCACCGTGTATGGAGTGAAAGAATAATGACATGTGACCAGAATAACACTACATAAAACCAATGCATTATTATTATTATTCTTAAACCAAACCACAGTTTTCCCATGTGGATTGGCCCAGACATTACAGCTAATTTAGCTTTTGACTTTTACCATAGTTACCAGGAAAGATGCCCAACACAACACTGTTAAACAATAGGCTCTTAGGAAGGTTGTGACCGCAACCTACTGACACAAATTGAACAAGAAGGAAACAGTCGACCTGTGTCCACAGAATGGGCCGTATTCACCTGCGATGAGGATGTGAAAACCATGTTTAAACGTGAGCTGTTGATCCCGGACGTTGCTGGTCTTGTTTAAACACACAGTTAGTCCTGCTGTGCTGTCTGACAGACATGAGCTAAAGTTAGCCTGTGCCTGAGCCCATAATTACAGAGCTCCCACAGCCGCTGGACAGCTCTACCTCTGCAGCCTCTGATCACAGCCTGTGCTGGGCTTTTGTGATCATTCTGTTTGTATAACATGAACACTTCCTTTTACATTAGTCGTTCCTAATTTGTTCCATTTAGCAATTGGAGTTAAGATCATTTTAACTATTGGTATGGTGCAGTCAAGTGGCCCTCACACCTTTTACTAAGAATCTTGTTGACCTCGTATTGACACCGGATTCAAAACTGCAATTGTTACAATTTAAACTTAACTCATAAATCAAATTACATTATTTCTGATAAGGAATCTACAAAGAGACACCAATTGACCAGCGGTGTGCACGGTGTAACATACACATGTACAGAAAATATGTACTTTTGTCAATTGTTGGCAGTCCAGTTCTTTAAACTTAGGTTGTCTGGATTTTATAAATAAAGCGTTTGTATTATGCTCTATGTGAAAGATTATTCTTGATACAGTTCTCTAAATGGATACGCTACAAAATACATTGTACACAGGTAATTCATTTGGCATAACTAAAGAAATATTCCAAGTTTTCAAGCCCTACCTTTCAAGATTCAAGAATTTATTTGCCATTTGCAGTCAAACCATTTTGGAAAAACTGTGCAAGACTGTGCAAGACTGTGCAAGACTGTGCAAGACTAGTGTGACTCTGGGTTATTTTGGATTACTAACTTGAAAACAAAGTCTATCTCCAGGATTGGAGTATAAATAACTGACTGACTAAACATAACACGCAGCGGAGATATAATGAGTATGATAATAATATCTAGCTTGAGTTTGGTGACGTCTGACTGGTCTAATGAGCGTCTCAAACAGAGGCTCCCAGCTGGACGTGGGCACACCATCTGAGCCCCTACAGCAGCTGCAGGAGTCAAAGCCCCTCGGCATAATGACATCTCCAGACAGGAAACGAGCAGAAATGTGATTCATCCGTCTTTAGATATGAGCTGTTGATAGCTGCACAACACCAAGTGACAGAGGTCAGTTTCCTCATTATCAAGAGGCCTGTTTTTACGGCACCATGAGTCACTGTTGAGAAGGGGTCAAATTCACACTGCTTTTTGCCAACACAAAGAGTCCTCATTTATCTGCTTAAGTAAACATGGACTTGTTAGTGAAAATGATATTTTGTCTCATCACAATGTCAATATCCTATCCTTTCTATATATTTTTTTATCTTATTTTATTATTATTATCAATTATTATTATTATTATTATTTTGCTATAAATGTATTTTGTGTTTCATTTCATATGCTTGGGGATATTGTGGGAGGGACTGGGGGTAAAATGTATCCTTAAAATACAATAAAAATTATAATATTAATTTAAAAAGAAAAAAAATTCCAAACAGTTCATAAACTTTCAGGTGAACTCTGGCTGGTGGAGGAGTTTACTTTAAATGTAAGTCAATGGGAGCCAGAGCAAGTTGCCTCAAAACTTGGCCCTTGAGCTCTGAGTGCTTCATGGGAATCATGGGTTATTGTCCCCATGGGTTATTTGACCCGTTATATATACAGGTCAAAATCCCCTGGGTTTTTGTCATTGTCTGCAGACTGCTTTTATAGTACCTTATAGTCAAGTCAATGCTGAAAACGTTTTTATCTATGACTGATAATCATCATGTGTCATTCCATAAAAATAAAAAAAATAAAAAATTATGTGTTACCTTGTGTACACACATACAGTAAAATGCACTGTATGTGTTTTTACAGTGTGTGTTTTAATTGTTTTTTTAATGTTGTCAATGTGAAGTACTTTGGTTTGCATTCTGTATGAACTGTGTTATAGAAATAAATGTTGATTGATTGACTGATACTTTTCTGTGGTCAATGAAGTTACTGCAGAGTTTGTCAGGTAGCGTTCTTAACCAACTAGAATTGTGAATAATCTGTGCGGTGTGGACTTACCCGCTTAATAGCCAACAGGATGTGTCCATATGAATACACCATGAGCAGCAGAGGCAGCAACAGGCAGAAGATGAAGAGACACAGCACATAGGACACATTGGCCACTGAGCGCTGGTGCCACTGGACTGAACATGTGATGCCCGACCCCTCGGGGCCATAACTGCTCCAGCCAAAAAACGGTGGCAGAGTCCAGAACAGGGAGTACAGCCAGGAACCCAAAATGCAGAGACGAGCCTTTCTGAAGTCCGACAGGTCCACCAGGGAGTGCCTCAGGACGGTGGTGTAGCGCTCGTAAGACAGCGCCGCCAGAGACACCAGGGACACGATGCCTCATGTGGAAACAACAAACTCATGTTGGCATTTGCAACTAGGATTCAAAATAATTGGTTTCCAAAATTGTAATAGTGTCTGTTAATGTTTTTTGCCCTGCTCTTTAGAATTGGGTTTGATTATCATAATGAACTGTGGCAAACTTTTAAATAAAATGCTGGCTGTTTAGGGATCTGCAAAGTGGGTGGAGCATAGGGTTCCAGATGTAAAATGCCTCATTCAAAATCCCCATAGGAGTTTTGAAAAATCCAAAGGTCAAAAATTTGAAGACACAACAGAGGTTAAATAGCTACCTGCCAACTATATGCTGTCCACGGTGTGGTGCTTTCACATGAAATAACAACATGAAAATGTCAGACTTTGTGGTTGTCATGTTTTTATATTAATGCAGGACAGGTCATGAAGCATCACTGTTCAGCCCCAAACAAAGTTATTAATGTTTTAGATTTTTTTTTTTTGAAAGAGTAATTTTACTTACTGAAATAGTGATCCCTCCCACTTCACAGCTCCATCGATTGAGTGTCTTGAACATGGAAAAAGTCCAGTTTTTGCTGTTTCCCACACTGTTGTTTGATGATCAAGTAACTAACACAGTATTCCAATAAGAAAAACTTTCAATGAAATACAAGTGCCTGCATAGCTCCTAAGATTACAATATTATTTCATATACTTGTATCAGGACAGGCAGCGTTTCATCTTCAATGTACAATATTGAAGTACCAATCCCTCTTGTTGTAATATATATATAAACTTAACTTTTGTGTGTGTTGTAGGGGGCAGCTCGCCTCTTGCCACTGGCCTCTACAATGTGAAGGAACGGCTCTGTGAATGTTCTTCTAATTGCCTTACCTTTTTTTTGGGACCGGAATATGAATACATTGTGGACTACATATGAGTCTATCATCCACTCATATTCTCCCACAACTCACCAAAGAGAGAGTTGGCGAATCCGTACCACTTGCAGCCGTCCTCCCCGATGAGCCAGCGGCCGCAGACACTGGCAGCGAAACTGAAGGGGGTCCCGAACACGCACACCAGCACGTCGCTCAGGCTGATGTTGAGCAGGATCAGGTTAATGGGAGTCCACAGCGATCGGAATTTGGCAAAAACGATCAGCACCAAAAAGTTACTGAGGAATCCCGTGACCAGGATGAAGCCGAGGCACACGGCGACCGCGTTGTGTCCCGCCTGGGTCAGTCCCACGCGCTCCTGGCCCTGTCCCGCGGAGAGATTGGAGGTGCGCTCTTGGACCATAGCACGGAGCAGAGATGGTGATGGACACATGGTCTGATGCATGTGTGACCGCAGAGAGGGAGGGAGTGGGATCAAACTGCCTCTCTTACTACACACCCAAACCGTACTCTCCTTCTCTCGCTGTGTATTTGTAGTTTTTTTTCCCCATTCTGATATTTTTTTAATCCAGGTTAAAAAACAGTTATTTTTAGCTGTGCGCACAACTGAGGGATTTTATGTGTACTCTTTTTTAATGTACTGTGATTATTTGTGATTTTAATGTCTTGTCTTTTTTCGTAGTTTGGCACTTTGGGTTGCCTTGTGAATGAATTGTGCTATACAAATAAATTTCCCTTGCATTGCTAATTGCCTTCCCTTCAAATATGTGCGTAAACACTAAGACTCCCGGAATTCTGTGACTATTAGAAATCCTGGAGCCGTCATTTTGACTTATCCCATTAAAACCAATGTAATTCTGAGAAATTCCCCCAAGTAATGTTTAGTTTTTCATCAGATTCATTAAAATAAATATCATTTATAAGGTTTTTGTTTTTATTTTAAATAGGTGCTGAAACTGGTCATTGTAACTGCAACTGAAAAACAGCAACAACTAATAAAGGTTAATTCTAACTTCTGACTGTAACTATCACTTTAGTAACTACCACTATTCTTTAGAATAGTGTAAAGGTAGAACTCCTCACTTTTCAAAAATAAAAGATAATTTCATTTAATAAACTACCTAAAGACACAGTTGTGAAGACCAAGAATAGACATGAGGTCAGAAACTACTTCCAAAACGAAAAGGGAATTCTGGTGTTAATAGAAATTCCATCTAAAATCTCCTCTTTTAGGTGTTTTCTTTCCAGGCGCTGTGTAGAGCTAATTTTGTGAACCAAACCGACACCTGCTCTGCTACTATTCAAATTCTATGACAGATATATAGGTCAGATTAGGAGATTGTCCAAAAGCAAATGTTATTATCCCAGTGTCACGCTTCAGAAGTGCTCATTTTGTGTTTATTCACCGAAGGTAAATGTGTCAGCAGCCAAGAAAGTTATTATTGACTCAGCACTTTCAATAATGGAGAAATGTTGTTTACTAATTTCACCCTGAGTGCTCCTATGAAGAAGATGACAAAGTCTGGGATCACGTCTTTCATTCAGACAGAAGACATGTTTTATTGTCGATAGTAGAGACAGCACGAACAAAGCACGAACACAGAATGCAAGTGTATTATACAGAGCGGAGGCATGGAGACCTCCAATCAGCAGCTTCCACGGTGCCAGCAGAAAACATGAAGTGGAAAAGTACAGGCTTCTGCACATTGATAGAATGATGAGTTTAACTTTAACAAAAGTTGCTTAAAAGTGTTATGAAATCTCACACCTATTTACGCCAAACATTTCTCCACTGTGAGATCAATAAAGTTTTTTCTTATCTTTGTCTAAGACGTTATGCTTATATTACCGTTTTCCCATAATAGATTCATAAAATATGTAAAGAATGAATGTTCTGTTTTAGTTACAAGGATGACAGTATAGGCCTACATAATAATCAATGTGTCCGCAAACAGCTTTAACATGAATATACTGGAATTAACACAACATCGAAAGCAATCATTTCATCTATGGGAGGGCGATTGGTTTGATTTCAATTACATTTTGAGAACCACTTTATAGGCCACAGCTTGGTAGGTAGGGTTTTTTTCTATTTGTTCTTTATTATTTATCAGTATATAGTTATTTGGATTTTTCTATAGGCGCGTGCATGAGTGAATTACAGTGATTTAAATACACCAAATTCGCACCACCACAAATGCACTCACAAACACTCAATCATTCGCCCTGAACTATAGCACATGTTTTTAGCACTCAGATTATAATTTCAGTCTGGAAATACATTGGTATATATTGTAAGGTTCTTATTGAAAAATCCTGGTTGACATGTATGTTCCTTGTTAGCATGTTTCAGCTGCTAAACTTTGGGATAACTTCAGAACCGTTTTAATGAGGTAAGCTACATCTCAACCAGTATTTGACCTTCATTAGGAACCTATGCAGTCAAACGTTAAAAGATGAACATTCTTGGAACATATCAGCCTCTATCATTTCAACTCAATGCACAATTTAAAATCCATCTGGTGAGGGACAAACGTGGGGACTTGGAATAATGGCATGTTTCATCTCCTAACTGCTGGAATCAAGTGTATGGAAGTATAGCCCCATTTCCTCCTCCTCTTAATTATTCTGTTAGTACCTGCTTGGCCCTGGTTCTTCCCAGGCCAAACTGGTGTTAAAGTTTTCTAACTGACAGTGATTGGCCAGAGTGCTGCTGGAAGCCATGATTACCAGAGAATTAACATGAATACTGGTTTGTTGTGGTTGCTGCGATATGGTACCAGATGGTAAATATCTCCATTGTGAGATCAATAAAGTTAATCTTATCTCTTAAAGCGTATTTGTAAACGCTCTCTGGTAGAGTAGAGCTGACAAGAGTGGAGTGTGGCCAAGTAGGGCTGGTGGAAACAGGGCTTGCTTCATCAACAGCATCCCGATGTCTATTTTCTGACTGCTGTAAAATTGTGATAGATTACGCAAAGCCTACTGAGCATATAACAAAAGCAGATCTGAAAAAACATTGTAGATAACTTTAATTGTTGAAAAAATTATAGTAAACCATTGATAATTATATAAGGATGTTCTGTGTGAAGAAATACAATGACGTAAATATAATGACATACAACCCCCAGTTTTATAACAATACATGTACAATATAAATACAGATAATTTACAAACAAAAAACAAATATAGGCTATGAAGGTGCACCATGTGACTTGTCTAGTAGAGGGTACACACTTTCTGCTTGTCTCCATAGGGATGCAATTATAGGAAAATGATTGGTAGGGTATGGCATGTATAAGTCTGGGTTTGGTCAGTGATTTCCTCAGCCTGTGGTCTGCTCGGGGAGATTGACAAGACATGGACAACTGCGTCAGAATAAATACAGCAGCTTACAAGCATGAGAGACATTGTGGATAACTGTTCAGTAAATTAGCAAAGCAGTTTCGTACATAATAGATGTACCACATAAGCGCTTTTGTTTCACATTAAATTTGATTGCACAGGTTTGTTTGCGTCCGGCCTGAGACGTGACAGAGGGAGTGATGACCTGTCACCAAACTCATGTCATTCTGTGTGAAATAGAAATATATACAATAGAAATATCCTTCTGGACTGGTCACAATTGGCACACATTTAAAAACATTCAGCCTGATCCTGCAGAAGCAAAGCAGGGCAGGGTATTGTTGAACTGTGATGGGGACAAAGCACTTGCACTTATTATTTAACCTCTTAAAACCCGCCTCATTTTGGCTTGTGCACAAAAGTTGAGCATACCCAAATGTCTTTGCTTATTTAAAAACACATCTTACATCTCACATGCTTGTGTGATGCATCATTTTAAAGCTAGAGCCTTCTAGTTTATGTAAAAAAACACTAAAATAATGTTTGTCATTCCTATTTCCCTCTGCATCCTTTGAAGTTTGGGAAAAAAACCCAATTTTTTTAGCCTCGCCTAACATTTTCAATTTCTAAAGGCCCTAAAAAGGCATACTTCATTGTAAGTTCACAATATTCAAACCCTGTGGTCATTGTGTTGTTGACAACAACTGTCTAAAGTTTCAGACTTCTAAGTTTTATAGTTTTTATGCAGTTTCTCCTTTTCATCAAGTAGTGCACATTTGCCAAATTGTGCCAAATATCTTTACTTACATTTAATCATCATAAAAACAATATTTTTTATTATTGGTACTTATAAGTTACTAATCTATGTGTGTTTTTTTTTAAATGTCAAAGTTATTTTTTTGTGAGTGTAAATTCATTGCAGCTTCGAGAGCGTCTTTTGGCTGCGATTACGCACAATTCTACAGGCACAACATAAGACAGGACACCATTGTCCCACCCCTTGCTCGAAAGCTTTCCTCATTGGCTACACGGACATGTCAATCAAATATCCCGGAAGTAGAAGCAAACAAGAAGGGAAGACAACAAAGATCAGTGATCCATGCGCAAACAGCAGCGCTAGCTGTACTCAGTGTTGCCAACTTAGCGACTTTGTCGCTAGATTTAGCGACTTTTCAGACCCTATAGCGACTTTTTTTCAAAAAAGCGACTAGCGACAGATCTAGACAAAGCATTAAAATCATTAAATGTTGTTAATGTTGAAATTATTTTTGTACATTTGTAGTTCTAAACATATTTAGGGTGTTTTTTACTCACTTTTGTCTCTCCCACGACGTTATTCCTCTCTCCTACAGCGTCCGTTACAGTTATTTGCAAATTAGCTTTTCGGGAGTAGTCTCGTTTGAAAGATAAGGAGCTAAGGAACACGTAGATACCAGATGTTTGGGTGAAAAACAAAGCTAAAAGTCCGTTAAAAGTGAAAAAGCAACATCTGTGCTCGTTTTTTTCGTTTTTTTTGCTAAAGATAAATGCAAATTTTTGGATTATTTCTGCAGAACGGATTTTACTTTGGGAAATACAAGTGGATATAATTTTCCTTTGGACTGTTCCAGAGAGAATGATGTATTGCAAGCTGGGAGGAGAGCTGATTTATTTGTACAGCACAAGCCCAAAGGTAAAAAACTATTTCGGAATTGATTTATTTTGTGCCCACATTATGTGTTATATCTTTTGAATGCAAAGTCTGATGTAGTTTACACTTGTATATAAATGTAGATAAGAAAATAAGCTTTAAAATGATATACAGCTTTTGGGGTTTGGTGTTCAAAATACATCTGCTATTGCCAGCAGAACATTTAAAAACATAAAAACGGCAGCCGGCGCGCCGGTTGCTGTAAAGAGGTGTTTTTGTCCATTGGTTGCACACTGACAACTGTTTCCTATACATTTTAGCTCGCACACTGGGGTACTTAACAAACTGGTTTTACTGCAAATGGCTGAATCTGAATATGAGTCTTTGAGAACAGTCAGTGCCACAGTGAGGCAGCAGTAAAGTACAGGACTGTTGTTGTGTCCTTAGGCAAGACACTTCACTCATAGTCTAGTATTGCTCTGGCGTGAGTGAATGGTTGGTGGTGGTCGGAGGGGACGACGCACAGATTAGTAGCCTCACTTACATCAGTCTGCCCCAGGGCAGCTATGGCTACAATAGAAGTTTTTCATCACTGTGTATGGAGTGAATGAAAAATGCCAAATGAAACACCTTTTGTCCAAAATAACTCAATAACTATACAATTATTAGTTATTTTTAATCTCCATGGAGAAAACAGGTGGTACCAGGACAGCCCAGAAAAGTCATATAGTGCAAATTAGAGTAAAGTTACATTCTATCTCATGTTCACAGTGTTCAATGTTGAGTTTAATACTGCATTATTGTTTACTGGCCAACTCCAAAATGGATCAAACAATATCCCTTCATCTTGACACAGCATTTGAACACATAAAGAGGCAGCAGGCTCACACAGATTTACCAGTGGAATGTGAAAGCAGGTGGAATGTGAAAGCAGGTTCACCAGAGAACCTGCTTCACCAGAGAACGTTCCTTCAATCTTGTTCCAGGCAATTGATGAGGACATGCTACCGGCCACTCTGAATCTTTAAACGTGATCGATAAAATGTATTTGTCCCATTGATGATCCATACGCTTCTTATCAGTACCAGTATAAATCCTTCTTATCTAAACGCCGTCCTAAAACAAAGGGAAAAGACAGAGAAAAATATAGCAACATTTTAGCAACAAAATATATAGTAAGTAAAGTACTAAACAACCTAGCCTAGTTAAAACTGTGTGTGTTATAAAACCAAATCAATAGAAAACCAGATGATTAGAACATTAGGTCTATTTAGGTCCAACTGTTTGCCTTCCATACTCATGCACAATATCTGAAATTTAGGCTGCCTCCAAATTCATAAAAATAGCTTCTTCCTCATCCTTCCTTTGAGATAAAATGGCAAGAAAGACCGTATTTTTTCAGTCACAGATCATGTGTGTTGGTTGAATTACCTTGTTCAAACACATTGGAAGGGTCCACTTGGGGAAACATCCAGTTTGGGTGCAGCTCAGCCTTGGAGGTTGGGGGTAGGTTGGGGGGCAAGCTGGGGGCCATGTCTGGGCGGTCGGTGTGCAGCAGATTGAGCAGAGACGTAGAGCACTGTTGTCCCGTCAAGCTGAGGCCAGGGGACAGAGGGCAGCTCATATGGGGCAGGGCCAACCCTTCTTTCCTGCTGGCGAACGCGTGCCACGGACTGTTGAGTTCTGCCGGGTTGAAAGAGACGAAATGCTCAGGTACCGGTCTGGTCATTGGTTCTGGGTACAAGTCTGCGGGGGGGTCTTCAAAGGCACTGTTCATCTCTGTAAATAATAAATACAACCATCTGTGAGTGAAGGACTATTACTAAGCTATGAAGTTTAGAGATAACCTTTTTTGATCTTTTTTTGCATTTTCTTCATCTTGCTGGCAGGTGCCTTGGCTTTACTGGCTTTGCTAAGGGCCCTACTGAAGTGTGCATCCACCATAGTACTGATGTCCCCATGGAAGTAAGTCAGGATTACACTCTGCGTGTGCTCCTCCACTTTCACTGCTGTTGGATTCTCTGTTGGGTCTTCCATTGGATCATCTGCCTCAAAGCCTGAAAAAATTATTTATGAATAAAGTGTTAGTGCTCAGAAACCTGTGTTGTATATACAGTAGCAATGTATGATGAATAGTCAATAAATAATGTTGAGGAAAAACCATTTGCCTAAATAGTACGGTACATTTTTCTTACCTGACTGAATGCTTGATGAAAGGAGGCCCACTGTTTGCCAACATGGGGAGAACGATCTATTGAAGAAATATGAAGGCAGTGTCCACAGCGCTCTTCCATCTGAACACTGAGTGAGTGGGTCCCAGTGAAAGGGTGTGAGGGTTGTGCGCAGACAGCTATGAGCAGAATGTCAACCTGCCTGTTCCTCCAGAAGCTAAATGACACCTTATAAATACATTCCTTTAGCTCAAACCACTGCAACATACAATGGTACACATTTGCTAATTATTCTGAGATGGCACTATTGGAGCTTTGGACACAGTTAAGGCCATAAAGAGTACAAGGCCATTCTTTCATCAGATAGTGCCAGATTGCAGATTTGATGACATGTCACAATTCACTTTATTGGATTAACACCATCTGCTACGTTTCAATAGTTTTTCAATAAATTATCCAAACAGTATTTTCAATTAGTTGCCATTGGATTGATGAGTTATATAAACCTTAAATTAATGAGCTATTTTATTACTTGAATAATCTAGCAAAACAAATATTGTTATTCATGAACCATACCGGTCTGAGTGTCCAAACAGTGTTGTGCTACCCGTGATTAATACAGCATATTGATTCAATTATAAATAATTCAGGCAGTGTTGAGTAAGTCACTCTGAAAAAGGAAGTTGGTACATGCAACTAATTACTTTCTACAAATAACAATTAACCCTAACAAACAGATTGTAACTTGTAGTACTTTTTAATGACTTCATCGTAATATAATCTAGAGGAATCATACATGTTTTATTCAAGATGTTTCAAAATTGTGTAAGAACAATAGATTTATTTCACCATCTGAAATGTACATTGGAGTCCTGAATCAAATTCTTATTTGTCACTTTAGGCTCATTCAAAATGCTCTGAGTTTAAAGTTAGCTCGTATAAACAACTTAGTTGTTGATCTTTATTTCTATAGGATCTGTCACAGACCAGAGTCACAAAGTGCTTTACAATTGTTGTGGGCATTTGTCACCCACACCACACAGAGACGGGAGCGGGGTCGCCGTGCCGAAGGCGCATACTGTACCAGACCAATGTATTTAGTGGTGGAGGAAACTGGAGCACTCGGAGGAAACCTACGCAGGCACTGGCCAAACTCCACACATAAAGGCCTGGCGTTGGAATCACTAACCACTGTGCTAACCACTGCGGTGTGAGTTAATATATTATCTGACAGTAACCAAGTAGTGTTAAACTGTATCTTTGGTCGCAAACATGTCAAATGTAATTTATGGGAATAATTTGGAACACAAAAAATTAGATATTTCAGAACGTTACTAATTATCAACAGGTCAACAGTCCTCACAACTTCTTATGGATCCATTTTTATATGTATCAAGACTTTCTTCTGATATGTTTGTGAAGAAGTAAAACTAGTAAAACAATGTCACATTCTTCTCATGATTGCACTAAAACTGTAACTGTAACTCTCTCCTCTGACATGAACTGAATGGAGCTCACTGCAGCTGAATGAAGACTGAATTGTTCCAACAAAAACTTTCTCATCGACTGCAAATCTAAATAATGGATAGTATTAGCATCGTATACTTCTAAAATTATCAAGATAATATCAAAATAATCTGTTCCATTATTTGCCAAATTGTGCTTTTTTTGCTAATTCCTCCCCCTTTTTGTTTCATGAAAAATGAGTTGGTGACAAAAATAATGGTTTCTTAAATTAATACATATTTCACTCTGATTTTAATTTAAAAAACAATACTGTATTTTTTGTATGGGGTTTAAACTGGAAAAGAGCACCCAGAAGTCCCATTTCATAAGGGTTAAATTCTCCATATGATGCAAGTGTGTTAACTCGAGGAATCTGAAATCTTCCTGGTGCTGGTCGTGGGGGAAGAATCTGAATCCATATTAACCAGATGCCTCTTTTTAGTTTGCTGTCCTCCAGTCACAGTTTGGGACCAGTCTGCAAACATGAAACGACGACATGACATTAACAACACCCCTGCCACCAATTTAAGAAAGTGCATTTCTTACTAATACCTGAATAAGCGCCGAGTCTGAAGCGGCCGCAGCACAAATGGATCTTCCACTGTTTTCTCACATTGTCTTTCATCAAACAGTGGAACAAAAACACAAAGAATCCTGGGGCAGAAGAGTGAAAAGACACACAATATTTATTCGTAAGGTTTTTCTCCATTCATTGCGAGATCACTTAAAAATCCCGTCTAACATACTACAATGGAGTTATAGTATGTGAGAATTAGTTCACAATTTTAACAGACAGACAACATTTGATGCCTGGTATACTTATTTATGAAGAGGTGTAAATCACAACAGCATCTTTTTGGAGGACTTTCTAAAGCTATACATTTTCCAACAATGAAGCAGTTTGAACATTGGTCCATAGGGAGCAGGACGACTGATGTCCGTAAATATGAATACATTTGCATATATGTCTGTAAATGTCCTCTGTCACTTAGACCCTCCTACATCGACAAGGAACAACTCTGAGGAACATGAAGAAAACTGTTGAAGTCATGAGCCAGAGAGTTTGTTGGTAGAGTTTGCTGATGGTCTTGGTAAGTTTCCTTGGTATTATTTAATAGTTTTCTAATTTTCAAAAATAAAAAGGAAAACTAGCCCAGATTTTGATTCAAGTTTTGTTGAATGGCAAAGGTGCACTTTATTAATCCCCGTAGGGCAATTCATCCTCTGCCTTTGATCCATCCTGATGCCGCTAAGGCTTACGTCAGGAGCAGTGGTCGCCGTAGTACAGCGCCCGGGAACCCATCTCCTACGCAAGCACGGGGAGAACATGCAAACTCCACTCAGAAAGACCCCGTTCCGACCGGGATTCGAACCCAGGATCTTCTTGTTGAGAGGCGAGAGTGCTATCCACTCAGCCACCGTGCCACAGAATGGAACAATAATTGTCTAATTTTGTTTCTCAGGCGCCTTCTTAGACATTCAAGGTCGCCCTACATCACAAGTAATAATATATTTAGTTAAAATACAGGTTAAAATAGAGTTAAAATAAAACTAAAAGCAGCATGAACAGAGGACTTGTGTGGTTATGATGTTACTGAGTAGGCTTGTCTAATCTAATCATTTTTTTATTTTAACCTACGCCATTACTGTAAAAGATTTCAGGAAAGCATCCTTAGCACAGAGCAAGTGAGGGCAGAGAGGTGTCGGGTCGGAGAGTGTTTGGTCCTGTGTGAATGAGGGTGTGTGTATGGGTCTTGACTTGTCCCATCAGTGGTAATGCAGTGTATTGTATGCTTTTTGTATTGTGTTGTTTGTCTTGTGTTTGAATGCGTGAGAGGGGATTCAAATAATACGAGCATGTGCGTCATCCAATGCTAACATAACAATTCTCAATCCTTTCTACAGTTCTTTTATTGAAAGCCGTCTTTTCTTTTGTCCTTCGGTTCCAAAGCTTCTGAAGGACAAAAACAAGTTGCAGAGTATTGTGAAAACTTGCTCTACAATCGCAGGAGGAAAACTTTGAGACCTTCACTTTTTTTTCGGAAGAACAGGTGCGGAATAAAGTTGTTTTAATGCTCCAGCTCGGAAAACAAATTGTTTTTACAAATGTCCTCTGCAACAAAACAGGAACTCTCATAGACGCGTTTGACTTTAGGGAATTCTTGTGTATTATATTGTATTTTTTTAACTGATATTGTACCCTGCTGCGTGAACTGTGAGGCCTGACTCACTGTGTGTTTGTGTAGAGTCAATTTGGGATCAATAACGTTTTCTGAATCTGAATCAATCCCTTTTTCAAACCATGCATTTCATTTTTTTTTTCTCTGTGAACATCAATAAATGCGTGCTGTACCTTGCAAAGTGTTGAGGATGGTAAACAAGTACATCATGGCGACTCCTGCGGGGCCAAAGGAGAAGAAGCCGATGGACCACGTGAGGCCCAGAAGGACGGTGAGACTTGCCACCGCTCTCAAGTCTTTGACAAGGTTCCCGGTGTTTGCGGACGCCTTATTGATCCGCATGCGCTTGATTTGTATAAGGACCACTATGAACACGGAGAGGTTGGCCAGCAGGATGAGCAGCATGAAGCAGAGCACCGTCACGTAGAAGACAATATCGTTCGTCACCCAGCAGCTAGTGGAACAAAAATGGAAATGGTTTGCTCTTTGTGTGCATAAGTAAATCGGCTGCTACAGTAAATACATAAATGCTGTAACTTACAAAGTGTCATTGGTTTGAAGCACCACACCAGACTCTTGGGTCACAGAACCACCATAACTGTCTTTATCTACAGCCAGCACCAGGCTCACAATCACCAGAGGAAGACCTAAGCAAGACAGCATAACACTTTAGCATTCAACATTTCTTATGTTAAATACTTAATTTAATGTTATATCAAGGTCTTTTACATTTTAAGTCTTGTCTTAAAGCTGGGGTACCCCCCCCCCCATTAATAATGCCTTCTGTTGGTCATGATAGAAAGTATGTTGTAAAAGTAAAAAGTAACAAATCTGACCACAGCATGACCGATTTATGATGAAAAATTATATTGTAAATTATATTTTGTAATTTAGTAAAACTTTTTTATAACTTTAAACTTTCTTTTTTCTTGCTATTCTTGTTAACAGTTAAATACATCATTATTAATGAATACATATTATAATTAAGCAGATCTTACGTAATAGTATATTACAAAAGAAATTGAATTATGTTTTAATATTGTGCTTTGTAACTGTAATTCACAGTAATAAAAATATTAATAAATAATTAAAAACAAATAATATTGTTATATATTTCCTAATATATATATCACCTACATCTGGTTCAACAGTCCATTCGTGAAAATGAGTATTTCAATGTAATGTGTAAGCTCAGATACAGCCCCCTTGCTTCCCCTGGACTAAAACGTGTGAATAAAATGCTCACCCCATCCCACGGCACAGAACTTGAGGATGTACGAGGGCACGTAGATGTTGAAGACTTTCACCAGGGCCAGATACATGTGCAGAGCCTCCAGGCCCATCCATGTGAACGAAGCCAAGAGGAAGTAATGCAGCGTGGCAGCCGTGGCAATGCACAGGCTGTAGCTGGAGAAAGACGAGAGCCATGCGTCCAAGAGGAAGAGCATGCAGAGCCCGAGAAGAGCTGCGCACAGGTTCAGGAGGATCTTAGAAGGGTTGTCTCGCCGCAGCTTCCTGTTCCAGAAAACGTTTAAATCATGGATCTACTTGGAACACTTCACGCTACACTGCAAATAGTGACAATAAATCAGTCAAAAATGCTTGAATTTGGCCATATGGTGATCTTAATTTGAGTAAACTTTTTGACTGTCTAAAAAGAAGATTTACCAATGGGGCAAGTCACGGTTACTCGTTTTCAAGCAGTAGTAATAGTGGTCGTAGCATACCTTCATCTTATATTTTATGCAAAATAAAACAAAACATACAAGATACAGAAAAATAGCTGTGGTTTTGGGTTGTTGGGGTTAGAGCAAACAACCCCCTTTCACTCATTTAATCCAAAACACACACACACACACACACACACATTCACAAAGATGCAAACACATATACACACACAAAGATACAGGCCCAAACCCTCTCTGACCATACACCTTCATAATATGCATTATTTTAGGCGTTAAAATTACAATTACACTTTTTACTCAGTCATTTCATGTTTTAGAATGTGAAATAATGTAGAAGTAGAAAGTAGAAAAAGTAGAAGACTTTGTGTCCCTTAGCTGCCACTAGAGGGAGGAACAATTTGTTATTTTTTCCCACATTTGAAAATTCTCTTCTACAATCACAGCCATGTGACTGTAAAGAATGTGATTTCACACGAGAAATTGCCAATTCTAAGTTTTTTATACTCTTATTTTAAAAGGCGGAAAACTGCTCTAAGCTTCATGTCATCGTAGTACATTTAGACAGAAGGAGCAGAGTTACATGTTTGTTCCTGATATTAGCATGGATGGATCTAAAAACAACTCCAGTTCTGTTTTTTATGGGGGAACAATGTTGACAATACAGTAATATTTTCAAATAAAGACTTCTTTGCGATGTATTGTTATTATTATATTTGATAGGACAGGTGTTGCAAATTAGCAGTTTTGCTATAACACTGGAAACAATGTATCTGGTTTGTCCAATGCAGTTGATATGTCCATATCAAATAAACTTATAATAATAATAATAATAATTTTCCCAAATCACGCAACCCTTCTTCACATCTACAAAGTTGTTTTGGGACTTACTCAAAGGCAACGTAGGTGAGCAGGGTGATGCCGAGGAAGATGGAAGAAATGCCACAGCCGATGTAAGAGATGACGGTCAGTATCAGAGAGTCCACTTCACTGATGGGAGATCTGGAGGGGTTCTGTGTGACATCACACACAGTTAAAAATACAGTTTGGCTCCTTACCAGCTACTCACAATATATCTACAATGTATTTAGTTCACAAAGTTTGTTTTTTCATTTGGATTGAACACGTTTATTACCATTTATGCCCAGGAAGTAAAGTGACACTGCCGTTTGTCTATTTGTCTGATTCAATTGTGGAGATGAGCTAAACCACTTTTTATTTTTTTATTTTTTTATTTTTTTCCATAATGAATACATTTTGTAGAGTCTGGTCAAATATTGCTTTTAAATAAATCAAAGCACAGTCTGTCTTCATCTTATTAGAAAACATATTTTGCATATTTTAAGAAAGAGTCACCATTTGGCGCATTGGACCGAGAGCGGAGAGTGAGAGTGATCCTCAAGAAGGCCAAAGAATAAACACATGTGTTTTTAGAGCAAGGAACTACTTAGATGCATTTTATTACGTGTATTTTTTTTTTTTTTGTGGTTTAAAATGTAGATATTCCCATCTTACAAATGTGCTTAAAAATGTGCCCAAACAACTACTTTTGAAAACTGAGGAACAACACATCGAAACTCACCACTAAAACTGCAAAATGTGTGAGATGTTCACAAAGGCAGCAGGTCTGATGGTGTGAAATGCTCCGAGTCTCACAGCCCGTCAGGTTCCAGCCGCCGCGTCCTCCTAAAACACACACACACACAAACACACACACACACACACACACACACATACAGCATGACAACAGCAACACACATTATTCTTATCATTAACATGAACAAATCACAAACCATTGTTCTGGAAATCCCAAAACGCACAGTGGACTTCCTCATTGCTCTGTGCAAAGAAAAAGAAAAATGTATTTTAAAAAACATCACATCAAATTGTTTGTTTCACATGTATAGAGATTGAGTTGAATATCTACTTGTGTTGCCTTTTTGTGATTTAGATAAATCACAATTCTTTCTTGTAGGTTTTGCACACTGCTGTCGTTTAGACTGGCAGAGACGATGTAAGAATTCAGTCTCCTCTTTGAATCGGCTAAAATAGGATCCTGTAAAATAAACATAGTCACATTATGTTATATAAATAGATTGTGGAACAGAAATGCTGCCATTAAACCTTACCTGAAAAAGTTTATCCGTGACATAAAACTGGAATTGCAGGCGGGTCGTATTTTTGTCTTGAGAAAAAAAAATCTGAACTTCTGGTGGCAATGAGATGCTCGCCTCTGTGTGTTCTATTTCATCACTGACAAAGGTCTCATCAATAAAAACCTAAAATACCACAAAATGAAACGTCAAACCTAATTTTCCGATCACAAACGTGAAGAACTATGTAATGAAGTCCATCTAATTTACTAGCCCTAAAAACAGTTTGGCTCTCATGTTTGGGTGCATGTTTTTTGTCCTCTGTCACATGTTAGGATCAGCGGGTTCAGACAGAAAAGTGAACAAGAAAGGACCACCTGCAATCATCTCTCATCCCAAAGCGCCAAACAGTGACTCAAAAGACAGGTATTGTTACAGGTATGCAAAAGTGATTATGTTTTACCAATAAGATAAAGACAGTATGTTGTGACTTTCTTTTACAACACTGTTCAGATTTATGAGGTAAAAATGTAGGTAGCCAAGCTTTAACTTGATGTGTATAATCTTAATAATACAAAATACAAGGTGCTTGCTCTTTTTCCAAATTTAAATGCCAGACTTTTTTTAAACTAATTTTTTTTTTCCCAAGACCTTAATTTTATGTACTTGTATACTTGTGTGCCTACTGCCTTCGAAAACACGCAACGCCCCATTTCTGTTGACCACTAGGCTAGCCATGTGTCAATAGACCTCAGGAGTGACATCACGGAAATGTGCCAGACCAGGCTAAGCAAGCGTTGATTGGATATCATTCCAGTAGGCGAATACAGTACCAGTTAAATTCAAGTTTTAAAGCCTACCTTCCTATTTCTCCTATCACAATACCTTTGAGCATACTGTAAAATTCCACCATGCATTTTTTTTCTCCATACTTTATTAAGACTTTCACACAAAATTCAAGACTTTTCAAGGTCTGTTTCAAAATTCCATACTTATTAAGACTTTAAAGGAATAGTTCACCGTTTTTACATACTGACATATGTTCTTACCTTACCTTAGACTAGTTAATACGTACCTGTCTGGTCTTAGTCCGTGCGCTCTGTCATGCAAACGGAGCAAAAACGGGAGCACAACCGCAGCCTCCTCTGTATATTTTGTAGCACCAATAGGTAGCTCCCGCTAGAAGCTACCAAACTCTTCCAAGTGTTCCCTATTAAATGTATATAGTTACGTGACGTGTTACACTGCAAAGTATAGTAACACAGAAATGTAACAGTCGATTTTCTCAGCGGATAAAACGGGTACTATATTGTGAGGCGTAGTAATCTGAGGGGCGCTACGTCCGCGCACTAACTTCTCTCCGGAGACTTCTCTCTCGCTCACTTCCGTCAATAGAAGCAGCGTGACTTGTAATACACACAGTAGCAGCGAGAGAGAAGTCTCCGGAGAGAAGTTAGTGCGCAGAGAAGTTAGGAGCGCTACGTCCGCGCACTAACTTCTCTCCGGAGACTTCTCTCTCGCTGCTACTGTGTGTATTACAAGTCACGCTGCTTCTATTGACGGAAGTGAGCGAGAGAGAAGTCTCCGGAGAGAAGTTTAGTGCGCGGACGTAGCGCCCCTCAGATTACTACGCCTCACAATATAGTACCCGTTTTATCCGCTGAGAAAATCGACTGTTACATTTCTGTGTTACTATACTTTGCAGTGTAACACGTCACGTAACTATATACATTTAATAGGGAACACTTGGAAGAGTTTGGTAGCTTCTAGCGGGAGCTACCTTTTGGTGCTACAAAATATACAGAGGAGGCTGCGGTTGTGCTCCCGTTTTTGCTCCGTTTGCATGACAGAGCGCACGGACTAAGACCAGACAGGTACGTATTAACTAGTCTAAGGTAAGGTAAGAACATTTGTCAGTATGTAAAAACGGTGAACTATTCCTTTAAAGAATCGCGCAAGCACCTACATACTGTATATTAATTCCATTCAAAAAAGCCGCTTCATTGGCAGGATGCGTTCTTTGTGAGTTTGCAAACTGGAACTCAGCCTTAGGGCTCGTGGGAGACACACACATACTGTATATGCATGTGACTACATTTATCACAACTTTTCCTGGTTGCAGAGTTATGTGGACGATGACAGTAAAGAGGAAGGATGTTCTTTTGAGCTTCAACATTTATCTATTTATTATATACTGTGGCTGTTTATGAGTGGGATTAATGATTAATGTCTTCATGTTTTTAATTAATTGTGTGATTATATTTATGTCTTTAATAATTCTTGTGATCTAAATGTTTGTTTTTTTATGTCCTGTGGGATATTTCTCATATTTTTTTTTTTATGTTTATGATTTATGCCTGATGTGATATGGGTTTGGAAGCGCTCTGTGTTTCCTTGTGTAGCAAAGGCGCTCTACAAACAAAAGTTGATTGATTGATTGATAATTTTGATCTAAGCATCTAATTCCAGAGTTCATGCAGAGCTGCTGTGTTGACATCTGTTTGGTTCAACTGTCTCATTTTATTTTCTTTGATGTTATAATCATCTCTCTCTTTCACTCCACACCACTACTGTATATCAGCTGTGTTCATTATTCTGATATAAACTGCACGACCTCAACAGTACACATTCTGAAGCGAGAGCCGGTGACGCACTTATTAGTTTTAGCTTTATATGTATATATCCACCTGCGGCTCCAGGTTTGTTGACACAGCGGTGACGCCAAATGTAAGGCCACTAAATCCTTCTGTTTCCACGTTGCACAGAGAAATTGCCAGAGACGGAGCAGTAATACTCTCAGCCGTGCCTTTGAAATCCATAGTATCTCCCATCTTTGACGTCAGATCCAGGACACTGTTCAAAATCATATGAGAGTTTTAATTAAGTTTCCACGCACACACAGCTTCAGACAATAGAATATGCTCTTTTACCCGTTGGATAAAGCGGTGACGTTGGTATCGGAAACGAGAATGCTGCCCATAATAGAGATGATGCTTGCTCCCAGCTCAGGATTTGACCCCACGTCCACGACTTCGGAGAGTTTCCCAACCACGATATCCAAGTCCTCAGGGGAAAGTAGCGAGGAATTACTGAGTTGCACATTAACCAGGTCCTGTATAGTCTCCACAACCTCAGCAGCGTTGTCTGAGGGTCAAAACAACACATAACTTGACGGAACATATAGGACATTTGTGTATTAACTGCAGAAATGCGCTCTCACCTGGAGTCACGGTGATATTTTCGATTTGAGGTATGCTCACTCTTGACTTGCAGTTCCTCATATCAGGTTTAGCCCACTCAGTTGTGTCAGTGCTAATCTCCAGTTTACTGATTAGATGATAAAGTTTTAACTACACACTGGCGCTCGAACTTAAAAGACAATTCTACATTTGGATTGGGTAAAAACAAACACACGATTAGCTTGTTTGCACTTACCAAAGCCTGAAGGCGTATTCTTGTGGAGGCCTCTGACATCTTATGGTTTGGTTCTCCTGTGGAAATGTTTGAGGCCATATATAGTTTCCATAGATTGAAGACGTTTTCTCTTCCATACAGTCTTGTGGCTCTATAACCCAGCGTGCAGTAATCGTTATTTGGTTTCATGGATGGATGTTTCAGTGCTTTAAGTATAGATATAAAGCTGTGTACCTATATGCTTTACTTTCAGACTAATTGTACGGACACTGATGGACTCGTTTGAAAATGAGAAATTCAGACTTTTTTCAATGTAGTTGAGAACCAGAGTCACATTTGCTTCAGCGTTTGTGTAATCTTCCTGAACATGGAAGGAACATGTGTATCTATTGACAAATAAAGGGAATCTCATTAAAAAGGCATCTGAAGTTGGGAAAAAGACAATTAATTAATGTTTCTTGTATACTCTTTTTGTTGTGCAATGGCAGCCTGGGAACAAAACAAAAGAGTATCAACCCAGATACACAAATGACTGATTCATGATTGTGCAAATGATCTTTACTGTACTGTACTTACCAAAAGCCCACTGGACTGGACACTGCTGCCGTAAATGCAAAATACCAGAAAATTAGAAGAGACGCACAGATAATGTTCCCCTTCATAAACAGGACTCACCTCGCAGCTGTCTCTGATATTAAGAAGTTCAAAGCCTTCATGGTATTGCTGTAGTTAAGATTTTCCTTTATCTTTAACCAACAACAGTAAGAAATAATGATTTAATGAAGCAGATAGAATGTTGTTCCTTTTAACAGTTCTTACCAACGTCTTTATAAAAATCAGTGGGTTTGTGAGAGATCCAGATATCCCCAAATCTAGATGAACTCTAAAAAATATGTCCGCTCCGTCTGCAATAACAAAAAATATAATTACATAATCAACAATCAGCAGGAAACATGTGTTTTACTTACAAAAGGTTTTGTTAATTTCTACAGACTCTGTTGTGTTCGTATGAATTGCTGGCATACTTTGCGTTGGTGCTACACCTGTGAGGAGAAAAGACGTTATACGGAACTGTAAAATGATAATATGATATTTGCTTAATGAGTATAACACTGTACCTTCTGTACTGGCCGTGTTGACTGTTGATGGTCGACTCGTCACAGCAGGATATAAATCTACATTAAAGGAATATATAACATTACAAAAGCTTTGGCAGAAATTCAAAATGACCACTAATAAACTGTTTTTTTCAAGCATATTCACAGATTCTTCTTAAAGATGAAATCTGGGGTAAATAACTTTTTGGTTGCATGAATACATCTTTTGTTTACTAATCAGACCACACCAAGCTGTCTTTATCTTATTAGACATCTTTTTACATACTCAAACCCCCTTTAGATGGAGACGCTGCAAAGCAATTAGCAAAAATGACCAGGCTCCTACACAGCGTTCGACGACTACGGAAAACAATGTAGTTCTAGCGCCCGGCCAGTAGTGGGCAGTGGAACTTTACAACACGACACATGCGACCCCCAGAAGTATGTTCACTTCCTCAACAACATCCTCCTCAGGCCGCCGCAAAGACGTGAAAGAACCAACATCATTCTGCATTTAACAGCAGCTGCGAAAATGGAAACTGAAACTACAGCTTTGCGTGGTTTCGTTTTGACGGACAAAGGCGTAGAATTCTCCTCTGTGTAGCGCTGGAACCACGCGTAGCTAGTTAGCTCGGGTACCGCCGCCATTGTTGTTTACGTTTGTTCCACTCTGGAGGCTGTTTCTCAACACTTCTGTTTTCACCCGCAACACCGTCTTCATGTAAACAGGAGGCCAAACCGATATCCAACTCTACCGTTTTACTGTCACAGCGTCTCCATCTAAACAGGGCCTCAGAGCTGATTGGCTGGGAGAAGGCTGGTACTCTCTTTTTCACTGAACAAGCTGATTTTAAAATGTGACAGAGGCAATAACAAAAAAAATACATGTGTCTGAAAACTAGCGATAGAACCGATTTTTTTGAGAGCAAGAAACAAGCTACAGTACATGGATTTTATTACATTTGTTTTGTGGTTTCAAAGTTATATATTCCTGATTTAAACATGTACCATTTAAACAATCAGAAATATATTGTGTTGGGAAAAAAAACAAAAAACTGTTATGTTGAATATCCAAAAGTATGGTCTATATTTCCATTTCCTTCCTACATTATGCAGCTGATTTATGATCTACAGAACTACTTGATATAGTTTTTACTTTCTCTGGGTGGCTGGAATCTATTTGCATCAAAGCGAATAGGACTGAACACAACACTTTATCTCTTTGTTGATCAAGGATTGCGTTTCCATGGTTTTATTGTCTGATGACACCAACATTTGCTTTATAATAATCACACTCGTTCTTCATCTTGGCACTTCCACTGACAATAGTTCCCCCTTTGGACAGTTTTACATGTTGATTGTAGTTCTTCTGATGTCACAGGCGATAGCAGAGCAGTACTCACTACTCACCCACAGATAACACCACAACGCTGTCAGGGTCCACCGTGGCGTTTAGGAAGTCTAAGGGGGAACTGAGCCTCGCCGTGATGTCCGCTTGAGCCAGTCCCACATCAGCTGCCGGGACCACATTTACAAAAACCTTGACAAGAAAACTATCCAAGTAAAAATATGGTTAGATGTTTTATGCCAAGGTACGCAAACTTGTTTTACTTTACCAGGCAGAGGAGAGAGAATAGGAAATATCTGTGCTGCATGAATGGCTGTATAAGACACAGTGATCAGTTAGAAAGCTCATGAAAACACTTCTCTGACCTGGTTACCTGTTGTTTATATTACCTTGAAGAGAGAACAATGTCAGTGAGAGAAAAGTTGCCCGGAAAAAGGTTTTCTAACTGTAAAAATATGCCAAGAATGCAGTCAATTAGTAAGTGTTTTTCCAAGAGTTGTGTCAAACTTAAAACGCCTCAGAGTTAATCATACCCATTGCTTTGTGGCATTTTCCAAAAGTTTATCTGAATACATTTCATCAATGTATTGATACTGAACTTTCATTTTGATCTTGTACCTCGACCAGTCTGAAAAACAAATGAAATTGAAATTCTTTAGTTCTCATTTTTAGAACAAACTCAAATGTATCTCATCACTGATAATTATACAGGCAAAGACACAGCAGAGGCACAAATCATCAGCTCAGGGCACATTATTACACAGTTAAATTCAAAGCTAGGTTGAGAAAATGAGTCAGAGGCATTTTCTCTCAAGATATCTCACTTGCCCCATCAGCAGAGTACCGGCTTCTAACAACTTTAGAGCCTCTGAGCACTCTGAATCAACTGAAAGATAAGTATATTTGAAAACTGTTTAAAAATGAGGAGATTTCCCTGGATACTTACAACAGCTCAGGTTGGGGTCATGGACCGGAGGACAGTCGCTTTTCAGGTGCCTCTGGTCCCAGCCGATCACATCTCCATCAATGCATTGGTGTCTTTGGACTTCATCTCCACTCAAGTGTTTGGACCAAATCCTGAAATGACTTATGTCTCCGATGAGGCTCTTTCCATGCTCGGCTTCAACTCTTTTGTCCATCACAAAATGAGATCGTCCTAAAGTGAGTGTTCCATTTGAGGCTAAATGAGAGGTGGTAGCTCCCACATATCGAGTCGCCTCCTTTGTTCCATTAATGTATAATTGCAATGTTTGCCGTTTTCCAGACCATGTAATGCAGACAGAATGCCACTCATTACGTTCTAGTCTTTTTTCAACTTTTGTATCATTTCCAAACAGCCATAATGTTAGAAGATCCCCTTTGCCTTGGAGACCCAGCTCAATGTGACTACTGTCTGGAGCCTTGTACACAAACGCTGTCCACTCTGTGCTATAGGCACATTTCAGCAGCAGACACACACTCAGCTCCTCCAGGGCGGGTACGACCGTGTCTGGACCCAGCTGCCACAAACATGGAGCCGAAGTAAAGTGCAGCTTCTCACCCCAAAGGCTGCTGCTGCTGGCCGAGACCACTGCGTCAAAAACAATCAGCCATGTAAAGCCATGAACATTTACAGAGCCTAAATGAGATATTTCATTGTATATTCTTACTTGAGATTTGTTGAGTTGATAGTTCTGCACATATGAAAAGAATAAACAGGCTGCTAACAAAATGCATGACAGCAGCAAAACTCTTGTTTGAGCAGTGATCAGACAGTTAACTGAAAAATAAACATGACTATAAACTCAGTCATAAAACGTTATTATATAATTTTTCTTACCAGATTTATTTCCTCAAAACGTTGGAGCGACGAGTTTGAGACATATTAACATCAAAATGAATCTATGGATATGTAAGCTTGTGTCTTTATTCCTATGACAGAAATGTTCCACGCCCTCTGGCTAAGTTACTCATTTATAAGCAGCAATAAACATGAGACAAGGAGCGACGTTAAAACATAATCTCTTATACGACTTCACATTGATTATTATTGTTTTAATAAGTTAAACTCTTGGATAGACTTTACACACAAAAAACGATTGTATTTATTTCTATAATTCCCAACCAGCTTACATAATGTATAATTATGTTTAGTTAAAGGTAGTGTATGGCCAAATACATAGCCCAAATGAGGCCTATACATCATATGTTGAGAGAAAGTGGAAAGTGGCAGAACAAGAATTTTGCCTGCAGATTCTTGACTTGATAAATACAGACGAGTCCATTCAACACAGACCTGGGTAAACCGTGGGCCACATACAGCCCAATTACCCTTTCTACGCGCCCTTCCAGCTGTTATGTTGGCCCAAAAGGCTGGCAACTAAATATATGTGCTCCCATGGTCTGTTATACTTCATGTTAAAGCTATTCATCTCAGGGAAACTTCCATATCACGCTTTTCTTCCCTAAACAATGAAACCAACCCATAAAAAGTTATAAATTACCAGAAGAATCAATCTGTTTACAATCTGCCATTACAGTTTTGATTCAATCCAAGCAAAACTGTACTTTTTCAGAATGACACATAACATAAAGAATAATTTGCTCAAAATATCCTGTAATTTTTTTTGTTTTCACAATATGGCCACAGATGCAGAAAATGACATATAAACTATACTTTCCACAAACACAAATAAATCCCCGGACATCAATATGTAGCAAAAACATATTACTACTGAGGTAGCTTTCACTGTGTCATTAGAATATAGAAAATACAGAAGTGAGTTTACCTTCTGAGTGAGAAATGAAATAGTAAGTACATGAAAACGGTCAGGCCCCTGGTTTAACCTTTAGGCCCCAGGTCGTTTTGAACATGATGACTCCACCTGAATGTCCAGTGCAGTAAACACAGATGAGGGGACATATTACTTATGTCCCCATGTTATCAAAAGTTCAACAACAGTAATTAGTTTAGGCGCGGGCTGTTGGGTGACGAGTGCAGCAGGATGTTTGCTTCATAAGGCAGAAGCGGTTCGAGGCTGTTTGCCAAGGACACAGTTTAGTGTACTGTCTTTGAGTTCACACCTGCACAGTTCAAGAGATGAGTCTTTTGTCTTTTATCATACTTCTCTGTTCAAATGATTCTGCTTCTGGGAGACGGCTGTGAATGGTTCAACCTGCAAAAAGAAAATAGTTGTCATAAAGATTCACAAAAGTATATTTTGGCCAACTCATTGAACCTGGCAACAAACAAAGTGTCCCCCCTAAACACTCACTAAATTATATACATATACTATATACATATAATATACATATACTTTTACAGTAGGTACCGACCCAATAAAACTTTTGTTTGTTTGTGTGCCCTTCAGCACGGCTTAGGCCATTGATTGAGGAACCAGACCCAAATATCAAGCCTCATCTGTGGAGACGTGTCTACAGTTCCACCTGGTGGTTGAATAGATACAAGAGCATTTAGTAAACACATCTATTTTATTCATAATTGGTTTGTATAGTGTTGGTATAGTAAATTATAGTATATTAAGCATAAATATACTACATAGCATATGTGCTGTATAGAAGGTTCCATAGTGCTTTACTTATTGATTTATGCTGTTTCAATATTTAACTTGACTTTAAACTCTGGAAAAACTTAAACCTAATTAATAGGTTTTAGAAGTAGGCAATGGAAACATTCTTCCTGACTGACTTGAATCTCCACAAACCTGACTTGTAGCTGACTCGTCTTGTGTTCCAAAGACATGAGATGTTCTGTTTTATTGCTGTCAATAATTGAAGAAAAAAAAAAAAAAACACAACATTTTTTATACATATTAGTCCGGTCCTCAGGTCTCTGCACTGGCTTCCTGTGGCTCAAAGAATAGATTTTAAAACGGCTCTGCTTGTGTACAAGTCTCTCCATGGCCTTGCACCAGAATACATTAGTGACATGTTGGTGTCATATGAACCGGCCCGGACTCTGAGGAGCACAGGGACTGGCCTCCTGCTGGTGCCCAGAGTGAGAACCAAACATGGGGAGGCTGCGTTTCAGATCCATGCAGCTAAGATCTGGAACAATCTCCCTGAAAATGTGAGGGAGGCGTCTACTCTGTCAATGTTCAAATCCAGGTTAAAGACTGTTCTGTTTGCCTGTGCATACAACTGAAGGATTTTATCTCCATTTTTAATGCACTGCTGTCATTTATTTATTTTTTTAAATTTCTTGTGTAATTTTGAAAGTTTTAATGGTTTTATTCTTTTGTGTGATTTTAATGTTTTAATTGTGTTTTAATCTTTTGTGTGATTTTAATGTTTTAATTGTGATTCTGGTGTTTGTTTTATGTGATGATTTGTGATGTGGACTGTGAAGCGCTTTGTGTTGCCATGTGTATGAAAGGCGCTCTACAAATAAACTTTGATTGATTGATTGATTTTATGATACCTATATGAATTAAGGTTTATAAATCTTGGAGAGGACAAGATGGCCAAGGATACATCTGTGATTCAGGTAGCCACTTAAATAAACCCTGAGGAGAAGCTTTGAAGACACATTTGTCAAGCTGAACATATATGGTCAGCTGTTTGAAAATCACTTTAATACAAAATACCATTTGAAAGTCACAGATTTCAGTTGACCCAGCAAAGAATATCTGAAACCCTTCCACTTTTACACCATCTATCACAACAATGATGTCTAGTGGAAACTTTGAGAGAATGGTCTCTTCACCAAGTTGAAAGTATGTAGAGACATGCACATCTGAATCTGAAAAAGCGTGCAACATTTTAAAAATACAACATAACAGCTCCCATCAATAATGTTGTCCTCCATCAACCCGGAAATGGCCCTCTCCTGTAGTGGGACATTAATATATTATTGATGGGAGCTGTTGAGTTGTGTGAACCCTTTTTACCTTTTCACATTTTGTCTCTGCACCAAACCAGAGCAAATACAATCAGTCTTTGAGGAGGCTTTCCTGCTGTGTCACGCTCCAGAGTTTCTCCCCTGGATGCTGGCTGCAAAGAGAAACTACTCTTATTTGGTTTCAACCTGATAAATCCTCCTCTTGAGCTGCCACCATTCAAAATAAGTTACTGCAGCTAAAAGTGAATTATCCACCTATCTATGTCCAAGTAACATGTGCTCAAACACTGAGCCCCAATAGCAGATGTTGTGATTTGGAGATCTCTTTGCTCATTAGCCTTTCTCTATTTTTGTTTTAGGGTCAGTGAGGGGCTACCTTCACAATAAGTAGTTTCAAATGATCTACCTACGTGCATTTCCTGTTTACCATGTAATAGAGATAAAAAAGCCCTTTGGCTAAAGCATGTGAGAGAGACCAGAACAGAGGCTGTAGTGTTCAATGTAACAGTAAAAGTTGCTGCTTGAAAATTGTTTTTAGTCTCTCACATGAAAACGCAGCAGAAAGACTCCCCTGAGTGAAAAGACACTGAAGCTGTCAAACTGGTAAGACTCTTTTGTTTAAATTGTGCAGTAAACATTGTGTTTTGTTAATGCGTTCTTTGAAATTGAGGGCAGTGATAAGAACTCTTAATTTTTTATGTGTAAGCAGGTAATTAATCTTTATTTCTGTAGCGCGTTTCACAAACCAAGGTCACACAAAGAACTTTACTTGTATCTATCTTTTATTCAATGGTAAAGCGTTTTATCCGGAGTAAGCACTAGAGGGAGTATGCATCATTTCCAGTAGGTGGCAAGCTGAGCAATCTTTCATTACGTGTTTGACAAAAGATCCAGAGTCCTTTGCCTGTAAAACATTTGAAAGATTGAGCCTTCACTATTTCAGTAAGATACAGTGGAATCCCGAAAGGACAAAGCCATATTGTGATTATTTCCTCAGAGAAGTTAATTTCAAGATTAATTTCATGATTTTGCGAAAAGTCAAGAGTGTACATACCTTTTACAAACGTGGGTAAGACCAAATAATGATGCTATACCTTTGGAAGATTGAAAGGGTCGCACTGATAACCTTTGATTGTTCAATGTAGGCTCAAATGTTGAAGTATTTTAAATCTACATTGCAAACACACTGTTTTCTTGAATGGGAAATGGGAGACATAAAAAAGTCAAGATATGAAGAAGATGATTGTGGATCTCTGCACGTCTGGTTCATTTTGCTGAAACTATTCCGAATGCTTAGTGACGAGCGCTGTGTCCCAGAATTGAACAAAGGTTTTAGTCCAAAGTGTGTGAGTTAACTCCAGAAACAAGAACAAAGGGGTAATATTGGCTGAAAGTGGTGAGAATGTGTTATTATCCACAGTAATAATGGACGTGAAAATGGCTGATGGCTGAGTGGTCAGCAGAGTTTGCATTTCTGCACAATTTCTGAAAAATATCTCTATCAATATTGTGGCATAGAGCAAATGGCTGACCTAAAGCAATGAGGTCAGGTTTTTTCCACTTCAGTGAAAATCAAAAATCATTACCTGTTTTTTTCATGGATGTATTTTGTAGTGTAGTTTTTTTACACCGTGCAAATTTCCGGGTTCCTGTTCATACTGTAAAGGTTCTGAGTTACTGTATTCCCTTACAGTTACTACTTTAGAGTCTTCAGAATACAGGTACTTTCTGAAAATCATGAGAATTCATACTTTCTCACATTATGCTTTAAGGTTAAAGAAAACATGGGTATTTCTAAAGTTAATTTACTGTTTTTTTCTGCTTGTTTAATGGCAGCTGTTGAAGCACTTTGACTTGTTTTACAAAAATAAACAAATTATCAAATAATTACAGAATTTATTGAAGGTGTTGTTTGAAATATTTTGAAATGTACTTTTATAAGTTTTGTATATAAACCTTAATTTACTCTAAATATAAATATATAAAAAAGTACTAATTAAAAGGATAAATAAAAGTATTCTAAGTATTCAAAATACAGGCACTACTTTTTCCAAAGTTTCGGTATACTACAGAGAATACATTTTAGGTCATGTATTCAGTATTCTGGAAAATAATACATTTTCAAAGTATTCAAAATCTACAGTATTCAGCCTCCAAAATCATCAGTCTCCCCATCACAGACCTCAGACAGTTAGCACAGACTTGACCATCCCCTCCACACCCACACCCCCACAGATACAGAACATTAAGATGGAAGTGGGCAAGAGTCAGCAAAAGTTTTGTCCCTTCAGTTATAGCTGCTCTTATTTTGCCCTTTTAATTATGCCCTTGTTCCTGTATTGTATTTGTATCTTTCAGTGTTTTTGTTTGTTTGTTTCTTGTGTGCATTGTGGCTTCCTTCCTCCATACTCTATGTATGTGACAATGTCTGTGGAAATGAATTCCCCTCAGGATACAATAGATAATCTATCTTTCAATCTATCTTCTACCCAACACTGACCATTATTATATGAAACATTGGATATGGAGACATGTTGATTGTCGTAACAGAAAGGGTCTTATGAAAGTTACATGATGTGAACAAATTAGACTACAATATTCACAACAGCAGTCTTGAACGTGACGGTTTGAGCTGAGAGATGATTGGCTGAGTGAGGGACCACAGCTTTTAGATTATATCCATGAAAATAAACCAATGCGTAGTGTTGCAGGAGCAGGCTGCAAAGATGGGTAGGACATGGTTACTGAATAAAACAATATTTAGTACTGCTTCAAATATTTGTTTGGCTACCATCAAAAATAAAATTCCTTATGAAAAACGTCTTACTATTTGTAAAAATGGACGAAATTTCTTACCCTAAATCTTGAGCCGGGGACCCAAATGAAAGTAATATAATTTAGGTAGTTTTCCCGAAAGAAGTTCACAAACTGTTGCACATTATCACGTGAACAGGAGTGTGACCTCCTCCGGAAGCGCAGCAGAGTGAGAGCTCTGTGGCCGATGCCGCTCTTTGCGTCCACGTCCCAGCGGCAGTGTCCGAGTCCGAGTCCCACCGGCTGCGATGCTTTACGCGCCTCTGGTTTAGAAACACAGGAAAGGAAACACTTTACAGAAATGGCGGATGGCGCTCCAACTCTTAAAGGCCTGCGAGCCCAAATGGGTAAGGTTAAACTTGATTTCCCGGCCTTAATGTGTGTGTGTTCTCTTGTTGACGTGATAAGTACGTGCTCTGTGACTGCGCGGCTAACCGGCTCCATAACGAGGTTAGCAAGTAGCATCCTCACCGAGTTTGTAAAGTTTCAATTGATAACAAACTACGCTTTATTTAATCAAATCCCTACATGTAGCACTCATCGATGTTGTGTATTTCACCTCTGTATGTTTAGAAGTAGAGTTGGTTTTATCCAGTGCAGATCCACAGAAAGTTTACACAGAGCTGCTTTGATGCTAGCTTACAACGCATCACTTTCATGACAAGCCAAAATAAAAGCGCAAGATGCAAAGTTATCCATCTAACTGGGCTTAATATCTGCTTTGTGATAGTTGTGTTTTTATCATTTGCGTAGCTGACACCAAAGTTGCAGCTCAATGAATGGAGACGTTTTCCTGTGTATTTCATGTTATTAATTTCAGTTGTACCGCTGTCAGACTGTACAACAAGTCACTTTAAGTCACTGTATTAAGACTGAAAAAACCTGCACTACTATTGACACTGTTTCTGATTGCCACTTTTAAATTGCCACTTGTTTATTGTACATAATATATCCTGCATTTAACATGTTTGCACATTTCCTCTCTTTTTGCACAATCTTGAGTGTTTCTATCCATGCCAAATGTGACATGTTAATTTCTCCTTTGTGAGATCAATAAAGCATATCTTATCTTGTACGTGAATATTTTAGGAAGAAATGAGTTAAATTATGCATCATGCTCATTATATTGAAAGATTATAGACCTTTTCCTGTGACACATTTGTAGGAGGCTGTCTTGCAAACGTGATGGCCATTGCTTAAATGTTACCCACAGTGGAAATGAATGGATTTTATCAGTGCAGCTCCAGTCATTTGTCGACATATGGCAGAACCCCCTCCATTCCACACAGAGGGAACATCACAACAATGTCTGACCTGAATTTTAGATAATGCTGCAGAGACAGGCCTGTGAACGGACACAGCTCTGTTGTGGTACAGTGACATGTCTATAGGCACATTCACATTGAGGTAACATCATCATAAAGAGTGGAGCTGATGAAGATGATGTTGGTGATGAGGTTTATAGTGTTTATCACCAGATAAACGGGTCAAAACTCTGATTTCTTTATTATCTGTTTTTCTTTTATACCTGTAAAGATTTAAAATGCTGAACAGTATTCTTGCACGACAAGCCTAGCTTGGGTTAGGGATTCAATTGACTAGTAGTGACTGAGCAGCTTCTGAAGTTGTCCAATAGCTTTTTTTCTGTTTTATTTTTACCTTTTGCCAATTGGACTTTTTGAAAATGTACTGCTTATCCTGATCGCCACATTTATTCATTTTATTTAGATCAATAATCCTCTTGATTGTACAGCACCATTGTATTTGGGCTCAGTTTACTTTACTTCTTTTGGGGGGAAAAGTCCATATTTTTCAGCAGTCCTCGTGTTGAAACTGGAATTTTAGTCCACCCATTTTTGTGGTTGTACATAAACATCTCTGTTCAAATGGGGATGTTTTTCTCTTTTTTTGACAATCACAGATTCTCCTTATCCTTGGGTGAAAATAATAAAAAAAACCGATGGTTTTATGTGAATGTTTGACCAATATAATGTGTGGTAAGCATCACCGTAGATGAGTTTGCAGCTATAGCCTGGTCAGCTTCTGTAACTGATTTTGAATCAAAAGCATGACAAATATTTCTGAGCAGCTGAATTTAACCAAAGAGGAAATGCTTCTGCCATAATTCTGTACAAAGCCTCTTGAAATTTCACTAACCTTTATCTCAGTGCTTCATGCTTTATTTCTAGTGAAATCCATTAGTCTGCACATGCCCACATTTGAATTGCAAAACACAATCATTTGTTTAAAGTTCAGACTAGAGTCACTATGTAGAAAATGGCACCTAATGTTTTTTATTCTTTCCATTGGGGCTGAATGATTATTGGTGACTAATTTTTAATTCTGTTTTCAACTATTCATTCAATTCTTCAATTTCAATTATTTCAGTAATTCTTAACTGTTAAAGTTAGACCTGCGCTATAAACAAACTTCAAAAGGTAATTATGTCAAGAGATGGGAGTTTAGGACTCAAGCTCAAAGCATTAAATAAATGAAAGGGGAACTCTATAAATGTCTTATATTTTAATGATACAAGTGTTTTATCAAGAAGTGGTGGGAATAATCCCCAGATTAATTATCAAAATAATTTTTACAGGCCTAATTTCAATATACATGTTACAAGGCAAATGTTTTAAATGCGTAACAACACTGGCGCTGCTTGATTAAGGAGAAAGTGTCATGTCATCAGTAACTTACGTCAGATGACAGGCTTACTGCTCGTTAGCACAAGTAATCCCACAGAGGCCTGTGATGGATATGACCGAGGGAAGGAGCGACTTGAAGAGTAAATATGACTTCAGATTATTGTACTTATGTTGACTCTAATATTGGTTTGTGACAGAAGCAGGTGCCGACTTCAGCACTCATCCTTGTTCAATGAGCTTCCTGTTGAGTTCAGCCCATATTTGCCGGATATGTTTTGAATAAGGGTTTTGTTTTTGCAAAGCTGCTTTTGTTCTTGAATATTACAATATACTATTAGACAATTCAGTCATATATTATATACTATATATTATAGTTTGAGAATCCACAAAATATATTGGGCCATAATAATATTCATTTTTGTTGCTGCTGATAAGACAAGTGGTAACTTTTGTTACTTACGTGGCAATAAAAATGATTCTGATTCTGAAGATGTCAATGGTGTATGATGGCTTGAACATGCTTTTCTGTTGAAACTGGGACAGACTGAGGCCGATAAGATAATACTAGCACAATAACTAGTAACTTTTTCATTGATGTCTGAGAGGGATGCCCCGTTCCAGCTACACGGGGCACAGACTGTTTACAGCAGTCTGTGTATATATATCCCTGATCCAACAAAAATAATTGTATTATATTGGTGGATCCCTAAGCTTCATCACGATTCTTGGATGTTTCACTTGTTTTTCACATGTTTCTTTCTGCTGGTAAACATCTCTAAATGCTAACAAGTCTATTAGCATTTAGCAGTCCTGCGTTTGTGTGTGCCGTGGATCTCCATAGTGATGGAGTGATGTCGGAGGGCTCTTTGCATTTGTCTGTGACCACTGCACCTGCCTGCCGCCTACAGTGTGAGTGGAAACCCTGTGGTCATTATCTATTCAGCCAACTACATCAGTCTGTCAGGGCTGTTGTTGCCTTTTCACCAACTTACTGACTTATTCAGATAATTGAATTCAAATTAAAATGGCTGCATCATAACTGGTTCTACTCGACGGTCTGTCCTCTTAAATCTAAAGTATGGTTCGATTTTGGTTTTCATTAACAAGCAGACCTTGACATGCAGTACACCATATGAAAATAAAGTACTGTGAAAATACAACTAGCTTGAGAGCCCATCTCAAGGTATTGTATTCAAATGGTTGAAGTTATGTGCTGGATCTCACCATTCATGTGAGAGGTCGCCTATCCAGAGAATAATTATGTCTTGTCCTGAATGTTCAACGTTTTTGCACAACCCTCCTAAGTTTTTACACTTCCGTTAATGTGCAGACCTCAATAAATGTGATACATTTGAGTTGAGCAGTCTTATTTTACTCATTTTTTGTAATACCTTTGGATAATATGCGGGTCATGAATATCTGAATCATCTGAATATATTGCAGAATCAATACTTGCTGTATCACGGTATGTTAAGAATCACATTATTTAATTGTGGCCCAAATATTGCAAATAATATCAAAACGTCACATTTCTGCAGATTCCCACCCCTAGCGAACACTCCTATTACATCCATTGCAAGGCCTAATAAGGATATCGGCTTTATCCAACAAAATATTGTATCTAGGCTTAAAATACAGAAAAATTCTTCCGATATCTTAAACTTGACAGCACAGGGACGGGACTCCTGTTAGTGCCCAGAGTCAGAACTAAACATGGGGAGGCTGCATTTCAGATTCATGCTGCTAAAATCTGGAAAAATCTCCCTGAAGATGTGAGACAGGCCTCCTCTCTGACAATGTTTAAATCCAGGTTAAAAAAAATTCTGTTTAGCTGTGCATGCAACTGAGGGATTTTATATTTTTATCTTTCTTCTTAATGTACTGTAAAAAATAAAACTTGCCTTGCCATAGTCACTCGCAAGCAAACTGAGTATTGGTCACTATTGATTACCTTACAGGCCTCTGCTGCTTCAGTGGCTGCAGTGGATGAATAGTGTATTGTACTGGATTGAGTGCTCTGGGTGTTATGACTATAGAAATGCAATGCTTACTTACTCGCAATACTTATTTTGTCATAAGAGAATTATAATATTGATGAATTGCTAAACATCCATTGTTTTTTAATTGACTCATTCTGTTGTCACATTACTCACAGGTAATTTTGTTTTCATGTTTTTTGTTGATTAATATTATGTTTATTAAGAAGTGTTTACATTGATGACGATATTTCCAGTTTCACCGTGCATGGTTGAGCAGTAGTCTGTGATCAATAATGTATGAGACGAGAATGTAATGTGAGACAAAGGTTTTCAAGGGCAGTGCAGTTACATGATCGGCTCTTCTCATTTGTCTGAGGTCGCAGAAATTAATGGTCTTTACTGTTTCATGTTTTTACTCCTAAATTACAGTCTGTTATCACTCATCATTTGGATTCATTAGAAACGACCACGCTTAGTACAATTCATACTGTTATCCTTCAGTAAATTGTCTATTTCTTGAAAGTGATGATTGAAGCCAGAACGTCAAGATAAATACTATGTTGGCTTATTGTTTTATTATCATAGTTATTAACAATCTATTCTTCACAACAGATCACTGTTTACAATAAGACTACAACTTTATTTATTAGAGGAGAAACGAACGCTGCTGCCTTTTGTTGTAAAAGTTTGCATGTATTTTAGACGTTGTATAGTCCAAGTAGTCAAGATTAGTTTAATTTTTGTTGTCCTGATTAATTGTTGCATCTATAGTAGTTATAAGTTGTTCTGCAGTGTTTTGCCAAAATCCCATCTGATCTGATCTATCTGATCCTTGTATTATTGAGAGCTTTAGACAGATTAATAATTAGAAATGTCTGACACAGTGGAAAACGGGAAAGAGATTCGGCTGACACTGGTCCTCATAATGCTGCATCACATCCTCTTTGTTCCTTCCTATATAGCTTTTACTAATGGAGTTTAGCTGTCCTGCCCTAAAGTTTTGGTTCCTCGGGTACATTCTCTTATTGGTGTAACAAGAAATTACCCATAAGACAAAAATCAAACAAACAACAAATGTGTCATTGAAATAAATCTTTGACTTTCTAGGTTAAAACTCTGTTTATCTGCTGCCCAAAGAGTGGTTCAGATGAGCCATGTTCCTGGAAGCTTACAAAGGCTGATCTCAAAGGTGTTTCACAGCCTCTTTTTCATTGAGCTTGTGACGGAGGGCAGTGTGCTGCCAGCTGCAGGCTGCACTGTGAGCAGGGTGTGCACATGGCTCAATACATGGATTGTTCTGTACTTTCAAATCCAACAGTTCTGATCCTGGGCTGTAACCGTTAACAACCAACCATTTTGGATTCTGCTCTGCCGATTACAGATTTATGGGGCAATACTTTCTTGCCCCCCATGAAAGATCATGTCATCTAGATGGAATGTGACCACTGAACTGACCCTGCCTCTGTTAATGTTAGCCAAAGATGCAAACACAAAGTTAACCAATCGGGGGATTCCCTCATAACAATATCAACTAATAAGTCAATAACTAACATAATGTAATTGAAATAAATGTTAATTGCTGTGTATTTAGAATCCAACACTTGTGAATTCTCACAATCTTTATTATTAAGACAGCTGTGTCTCGATGTAGTTTTCCAGTGAATTACTCATGCCTCGATTATTTGGTTGATTTCATTACTTACTTAAAACTACTGTAGAGTTTTGTTTGCAAGAGCAGCTTGGTCTTCTGTGAAATGCTGCTGTGTGACTTTACACAGAAACTCTCACACAGAACCTTATTTGTTTTAACCTTTTAGGCGCCGAAACAGAATTGATACATAAGCTCCCAAATCCTGGACAAATTTTTCTTGCATATTTTCCCTTTTTGTTTATTTCTGTCATTGATTTTATACTAATATTTAGTTTTCAAATAAAATCTCTGAGAATAGTCAAATTTTTAAGAAGACTCAATTTATTGAAAGATATAATCAATAGATTGTTCAAAATACCTGTTTGACCTAGAAAAAGCTGAAGTGAAGCCATCAGAGGACATCCTAATGTCAATGACTAAAATATTTGAATACAGATAAAAATACATGATTAGTTGCAAATTACAGCCCTGCATCAAACGAATGTGCTATATTGGCCATGGCCATGTTTCTGTGCAGTGCAGAGACATGTATCATGGGACGTCCTCAGAGGATCAGTCCATGTCAAATGGACCAGGGCCTCCAGCTCCACCTGCTCTGATTTGATTGACATTTGTTACAGTGATAGGGCCATGCCTTTTAACGATTATTTGCCAAATGTCAGTGCGGTAACCCTATTCCATCCCGGGATGAGCTGTAACGTGTATGTTTTCTCTTGTAAATATTTAGAATTTGTATTTAAAAAATAGGTCAACCAATGAATCGTCAAAGCCACCAAACCCAACTGGCCTATAAAGGTGTCCATTCTTTGTTTCCAGCTGCTGCGGCACAGGCGCAGGCTGAAGAGCGGAGGAGCCTCGCTGGGACCAGTCCTGTGTCTGGAGCAAACACTGCTGCTAAAGGCTCCAAACCAGGTAAATGCACTCTGCTGCTGTCTGCTCACACACACTGAGCGCTCTTTACTACAGCCCTAAGTCATCGTTGTATTTCTATAACGGGTGACAAAGCTCGTTATGCGTCACTTGCACAACACACACTTCTATTAACACGTCTCTCTTCTCAGTTATTGACGGTGCCTCTTTAAGAATAGATGACAAACTAAGAGTAGCAAGAGAGAGAAGAGAGGAAGCAGAAAAACATCAAGGTAAGAAAATCCAATCCGTCAAGTTTTTTTGTTTAAAATATTATACACTTTTGTTTGTCCCGACAGAAAAAGTAGTGTGAAATAACATTCTGTGAACAAATCAGACCATAATATGTCATCTTCATCTTTATTAAAACCCCTTTATCTTTTATCCGTGTCAGTCACCAGCTGATTGGTTGAGCTGATTGGTTGGTCCTCTTTTCACTGTTCTGTCTAAAAATGCTGATCTTGTGAGATGGAAGCTTAAAATGATTGTGAAAACCAGTGACTATTTTATTATGTAATACAATGTGTGTGGTTTCAATGTTGGGTAGCCCGGCTTAAATTTAGAAAAACGCCAACAAAGTTTTTGCTCCCAAACCGGTGACAGATACTAGGTTTTAACACATGCTCTTTTTTTTTTTCTCCCAAAAGCACAACGAGAATCCCAGATTATGGAGAGGGAACGAAAGTCCAAGATACAAGTGGAACGTCAAATGGAAGAGCGACAGAAAAAAGTGGAAGAACAACGGAAGAAAGAAGAGCAGAAGCGACTGGCTGCAGAGGAGAAGCGTAAGCAGAAACAGGAAGAGGAAAAGGTACTCACTTGGACTAAATTGTTCCTATTTTTTTGAGATTTCATGCTATTGATCAAATAAAATGGCTTTGATTCCCAGGAACACTATAAAGCTGTGATGCAGAAGACCATGGACCGGAGCCAGAGGGTGGATCAGAGGCAGAAGAGGTGGTCTTGGGGAGGGCTGGACTCAGATGGCCGAACAGGCGAGTGCTTGGACGACACACATGGGGCCATCTTCTTATTCATGATATTCCATCTGGTGTTGCAATACTAGCTTTAAAAATATCACCTTTTAATGACATAACAATAACCTCCTATTTATCTTTTGATCCGTAACAAACTCGGTCCCAAAAACTTTTTTATGACGCATTTTGAACACTGACATGACTTCAATTAATATTTATCTAACACATATAGCTGCTTTTGCAACACAAATCAGATTTTACTCAAATACATGGGAAATGTTGTGTAATCCTTCTAGACTTTTAAAGCAATTGTTAATTCAGGTTTGAAATTGTGCATTATTGGCTGGCTTTAATAGGTTGCTTAGAATTAGTTTTTAGGTGTCAAATGGTCTGTGGTTATTTTTTTTTGTAAACCGTGGATGTTTTTTACATGAATTAGAAAAGTGGCACACTGGTGTTCATAGAAATAAGCTACGGTAGTTAGTTTAGTTGATCTCAATAACAATCTGCTTCAGCATTTGTGAGTTTCCACTTTCACCGTTTCTATCAACATCGTTTGTAATGGTCCATCCATCCATCCATCCATAGAAAACTAATGCAAGCTGATTTGATTATTTGAGAAAATGCATTTAAAGAAAAAATGATCAGTGGATATACTTTGTTATCAATGCTAGGGATGCACCAATCCAGATTTTTCAAGTCTCATACTTTGCTTTCAATATTGCTGATAAATTCCCCATATGAACACACACCAGTGAATAGACTGTACTGCATATGGCATTGTACTCCCTCAAACCTCAGCTAACTTATTATTGTGTTTGAAACTATCTGTTGATCCTGTAAGGAAGGATATCTGAATAAAAGTTAATCCTACAGTCTAACATTCTTGGCCAATATCAGCCAGCAAACGGTCTGATGATGCTGTATTTCTTTTGATGTAAAAAACCTCTAAACCCGTCCAAGTATATCAGCACCAGTATCCAATGCTAGCATCATACTGGTGCATCCCAAATCTATATGTCTTGCTATAATATCATCACTCTTCCTCAAGTCTCCTGGTAGATGTCAAGCTTCCCTGTGTTGTAGTGTCCCTCCCTGAGAGATTTGTTTTCCCACAGGAGAGGCCGATGCCCGCCCCTCGTCTCCAGTAACTATAGTAGTCTCCCCTGCCTCTCCAGAGAAGCCTCTGCGGAGTCGACAAGGTTTTGTTTTGTTGATGATTGTACTGGCACGGGCACTTGTTCGGTTTCCTCTCTGAATCCCAACCCTCACCAGCTCCTTTCACTAACAATGTTTTTCTGCAGCATGAGCTTTGGCCTGGGCAGACTTGAACATGCACACGCCATTACTGTTGGTTTTGTTGTGAAGGTTTGGTTGTTGGCATTTTGCCAGGCACTATGTGACATATCAATTCTCTTTACTAACTCTAAACAACAGGTCTTAAAATGGATATAGTGTGCAAATGAACTAAGTGCTTTGAACCATAGTGTATTTATAGTTTTTTGCCATTTTTAAAATTTAAGTTTAATGTTTAAGCATCACAATCAGATTAAAGTTTAGGTTAATTTGGTAAAGGTTAGGGGTGAGGTAAGATTATTTAAGATTAGGCTTGCTTGCTGCTGCACGAAATGCCAAGATTTGAGAGTTCAGATTTCCACGGTCACTGTTTATTACATTGGTACAAGGACGATTCAGCAGTGTCGTGGATAAATGTTAAAATGGTGAAAATTGGAAAACTTTCTTTTCTATGGACTTGTCATAGATACCAAAACAAGCACAAAATGTCTTCTTCAGAGGTAACACATTGGGATTTTTTTTTTTTCAATCTAAGCCTTGTTGGACGCACAGCAATTTCTTTGGGGGTTTGTGTTGGTCCTTCCTCTGTATTCCTATTGTGTAGTCACCCTTTGCCTCGTAGTCCCACCAGCCTCCAGTATAAACCCACCCTCCCTTGTTTGTCTCCTCCTCCCTCACAGTGGACAAGCGTTCCACATCCACCACCAACCTGAAGCAGCCGTCCGAGGCTGGCATCAGTAAACGCCTCTCCTCCTCCTCCTCCGCCCTCGGCAAATCCCCCGATAAGAGTAAGTCCTCGTCCTCTCCCTGTCTCTCCCTCTAACCACACTTTTTTAACAATACAACAATTTTCTTGTTATTTTTGGCTTTTCATAAAACTGAAACATCTCATAGAGTTAATGATGCAACCAATCCTTTCTGAAATAATTTGTCAGGCTTTTCAATTGTAATACTTTCTGTAATTTGTTCAGTGACTGCTTTATTATTTTGTGTGCTAAATTGATGGCTGGGTGTTTTCATCATTGTGTCCCAGGTTTTAAAGGCAGAAGTTCATCTTGTAACCGGTTGTCTAGCAACCGTAATGCTGCACAGGTCACCAAGGAGGACGTCAAAAAACCTCAGGTCGAGCAGAAAGGTGCAAAAGCAACTTATGTCACTAACCAGTTACAACCAACATTCAGTCTTTTTGTTATAGCTCACAAATATAACAAAAATTAACAATTTCCAAAATAGTGCTGACTCTAATTTTGAGTTTACTCAAAAATGTAATCCATCTTGAATACTTATCTACATTGTGGCGTGGGTTGTTATAAAAGCTCTATTTCTCACCCAGTTTGGCTTGTTTAGCCATAACAGTCTTATGTGTGTAGGCCGTTCCATGAAGATGAGAAGCTCGTCCCTTACTCGAGTAAGTGTGGGCAGTCTACAAAGCCCCGCCAAAGCTGATAAGGGAACAACGGATGATCAAGGTGGCTGGCATGAACAATCAATATTCTATTTGCATTCTCTGCATTTGAGACTAGCATGCGTGATGTCACTGGGTGCACACGAGCTTGGTGGGGTTAACGTGTTCCGATTTAAACAGCCGCTATACTCTTCTGGATTTTCATCTTTCCTCTGGTCACTTTTCAGGATGATCATGCAACCTTGATGTGCTTTGTTTTGTAACTCTAATCCCGTGTCGCATTGTGTCTAACCCTTTTTTTGTCACAAGATGCTTGTTAATGTTTCCTTGCAGACCGTTGGATGTCATTGCTCGATCTAACTGACCTTCTTTTCTTTGCGTCACAAATAGAGATGCACTGATCCTGCTTTTTCTGTCCTGATATCTGATCAATGATCACTATTGAAACAAAATAATCAGAATAATCATATTGCATACTTTTGTGTGTATTAAAATTAAATCATTGTTGCAATCATGCACAGATAATCTAGGTCAAGGGTTCCCAAACCTTCAGACTGGGATCCCTAAAATAAGCAGACTTTGGGAACCACTGATCTAGATTGTTGATTGGTGTCTGATACCAGTGTGGATGTATCTCTGGTCACAAATATTTAACATTCCCTCTTTCAGAACTAATGGCGCCGTTTGTCATTAACTCCAATGTTAACTGTATTGTTTGTCAAAATGTGTTTTTGCAGCAAATGTCTTCATTCCACAAAGATAGCCACACTTTAGTATCACATGCAGCATAGGAAGCTTTATCTGTGTATCTTAGGAAACACTTGTTTAACGTTCCTTGACAAACAGGTTACATTTCACAATAGCAAGTGTTCATTGACTTTTAGGTAATTTACTTTTACTAAGTGAATTAGTTATATGTTATAGCTCCAAACTCTGTTATCTAGCCAACATCTTTGGTCTGCTTCATCCCTGTCATACGGTGTTTTGTCTTGATGTTCACAAATATTTCTGCCATTGATTTGATCTCATCTAATTCAGCTCTATACCACTGCTTTTAATATGAAAATAAATACTCTTCCATGGGGTCCTTCAGCTACAGTCTTAGTTACAATAGATGTGTTTATTTAGACCCATGTAAGACTATTTGACTTCTTGATGCTGAATCTGAATCTGTTAAATCACATGGTGTCCTTTTTTAAAGTTAACACACTGTGTTTCCCTTGTTTTCTCTTCCTATTCCCCATTCTTTCTTCTATGGGTCTTTTTCTCTTTTGGGGGGTTATTCTTGGGCCGTGTAGCTCGCAGGCCACCGGCCAGCCCTGTGGATGAAGGGCTTCTTAGTCGCCTGCTCACACCCACCCAGGCCTCACTAGCTAGGAGCAAGAGTGCTGCTGCCCTGTCCGCTGAAGGAGCAGATTCTCCAGGTAACATCCACTTAGACTTTAGAGGAGGAAGGATAACGCAGACTTTTTCTTTTGACAAAAAAAAGGAAAATTCTAAGAAGGCTTATTTGTATTCATTGTAATGCTCCGCTACAGACCCTAGTGCTTACTGCACAATGTTGTGTCTGCGTGGTACACATGCTAGTCATTTGCTCTAAACTGGTGTCATGTGAGGCAGCACGGTCACTCGCTTTAGACGCATCATTCTTTAGCTCACATGCATCTGTGACTGGACCCAACTGTTCTGAGTAGAGTTGTGCTCGTAGTACCTGGGACTGCTGGAAGATTTGTGTAAGCTTCTTACCTGTGACTCTGTTACATCAGTATCAGAAAGATTCCATAGACACTGACACACTTTTACAATTGTTTCTTACAAACATCAGGTTGACTTTTTTTGATTATTTTTTACAAACAAATGCATTATATTCTCTGTGGGTTTTTGTCACAATAGAAATATGTTGGGGATAGAATGATTGTCACTCTGGGACTACTAAAATATGATTGACAGCTGTTTGGTGAAAAGGGTCAAAATGCTCCTGAAGGTTCTTGTCCCAGGGAATGGTCGGGATAGTTCTTCAGGTCAAGGATTATCAGAGCTAATCTCTCAATGTGACGACAAGCTTTTAGCCTGGAGACGACGTCTTACTGCTTACAACAGACTACAGGAGCCTATCGTTTTATTCAGTTGCCTTGAAACATGATGCTGTTAACTTGAGAAGAGAAACTCAAAAATGGAGCTTTACTTAACATTGGTAAATATATACAACTATTATGACTTGGAGGTAATTAATCATTTGTGTGTCTAATCCGTGTTTTCGTTGAAGTTTGCGTGGTGTTCATGTGCCTGAAGCTTTTGGATTTGTGTTTGTGGATAGTTATTTTATGCCTCATAATCCTCAACTCAATTAAAGCCGTTTTATTCTGCTGCCTGCTTATGAAGCTCTAACCATAGCTGTCTTTTGTGCTCTTATCCCCAACAAATTACCTTTCCTGCCACTTTCCATTGTCCTGCAAACCTTGATCTGCCTGTGGCTTGTCCTTGGCTCTCCCCTTTCCCCGGCTCCCTGCTTTGCTGCCGTCCTGGTCGTGTGATGACATGTCCTTTACCAGAGTGTCACCTGTGTCCTCGCTCAGCCTCCGCGAGCCCGCTGCAGCCTGCGCGCGGCCCGCTGCGGAGCCGCAGCAGTGACCGGCGGAAGAGTGGCATGAGCACCTCTGTGTCTGCGGATGGAGCCCTGGACCCTTCAATGGTATTTATTTATTTATTTATTCAACACAAACGGCTATATTTGGACAGATGTTAATGTACCTTTTAAATGTGATGCAATTATTTAAAAAATAAAAAGCAGATTAACACAGCAACCCATTAAAAATATACAGCCAAGCACACATCTGATTAACGCCTTATTGTGTTTTCAGGCCAGTGAGGCCTGACATTCTTTTATCATTTCTATAACTTATTGTTGAAGATGTGATACAATGTTTTTATGAGTTAATGTTTATGTTCACTCAAACGTTTTTTCAGATGTTGAGGGTAGAATAAATATTTTACTTTATATTTTCCAACAAGCCCATTTGGTCTTTTTCAGTTTTGTGGGTCCGACTCCATACATTCTGATGAACACGGTCAAAATGACAGAATTATCCCTCCCTTTCCAGTCCCTCACTGGTTATAATGATGATGCTACTATTGCACTTGCTTTAGAACAATTGTGTTGGTAATGTAATTAAAGTATTATCATTGTATTGTCTTCATGAAAGCATTTTGTGCACCTCCGTCATTAGGCCATTGGTGAGACAAACATGATTCTTCTGCTTATACTTGTTCCATTGAAAATTTTCAGTTTAAGACTTGTGCCAGAGATGTAATGCATGTCTGTCTTTAAGAAAGCTTGTTAAAGCGTTCATGTATTTGAATCATGAGTTTAAAGAGTTGTTGACTCCTGACAACACCACAGCCCTCACTGGGTTGTGACTGTGTTGCCTGTGGTGCCTGGCTCCAGTTCTTCAGAGCAGCAAAAAGAAGGCTCTCATTGTGATGAGCCTGAGACAAAGCTTCACAGTGGCCTGGCTCGACATGCAAATCGGACCCAACCCTGACCCAAGGGCCGAGAGTTTAAGATCTATTTCACCTTTGCATTGTGCATTTACTTTTAGTAGTTTGTAGAGACATTAACAATAACAAACTTTACATGAGTGAACCTTTTATCCATTTCAGTTTTCAATAGACAATTTGTATTGTTTCTGTATCTGAGTGACATATTTATAAATTAATTAAAATCTTAGACAGTTTAGGAGTTGGGTGTGTACATTTCCTTTATTCATTGTAAATTCTGTCCAATTTTGTGTTTAACTTTTTAAATTACAGAAGAGCAGAGCATCAGGAGCACAGCGTCCAGCCTCCCCATCTGCTTCCACACGGCATCGCTCGCCATCTCCTGCCCCCAGTGGAGCTCCCATGAGGACCCCCTCCCCGGCTGCAGCCAAGTCAGTAAACAACACTTACAACTTGAAGACTCAAACATTACAATGAAATTATTGAGATATCTTCTTTTATTTATCTTAGGCAAAATTCAAAAGCTCGACCACCTTCACCTGGTTCACTGAAGCAGCGCCCTCCGTCTCCTCAATCTGCAGCCACCAAACCTCCACCCATCCAGAAACCATCTCTGACCCCAACAGGCCCCCCCACCCTCAGGAAGAGAGACTCTAAATCCAAGGACTTGGGGCCAGTGGCTGCTCCTTCTGCAGACTCCAAGGCCAAAGACAAAGATGGTGAGTGACAAACTGGGCTTATCTATTCAAATCTTGTTGAGTCAAACAAATCCATGTCCACATCCACCACGTCAGCTCTGCCTCTGATTCGTTATTTTCTTTGGCATCACATGTTTTTGCTCTGTAGGAACCTTTTTCAGTTCCTGTTACTTTTTAGTGGGAGTTCATATTTTTGGTGGGTGCATTCACACATAATATGAACTGGGGTGACTTTCGCTCCTGCTTGAGGACTGGTGCTTTCTGGTGAAACAAGGAACATTGGTGTGTGTGTCTCAATTACCTTCTGTTGCAAACCTATAAACAGCAGGTTAAATAAATAACTTTTAACATATGAATCATAATTTTAGTCAGAGTAACTTGGTTTATTGGCTGTTTTGTATGTGGACTTAAATAAAGTGAAACGGAAGCCTCTGTAAAGCTGTGCATAGGTGTGATTTACACTGCAATACAAATACTATAAGTTTCATTCCCCGCTGCACCAGAGAGCTCAGTTTGCAGTAAATCTCCCAGGAGCAGGAGGCACATTAGCCTCCAGCTGGAGTCACTTCCTGTTCCAGTTTCAGAGCACTCACATGTGCCACCATCTGCTCAAAGTGGTGCTCTGCGCTTGTATTGCACCACTGGCTAAACTTATCATAGATGCGTTTTCCAATGTATTACCAATTCTACAGTACAACTTTTCAGCCCCTAATTGCTAATAATAAAAGCATTTATTATCTGAACTCTATCAATTGTCTTTTTTAAACATATGTTCATTTTTCCAACGATAGACACAAAAGGGGCAACAGGCACAAACTCTGCAGCTGAAGCTGCCAAGATTCTGGCTGAGAACCGCAGGCTGATGCGTGAGCAGAAGGAGAAAGAAGAGCAGCTAAGGATTCAGAGAGAGGAAGAGGAGAGGTAAGCTCATTTGTGTTTCATTCATTCATTGATTGGTTAAAGAAACATATGTTGTTGCTTTGATAAGGTCACTGGACTTAGTACAAATACAATCCAATCCACTTTATTTCTATAAAGTGGATTTCTAACATTTTATAAAACAATAAGAATACAATCAAAACCTAAACTGTTAGCCCAAATAAAGTAATTCAAATTGTGCTTTCTGAGTGGATAATTGGCCTAAAAACCAAAATATAAAGTGTAACATAATTTTTGTGGTCATCGTGCCCACTGTTTTATGTAAATCAACATTTTGGTGATTTGTACATGACTACCTTGTGTCTGGGAACATGGATAAAACACTTTATATGTAACTTGCATATTGTCCTTTTAAAAAGCACGTCAAGTATTTTACATTTACAATATTATAAATGTTTTGTCTCAAGAGTCCGATTAGAAGAAGAGAAGCGATTGGCTGAGGAGGCTCGTCTGAAACGCCTTGAGGAGGAGAAGCGTCTCGCAGAGGAGCAGAAGATCCGAGATGAGGAAGAGGCTCTCAAGGCTGAGGAGGAGAGAGTACGCAATGCTGCTGAGGAGGCGCTGCGACAAGCTGAGCAACAGAAAGAAAAGGAGGAGGCCGATGCCCGAGCCCTGGAGGAAACCAAGAGAGCTCTAGAAGCGAGGGATCGCAAGCTAGAAGAGGATCGACAAGCGCGCATCGAGAGGAAGAAGGTACGAGGACACTTGAAAGAGCACTTTAGTTAACCTTGATTCACACGAACATGTCTGTCTCCTCAGAGAATTGATGAAATAATGAAGAGGACCAGGAAAGGAGATCAGAGTGACTCAAAGGTTAGTTCATATAGTTCACAACTTCTGTACACGGAACGGTCAACAAATATTCTAAATTCAACTATATATTCAAATACCAAACACACCGACCAGAGCAGAGGCGTGGCTTTGTGAGTGGGCGCTCTGAGGAGGGTGAGATGGGGTTATGGCAGCTGCTGCTACTGCCCCTGTCTTTGGAGAAGTGCAGATGAGAACTGCTATTTACGAGTGCATGTTTTTAGTTTTTGTTGGTACGAGGTGAAAATTGTGGAGCCGTATAATGTCAATGTTGTCGCAAAAATAAACATAATATTATTATGCTTATTTTTGTTTAAGTTTAGCTTCTGTAATTACTTTCAGTTTTTGGTTTAACGTTTTCTTTTGCCTTTGTAGAAAGATGACGATAAGGACATGAATGAAGATGGAGATGGAGAAACCCAAGACCAGGACCTTGAGCAGGACCTTGAGCAGGACCTTGAGCAGGACCTTGAGCAGGACCAGGACTTTGAGCAGGACCAGGACCCTGAACAGAACCAGAACCAGGACCCGGACCATGACCAAGACTGTGAATCTAAAGGTGGGTTCACATGTTTATAATACCATGGCAACACAGGTGATGATTGTTTTTGTATTGTACAGGTGAGGCCAGTGAGGCTTTAGCAGAAGCTGAAGGAGTTTGTGAGTTGGAGTCTGAAGAACCCACAACCCAAAGTGAGGAACCTTTGAATGGAAGCGCAGAGACTGAGAACAAGGAGAACAACAATAGCCTGAGCACAGATGAGGCCCAGACTGACACCGACAGGTATGACATTTTTGCCGTTGGCATTTTTTGTTCTGATTAACTCGTAGTGTTATGTAGTTTAGTTCTTCCTAGGTTTTTGTTTGTATGCTGTTCATACTCGGACACAATAGTGAATCAAGGATTTCTTGTTTTTTCTGTTCCAGCCTTGTGCCTAAGACGCGTGTTGTGGAAGGCTCAGAGTTTGTGAACGAGCAGGACTCTGCCAAGGTCATCTCCGGTCTAAACGGAAAGTCGAACCAGTGGAACTTTGAGGGCCTCATTGACCTTAATAGCCACAACAGCCGTGCGCTCCTGGAGGCGGAGGACTGTAATCAGGTTTTGCTGGACTGTGGTGGGAGCCCTGATGGGAACAGGGTCACGTTTGAAGACAAAACCTCTCCTGTAAATACAATTCATTCCTCTAACCCACCCATCGAAGCACTGTCAACGGAGTGTCCACCGCTCTCTTGCACCAACTAACTGTGACGAGCGTAAAAAGGCTTTCTTCTTTTTATTTAAACCTGATGTCCACGTTCAGATGCACTCCTCCTGAACATGCTGATGAAATACTTTGCTAGTTTGTACCAGCTTTCCTTTGGCACCATGTGAAACGGAGACTGACACAAGTGCTGCACGAGGACCCAAAATGACGAGGAAGACTTCAGTATCGTTACAAACGCTTCAGGGAAATTCCATTTAAATTATAGACCTTTCGCGAGTTCTGCTTCAGGTCTCATTTTCTTCTTTTGGTTCTGAAGTACTAAATTTCTTTTCTACATAATGTCCTAGTTTGACAATATTTTTTTCTTTGTGCAGGTACATTAATGTAACTTATTCTTTTTTTGATATATTTGTAATTGGTTATTTCCTTTGTATAATATTACAGGGCAAACCTATGATTTATTAACTGAGCGATAAACTATAGAAGGATACATGTGACGTGTACTGTAATCCGAATGCAGTTCAGCATGTGATACTTGACCAGCTGTTTTCTGCAGCGACCAAACATATGTATGGCCTTATCGTTTTCTTAATGTTCAATATTGTATTGTTTGTTTGGCTTGATTAAGCTTCATATGCACCACACTGTACCACTTGCTTAAAGCAGGTTCAATAGTCGCACTTATCAATTTTTGTTGTGATTCCTCATTTGGCCACCAGAGGCTCCAGCAGCACAACTGTTACAGACTTAAAGGGCTGAAGGTGTTTGCTCAGTGAGGTGCAAGTTTGCTTATAGTCCTTCTAGGTTTTATGAGCTTGTCTATAGAAGAAGAATACTAAAAGAATCATTGTATATTATATATATTTATGATTTACAGCTTGTTTTAAAGTGAACATAAAAACACCTTTTCCACACCTTGAGGTCCGCTAGTTTCACATTGTTACAAAATTTGGCGGTCAGTCACAATGTCCGGACTTACTGAAAAGTTCTGTGAACTGTATTGAGATCTAGATCCCAGTTCACTAGCTGCTACTAGCAATTTAAAATATTTTTACTCATAGTCGACTGATTTACTGTTTGGAAATGCAAGCCTACGTATGTGAACTGTCATGATTGGTGCATAGTCAGTATTAGACAGAGAAAGCTGCATCCGAAATGTAACGTTGAGAGGTGAAGTTGCTGAAGGTTTGGTGTCGGAGGTGAGGTTGGACTAAGTCGAGTGTCGGGACAGAAGTAGCCATCGATGTCCAGTTGTTTAGATAGTTGTTACAGCGTGGAACACTACTGGAAACACTTGATGGTGTGGACCTAGATTTCTGTGTTTTGTTCTGCTTCTCTGGCTTAAGATTTTATCTTTGAATGAAGTTCAAAGAATGTGAAGTTGTCATTTTTAGTAAAAACAACTGTCCTTATTGTAGCCCAATTGTATGTCTTCCTAACCGATATGTAAGATACAGTTAGTAAGGTTTGAGGTTTTTGCCATAAGACAAATGCTGCTTGTACAGATAGTGTATGTATTCCAGCCTGCGGTTTATCAGGGACCTATACTCATATTTAAACTTTCTTTCACTCAACATTACTCACATCTGTGTCTTAATCAGCTTAACATAGATTTAAGATTGTTTTATTCTAATATAGCTGACAAAAGTCCGCACCTCAGCCTCGACAATCAGTCCTCCCCAGGACGGCACCTTGAATCTCCCAAACCCCACCCTGTTTGTTCAGAGCTTCATTTGTACTGTAAATATGTTTCAAACTTCAGAAATTCAAACTGTTAACAATAAAGACTTACAAATAATGTTTTTGCCATGGCTTTATTTTTTTGAAGACACATCTGAACATTTCCTTTGATCCTTTCCAGCGTGGCAACATTCAGAGGCAGTGATTCTTTAAAGCTGGCCTGATTAAAACGCTGTGACATTGCATTTGAGACAAGCTTTGGTTTAGACAACGCTGTGCAATCCTATTTACATACTCTATACATTTGCTTCAAACTAAACTGACTTCTGTTTAAACTGGCATTTCTACATTTCATTAACGCAGGCTTAGTATGAAAGCTCCTACTGCTGTGTTGATAAGTGAGATTTTACAGCTTCTTGGCGCAGTCGGGGCAGTAGATGTGCTCTCCGCTGATGACGAAACGCTTGTTGGCCAGAGACAGGCAGCACTTCTTGCAGTTGAAGCAGTACTCGTGCCAGGAGAAGCCCTCGTAGTTGACGATGTTTGTGCCGTGGCCAAAACCTGGAGTTTAAAAAGGCAGAATTTGCAGATGGTTCAAATGAAGGTCATTGTTTTAGATCGAGCAATGTTAACAAAAACAACCCAAAAGACAAAATCCATAATTGAATATGTAAAAGTGGAATTCATTCATTCAAATATTTTTAAGTTTCATTTAGTTTTGGAAGATTGCGGGGGGCTCCCCGCACTGTCTCACAAAAGTAAAAAAAATTCTAAAGCTACTTTCTAAATACACAATAAAATGTTTGGGGAACATTGTTCTAGGCTTTCAAAAAGAGCTGTTTTATTTTGTTTTAGTGGCCTCAATTAGTCAGACGTAATTATTTATTTTGTACAATGAGACATTTTCCCCCAAATGGATGAAATGTGGTGATGGAGTGTAGAAACTCCATCAGGTGGATACAAATTTGAATCTTTTTTGACTTTGTCCACATCAAAATGCAAAAATCTTAAGTCATTAGGATTTGTTTTTCTAACATGCCAACTGAAAGTTTATTTTCACCATTGGGTTGTGGTTAAGTGTAGGAACAGTCAGATCTGCACCAGGGCAAAAAGATTCCAAATGTAGAATTGCAATCTTCAACAATGGAGCGAGAGAGCGGACAGAACAGATCAGCTGCCGCCTCTCTTTTACAGTGTGTGCAGATGTGATGTTACATTAAAATAAGGTCTGACTTATATTTGATTTCTTGTATTAAAATAGATTAATTAATTACATTACAGTGGAAAGAAGTATACAAACATTGTGTTTAATTTTTTAAATTTTTTTTTTCATAATCTCATTCTGTAGAATTGAGCCATAATAAAATAGCACACAACGAAAGAAAAAATAAATTGAGTATAATGTCAATCTATTCCATTTTATTTTACACATAAGACCCATTTTTATTCAACATCGCATGAGTTGTGTGGTCCTGTCTTTTTAAATATATTTTAAATGTCCTTGCGTTTAAGTATTCTATTGATTTTATTTGCACTTGCATTATCTTTCATTTGGTTTCAAAATGTATTTATTTATTTGGAGTGAAATAGAGATGTCTCTGAAATAGAATAGCATTTGAAAAGGATGCACAGCCCGGCCTCACCTGTTATTGGGTTCTTGCAGCCGTGGCATTTTTTGGCCACATCGGTCTTGTAGCAGTCAACGCAGTAGGCGTGGTTCTCATGAGAGGTGAAGCGAGTACCGGCCAGAGGTTTACTGCAGGTGCTGCACTTAAAGCAGTCCGAGTGCCAGGGCTGGTCCTGGTAACTGATGCCCCCAGATTGGATCGGCTGTGGAGACATATTAGTATATTATCGTATACATTTTGTTCCAACTTACGTACACCCAAAGATAAAAAACAATAAACAGCAATACACAGTTTGAAAGGGATTGGAGACAGCAGACAGATACTTGGTACCAACCCCTTTCACTTACAACACACACATGCACTCAGACAAGACACAGGCCAAACTCTCTCTGATCCTACATCACTTGCTCTGTGCTTAGGGCATCTGTCTCTTCCCCCCACCCACTTTTTTCAGATGTTGTTACTTCATCTGGCAAGTTGAAGAATGTATTTGATTTGAAAGTAGTTTTATATGAAGCCACACATTAGATGCTGTACCTGCTTGCATTTGAAGCACTTCTTGGCAAACTTCTTGTCGTGGCAAGGACCACAGTAGATATCATCGCCTTTCGCCAGAAAACTCTGCGTGCGGATTGGCTGCTTACATTCGAAACAGGTGAAGCACTCCTCATGCCACACCTTGTTCTTGTACTCCACATTCTGGGATCCTGGGGCACGAATACATTTCAAATAAAAAGGATCCACAAGTGAAACAAGATCCGTGTTTCACTGCCGTGCTGTAAAACGTGTGTTTGCAGGTACCTGGCATGACCACCTTGTAACAGCCCTGGCAACGGTTGCCGTCCTCGCGTGAGCTGCACTTGCCACACATGATCTTGCCATCGTCGCGGGCAATGAAGGGCTCGCTGGCCAGCGGTTTGTAGCACTTGGCACAGCGGAAGCAGTCCTCGTGCCAGTGGCGGTTCTTATGGTGCAGCTCCTGGAAGCAGTAAGTGTATTTTCATTCACATAATCAGGCTTCATTAAACTGGAGAAGTTTAAGCTCATGATGCGCCTGATGGTGATGAACGTGATTATCTACTAGTCTGAACTTGGTCTAATGAGGGTGAGAGATATGCCACTATGCAAGCACTGTCTCTATGACAATGTTCATATGATCCATGTAAACCCCTGCAGCTCATTGAGCATTCATCATTGCATCCAAGTTGCATTTCACTACATTTGTTTATTCTGTCTCATTTTTACAAAATGACCAATAGGACAAGTGTGTAAGAAAAGTGCCTCCATTTGAGTAAAAATGACTGGTAATCTGGTCCCTTCAACACCTGTGTTTATGTTGTTTATGTATGTATAAATCTTAAAGCAAATAGATTGTTTGTTTGACTCAAACACAACAGTCTGCTCATGAGATGTTTGTGCCTCTCGCCCACTGCCCGACTACAGCTCATGGTGAAGATGAGAAAGTACCTTGGCATCAGCTCCGATGGGGCGCTTGCACTCAGCGCAGGTGTTGGCACACAGTTTGTCAAAACACTTGGTGCACACATGCTTTTCGTCCTTCTTCACATACTTCTTGCCGTGCAGGTTGTCACGGCAATAGTAGCAGTCAAAGCGGTCCGTCATGGTGGAGCTCATGTAGTGTCTGGGACCTGTTGATACAACCACGGCTTCAATGAGGATCTTTTAGGAAGGAACATTTATCAAACTCAACGGTAGAATTCAGGTGCTAATTCCGAAAAAACCATAAATTCAAAAAAACAATCTGTTTTATCACTATTTGGAGACTCAGAGACCCTTCATATGGCGTTGTTCATTCACTCCTAACAGTGGTGGTAAGCCACAGCTGCCCTGGGCCGACTGGCAGAAGCAAGGCTGCCAATCTGAGCTGTCAGCCCTTCTGACCAAGTAGTCAAACTAGGAAATGTGAGTGAGGTTCAGCACTCCCAACTGTCTCCCATCACAATACTAACCAGGCCCCACCGTGCTCAGCTTCTGAGATCTGACAGAATCAGACTGTCCCCAGTTTGGCTCCTGCTCTGGAGGTATGAAAACTTATACACAGGAAACACGAGAGGAGAATGACAATTTGTTTTGGTTCTATTTTTGTTCTGAAACTTTATTTAAATTAAATCAGCTTTAAATAAAGAACCATGTTGAAATTCATGATGTGAAAATGCACATTTTGAAAGTGTATATTAAAATGAGGAGCACAGAGATCCTCTCCATCAGCACAGACACATGGCGTAGTGTCCGGTCAACAGACTGTAGATATTAGACATATATTAGACATATACTGTATTAGACATACATTAGACATACATTAGACATATATTAGACATATTCGTCGGGCCACACGTCTGTTGTCTCCACAGTTCCAGCTCGGGGCAGTCATCATGTGCTCTGGAAAAGCAAAGTCCATATTTATAGACTTGTGCGTATTCTTCTCTTAACACCGTCCAAAACACAATCATGTCCATTTGTGTGTGTGGCCTTCACTATATCACAACTCAGTCTAAACACCGTGATCGAGACGACTTTGTTTTATTCATTCATCAACATTCCAACGTTCCCATCGGAGTGCTCTGAGAGGTTTCCTGGAACTTCTCTAACCTCTTATCACTGATGCTGCTCAAAAATGTTCACACTGGGACATGTTCCACAGGGTCAGCCAGACATTACACAATGACACGGTTTATCAACAGATAGAATTATTGTTTTGTGGCATCAATAAATATTCAACTTAAAGCTGTGGAACCTAAAAAAAGTTTTCACATCTTTAGCTTTTTCAGCCCAAAGCATCAAATGGTGACTCACATGCTCTTTCTTATGTAAAAGATAACATGACTCTTTCTGTTGGAACAAACGACATGAATTATTTATGGTGGAAAAGTTAAGTGCCGCAGCTTTAAGTAAAGATAATAAGATACTGTGTGGCTGAATACAAATTTTGCTTTTCTTTCAAAACACACATTTTTAGAGCTGCATCTCTACTATGCTTATGAACAGAAATGTCAGTTTTTTACAGCTTTGTCCCAATGCATTTGAAACATGACAGCCATGAACTTCCTATTGTGTTATTGTTTAATTACCTCGTGATTCAATTTAGGCTCCCATTGTCTCATTTAGGGACAGATATTTTAGTTGAGGTACACACTGCACTTGCCTGCAGCTGTGACCCGGGATAAAAACTGGGTTAGACAACTGCACTTTCAAAATCTTCCCAATTTAGCTCATCCCTCAATCTGCAAACACAATACTATATCCACAGGCTCTATTTAAAGCCCGGTGACCTTCCAAAGCGAATGGCAAACGCACACAGAGGACCGGTGGGATTGTGCGGCTATTGTGGTTCCACGGGTGATGCGGCGTGGTGCGTAAAGCTTTTGTTTTGACAGCTGCCCCACGCCCAAACAGCCCTGGTATGTGCCCACATTCTGCTGTTTATGGACCGGACTAAGCCCCCGTAGCCCCAGCGGGAAGTCCAGGAGAAGATGCAAAGGTCAGAGGCGGAGCAGTTGTGAAGATGAGCCACAGAAGAGGGCTGGGATTAAGATAATTCAGCTATGGTGACAGATTATCATGTGCCAGGTCAAGACCACCACATAGAGGTGGTCTTGACCTGATCTGACTTGAGTATTAATTACATACTTGAGTACATACAACAGGTTATAGTAGGTGTTTTCTACAACATACAACTTTTCTCCTGTGTGAGATCAATAAAGTCTATCTTATCTTAATCAAAATTAGTATTTTTAAGATTTGCCCCATAATCCTAGCTAGTTTTCACAGAAGAAAAAAAAACAATGTAATGATTGAAAGGGTTTAGGCTGAAGTGAGCGCTTATGAGAGTGTAAGGATTTAAGCAGACAGAGACGGATCGTGGTGTGCCAAACTCTGGAAGTTTATTTACGTTGCTCTCAAGTTCCACTGGTTTACTCTGTTTCTTTCCCCCAGACAGAATAAAGGCAGTACACAGTTTATATAGTCATTGTCACGTCACACATCGAAAGACATACGTGTCACAAAGAGACAGTCAAATCATAGTCATAACATGGAGTCCTTGTAGAGTCCTTGTACAGTCCTGCACGTAGGCCATATTGCTATCTAATACTAATACCCTCCCCTTTGATCACATAATCACATGTGATCATTCAATTTGATCAATCAATAAAGTGGAAAAAGAAAAAAATTCTAAAAAAAAAAACTTTACAAAATTATTAAAAACAAAGAAAATGTATGCATTAAACTCATAATCATCAAATCAATATCAGTGGATTTTATCCTCTATCCTGGGAAAAAAACAAAAAACAAAACAAACAAAAACAAATCAAAAATAAAAACAAACAAAAATAAAAACAAACAAACACTATTGGACACACAAGAACTCAGCAGATTCAGTCAAAACACAGACAAAAACGAGCTGAGTCTCAAATTAGAAGCTAATTTCACTTTTATTACTCTACTTTTATTCTAATGCTAATTGTTTACACTTCACTTATTTCACTGTATTATTTTCACTTTTCAATCTTAGACTGTGTACTTTACTCTCTATTTACAAATATGTTTGCATATTTGATTCTATTGAGCCATATTCTTAAACATACATTTTAATCTAATAAATCTCTCTGTGGTATTATGCTCTAATTATCAGTGGCATATTATCAGTGGCTTTGCTCTATGTCTATTCTCATTCTCAGGAATAAAACTGAACACAGTAAGGCAAATGGTCAACATTTACACTTCTAAAGTGGTCAGTGATTTATTACTTTTTATTATCTAAAGATATTATTGTCAGGCAGTTTGGGATGATTGTACATCATTAATCAAATTAGTATTATCCTTACAAGAACTAATCTATTTTAGCAGGTTTGGGGTTGGGGTCTACAATGGTGTTTGATTCTCTATTTTTGAAAGCATCTATGGTTGATGCATTTATCTAATTCTATTTCTACACTATTGTGACTCTGAAGTTTGGCTGCAGTTTGAGCAAAGGCATATTTCTAGCTTGTGACTTCTGTCACTTTTAATGGCTGTAACATAACTCTGATTCTAATATTATAGCTGATCTATCAAAAGGATAACATTGTAGGGTACTATTTTAACTCTTATGTGGAAATGTGTTTATGAAAAACAAAGGAAGGACAATTCTACTTTTTTACTACTATTTAACATCTACTAAAACGCTACAATACTTATACTTTATCATTTTAAAAGTTTTTGTCTGTCAGATGTCTGAATACTTAACATGTATATTGCATTTGTCACAGTTGTGGTTCTGGTTGTAGCAAAAGCATCGGCAATAGACGTTTTTCATTGGCTGGTTCTTGTTCTGCAAATCGCTGTGTCCAATAGATCATCAGATGTCCAGAAGCTAGGGACAAACAAAAACAAAAGAAAGAATCATGAGTATCTCTCTCATTTAGCACTCATCAATGTATGATTTCAAAAATATAAACATCACTCCCCAGTTTTCTCTCAGGTCCTCAGATCCTCAGGTCCTCAGGGTCCTCTGAGGGTGAGTCTCAGTCGTCATCAGGTCAGGTCATCTTGGACATCAGTAGGGTCCAAGCCATGGTTCTGGTTCTGGTCTCCAGATGCACATCAGATCTCCAGATACAGTCTTTTCACTTGAAGCACATCAGGTCATTTGCGATGCACTTCTGGTCAATGGTGCAGTGTCTCAGTTCCTGTACACAGCTTGTTATGCAATAGTTACTCTCTATGGTTAAGTCACTTTGATTCTACTGTAACACAATTTCTATTCATGCTGTTGCTAATGTCTCTCAGACAAAAAGCAAGCGCAGTTTACTTCTCTAATTTGTATTTTTATCAGATCTAATTCTAATCAATGTAATTACTTCACACAGTACAAAATCAACAAATCAAAAGTGTCAGGACAGACGTCAATTAGTCCATGACAATATAGAATTCAAATGAACATTTCTGGTCTCAAAAAATACTGATTCAAATGAAGATTCAAGTGATAGACAATTAAAAATATGTGTTTACATTGGAGTAAACTTTTAATGCTTTTTCCTCATGTTCTACTTTTTCATGTATCTATATGTAAATGTGAATGTGTGAGTGTATGAGTGTGTGTGTGTGTGTGTGTGTGTATGTATGTGAATTTTGGGGTTGTGTCTCCAGACTCCTCGAACCACCTGTAGGTGTCAAAGGTCACACTGTGGTGATGCAAACCAACTGGACACACTTTCAACTCCCTCTAGGTCTCTACCTGACGCTCCACCCATCACGTCTCCAGATACCTCTCTTTCATGGCCCCGGTCTCTCTCACACCCACTCAGTTCTGCAGTGGCGTGGGGAGGGGCAAGGAGGTGGCATTTTCCTTTGCTCTTTGATCTGTGACCTGTGGCTGGGTGGGCTTTGCGCTGTCCAGTGTCTAGCAGTCCAGTGACCCTGTACAGTGTGTGCTCTTGGTTCTGGAAAACAACCTTATAGTCAAATTAAAAACAACAGAGATTGTGAATGAGATTGTTTTTCTCTCTGAAGTCTAAACAATTTTGAAGCGCTCTTGGCTTTCCCAAGCGCTATGTAAATAAAAGATTACTTATTATCTTACTAATGATGACATTTAAAACCAGAAACTCTCAATATAAAAAACAAGACTCAAATCTCTTAAACCTTCAAACTTTAAAATATGTATTATGTACTTTTGTACTGTGTGATGTTTTTAATCTTGAACATCTTGGGTTTCACTTTATGGACTTTCCCTTTTACACTTATTTATCTCAGCATCTATTCTACTAATTTAAAATAATTGCAGCATTTTTCAAATGAAGTCAGTATGAATTGGAGCACATTTTAGACCAGGCTCCTGTGCTGCGTGCATCTGCAGCAGGAGGAAGGTCAGGTGCATAGTCAAAACAAAAACAAAAGTCACCACTTGCATGTGAATTGGGTAGTTTAACTTAATAATATAATACTTTTACAGCCTAATTCCCTCTTTCTTTTTTAGACGAAGTCTACAATCATTAATCACTTTTAACAGATTCTAATTTAAATGTTTGAAAAACGGCTTTTGTAACTAAAATAAAAAATACATGAAAAAATTCTCACAAACAGCTATGAAATATATCAGAGATACAATAATGGACTCACAAAATAAGCAGCAGATTTAAAAAGAAAAGCAAAGCTTTTTGTACTAATCTTTGGGTTTCAAAAACATACTAATTCAAAACTTCTATTCCCTAATGGTGTTTAAAAACGTTTAACTGTGTCTAACACAATGTTCAAATGGCAAATTTAGCAAATTTAATGGAATAACAACTATGAAAAGCCAAAAGTCCTAAAGCAGTAGCTTTGCTTCAGATTCACAGCCAGAGCAGCGAAGGAGGGGGCCGTTTCCCTGACAACGGCAGCAAGATAGAGATGTGCACACACAGGCAAAAAGATACAGAAGAATAACTTTCAAGATTACTTTGTTAAGCGAATATAACTGATGTTGTTCTTTATACTTTTGTCATCCAAATCTAGAAGTGATCACTTTCCACACTAGTAACAAAAGGCACTCTTGTCTTTAACGTTTCCCTTTTTATAATTACTTTTATGTTTACACCATGGTTTCACTAACTATTTTCTATTCTCTATTCTCTGCCCCGGCTACTCCAAAGGCAGGGACCCCGATACGTCAGGGGTTCCTTTTTCTCTCTGTCCTGACTACTTCAAAGGACAGGGACCCCGATACGTCAGGGGTTCCTTTCTCTCTGTCCTGACTACTTCAAAGGACAGGGACCCCGATACGTCAGGGGTTCCTTTCTCTCTGTCCTGACTACTTCAAAGGACAGGGACCCCGATACGTCAGGGGTTCCTTTTTCTCTCTGTCCTGACTACTTCAAAGGACAGGGACCCCGATACGTCAGGGGTTCCTTTTTCCTATAGGGACTGGTTACCCACACAGCTAACCTGTTTTCTACAACATAAGACATGACAAAGACGTGACAAAGACATAACAAAGAAAATTTGATTTAGAGAGATTTGGACAGACCTCCGGGACAGCTCAAAATTTAGCTAGTATCCAATTATGCAGACTTTACATATTAAAAAAGGTGTCTGCTTACCTTAATTCTTTGTCCGGACTGTTCGAGAGGTCGACCAACATCTTTTCCGCGTCGAAAAATTCAATTTAAACAACAAAAGTGACAGAAGCGACAAGAAGCATCCAGGAACAGCTCTTCCAGCCTGCTGGAATCCCCGCTCCCAGACACAGCATGCCGATCTCTCACGCAGAGGAAAAGAAACAGAGCAAGCTCCCTCAAAACAATCCAGAGAATGGCACAAACCGAGCCGCGCATTCTCCACCAAATCTGTTAGGATTTAGGCAGACAGAGACGGATCGTGGTGTGCCAAACTCTGGAAGTTTATTTAAGTTTCTCTCAAGTTCCACTGGTTTACTCTGTTTCTTTCCCTCAGACAGAATAAAGGCAGTACACAGTTTATATAGTCATTGTCACGTCACACATCGAAAGACATACGTGTCACAAAGAGACAGTCAAATCATAGTCATAACATGGAGTCCTTGTAGAGTCCTTGTACAGTCCTGCACGTAGGCCATATTGCTATCTAATACTAATAAGAGCCTAACCCTATCACTACAACTTAGAAAAGCCGAGAAAATGGCAAAACAGGTGCGTTCAGCTTAAAGAAAAAATGAATTTCGAAAATGAGTATTGAAACATATACATGGATCTATGTATAATCATTTAAAAAGGAGGCTTTACAATGCTGTATAGACTGATAGGACAAGGATCATGGAAGGATGAGTAGGACGTGAGCAGCAGATGTGACATATAGAGGTGGCTACCATACAGTAGCAACCACCTTGTAGAAGATTATTATTATTTTTTTGTTCATACAAGAACTGTAGCCGACATTGCATTAAAACTAGTGTACCTAACTTTTATACCCCAAAAATGGAAATATGTCATCTAACTAGTTTTCTCATGCTGTCAGCTATCACTCAGCCAATCAGCTGTCAGATCACTATCACTCAGCCAATCAGCTGTCAGACCACTATCACTCAGCCAATCAGCTGTCAGACCAAAGCGAAAAGACACAATGTTTTGACAGTATTTTGTGGTCTGATTGGTTGACATCTAACTTTTACAAAGACTTGTTCTGTAGATAAATGAAACATCCAAAATGTAGGTACCTCAGCTTTAATTCACATTAAAACTAGATCGAACAAATTGTTCTTTAGTTTACTCTTAAATGAGCTGATGTCGGAGCGTTAATCATGAGATTAGGCTGAGTGTTCCATCTACAATGAACACAGTGAGAGGAAGCTGCTTCTCCTACTTTCAGTTTTCATAACATAAACAAAGGCCAAAGACCGTCACATTTACACAATCTTATGGAAGGAGTAGAAATAACTGTCATCTTTATCTTTAAACTGACTGATGACCTTTTGAGCACTTATTGTCTTTGAGTTTTGGTGAAAAATCTGGTTTAAAGTAAATCTACTGTTTAACTGTGTGAAGGTTCTGGTGGAAGGACTGTTTTAAACACAAATATCATAGTTTTACACTGAAGCAACAGTTTGTGAATATTATAATTATGAGAATGTTTCAATTACAGGAAGTAGAGCAGATTCTCGAACTGAATACAGGATCCCGGGAGTGACATCACACTTGGTATAAATGATTAAAAAACTCTTATTGGCTCCACTAAATTAAAGTAAATGTACGTAATGTCAAAATATATGTATATAGTGTTTCATTGGACATGTTTTACCAGTCTATTACACACTTGATGAAATCCTCCTGTGATGTCATGTCTTGCTCATTGAGGTTTCTTTAGAACGTAAAGTGCACCATCATTAAAATGTATTAATATTAAATTGAAGAAAATGAAAATAAAAACATGGTCAAACTGAGAGCTTTATCCTATAACCAGGGATGCAGAGGGCTCTTGGAGTTGCACTTTGGTATCAGGTGAATTGAGGATGACATTAATTTCACATCTTATGAATTATTATAGGATTTTTGACATCTATTTCTTAAAACCATATTCTATAAACACAGGCTTAGGACTTCTTTGGACTAAAATAACTGAGTCACTTTAATGAATCACTAGATACAGTGTTGAGAATGAGGGATATGATAATCAGATGTTTACAGTCATAGTGACACCAACTTAACACCATAATATGTACTAGGCCTTTAGACTAAACAGCTCTAAACATATCTAATAACTAGTTTAAGCTTATAACATGTAAATTGTGGATACCTGAGTGTCTGTAGAAGGTCATGGTTGCTTTGGTCTGGTGCCTAAAAGCTGAAGCGAACAGTAGTATCCACAAAGGCTCAAAGCTGCGGTCCCTGCCCTGATATTTGGGGCTGTGGTCTTTATACCTCGCTGTGACCCGGCCCTCACGAACCTCTGCTCCTTTTTAGGTTTTACGAACAACAGAAAAGTGGACGGGATGGGGGACCCTGTGGACCCTTTGTGGCATTAAGACCATGTTGGATTCCTCTGCAATAACATCAGGAGTAAAAATACCAGAATGATAAAGCCGCAAGGGAAAGCAGATACTCCCACCACCTCCATGTAAGAAATACTGTTATAATCCTGGACAAATGATGAGATGACTCCTGAATCATACTGTTATCACTGGATCAAGCACTGACGCTGTCTTTTATAAATGCAACACACAAACAACTATCATTGACATTTACAGGGCGGAGTGGGTTTATTCACACGACTAGAACGTTTTATCTCCAGCTTTTGAAAACACTTCATAAGATTCATACCACGGTGATTTAATGTCTGTGTCGTAAGCTTTTTGTCCTTTATGTCAAGAATTGATATTTCGATACAAATCCAGACATTTAGAGCAGCAAATCAATGAGGCGGCGTCTGTCTGGAGTTTTAAAGGCCATCTGGTTGTAATGAAGAGTTTAATTGAGTTTATATGCTTCTGTTTGTCCTGTTCTTGTAACTATTTATTCTAATCTTTTGTAATGGCTGGTCGGGATGAAACCATTAATTCCTATTATTTTCTGTTTAGCCTGTGAGTTTTGCGTGCCAGTCATACCAGTAGTAGATCCCAGTAGAGAGCACAGTTTGTGAAACAGGATATTTTTCCGAGCTGTTCAAATAAAGGACAAATTAATCTGTGTAGGAACAAATTGCAAACAGGAAGTGAACATGGAGATCTGGCAAACGGTAGAGGCTCAGGTCTGGAAGGTCAAGAGAACAGTTCTGTCAACACGGCTACGCACGCACACACACACACCCAAACACACGCACAAAAACACATACACCCAAACACACATACACCCAAACACACGCACACGTACACATCAATTAAAATTATTGTTGTAGATCCCAAAATCAACCCACACACACACAGGAGAAATACAAAACAAAAAATGTTGACCTATATTATGACTGAGAGATTTAGACTTGTTCTATATCACTTCTCATTGATATTTCTTTAAACAACTTTCAGCTTGGCTCGCACTAGGTGGACATGTGCATCTCTATGAATTGAGTTTTGTACATAACATTGCATGAATTTGGTTGGTATGGTTAAATAACTCACGTCTGCATCTTCAGCGGTTCTGAAGCTCCCTTGTCCCTAAACAGAAGTCTGACCATGTTCTTACACAAAACACATGATATAACCAGGCCAGGCCAGGCCAACCAAATGTTAAAATGCACCAACAACGCAACACAAGGCTGTAAGAATTCACAAAAGTGTTCCAAGAGGGCACAGTCTTTGAATTGTCCCATCTCTTGAATGGTATCCAGATGAATTGCCTTTTTAGGCGTCCGCCAGGTCACTGAAATCACATGTGTTTCTTCAACTCACTCATCTTCAAAATTCCTCGCTGCACTTTGTCACCTCGCTGCATTTAGGAGGATACAGACATGTTCAAAGAGCTCTGTGAGTGGGAGGCAACAGCTGACACCATCACTGTGTCCCAGAGGCATTCAGACTGAAACACATGTCTAAAGTCAATGTAGTTGAAGACAGAACTACCAAGAAATACAAGCAATAATTCTGACAAATGACTTGGTAAAACTCCAGACTACAGATCCTACAGGGGACGTCATCGTTTGGCTGGTTTGGTTTGGCCCTGGTCCACTCAGACGTTTAAGAAATATTCATTGCATTTTTGTTTTGTTTTTTGTTTTGTCCACAACACAAGGGATTTCAAATAGTTCAATATGTCATATTATATTTACTTAGGGTGCATATATATATATATATATATATATCCTCTTATTATATTATTATTATATTACCTGCCATGTATGTATATGTACATATACATATATATATACATGCAGAATTAACATAGTTTTCCAATTTCAATTTGATTCTCTAACAATCATAACATCTTGAGTTGCTTTCAGGTAATGGTCTCAGTGTGACACAGTTGGAGGATCTGGTCAGAATAGATCTGAAGTCTGAACTATAACAGGGACCTTTGAAACATCACATCGTCAGAAGAAAACAATAAGAAAACAAATATTTACTACTGTTACAGACGAGATGATACAGAGGCCTAGACTCATGATATTAAGATCGAATGAAAAGACCAGAAATACAGTTGTCCTCAAAACCAGAGACAGAGACAGTAATGTTCTCAAGTGAACATGAATACAAATAACTATTGTGTAGAGCTGCTGGTTATTTTCTAGTGAAACTTTTCCAAGAGGGTCTCAGTCACATCATTAGTTTCTGGCCGTCAAACCAATAACCCCAATGACCAACATTCAAATGCAAAAGTTTTAAATTACTGTTGCATTAATGATTTTGGTTGGAAACTAAATGTTATTTAAATGTTAGAGTTATTCAAATTTTACAGCTCAAAGAAGAGAATAGCTGCAAATGTGTTTCTCCCTGGTGCATTCTGCCACAGGTAAAGTAGATGGTCACTCACCTCTGGAGACGCTTCTGTCCACACTGCGCTCCTCCTGAGTGCGCACTGAGGCTGAGCTTTAAGATAGAGGAGGGAGAACACTACAGGCCCAGCCAACCCTCTAAAGACCTCATAAACAATTACCTCAACCAGGAATTCAGGAGAATCTGACTTCTCTCCGCACTCGAGGCAAATCACGTCATTTCCTTGGCTACAAAACACTGCACTTTACATCACAAATGTCTTTTTAAGAGGTGGCGGAAAACTGCAGCCTGAGCTCCTTCTTTGGTAAAAGGCAGACGAGGAATCAGGAAATGCAGCTTTTAGGAACTCACAAATTGGATCCATGCTCACAACTGATCCTACAACATTTATACTTGTTGTTTCATATCACAGATTATTATTTCACAATGTGTTCACATCATATTGATCACTACCAATCATGTATTATTCTGCATAGCTGATCAGCCCCGCCCCCACAAGAGAACCCACTGTATATGTTTATGTCTGCAGAAACATATTATATGGCAATTTATGTTTACAATGTTGATAACACAGATAATTTACTGAATAGTCACAATTAACTACGTCATAAGAAATGGGTGGGGTTTGTAGAAGAGTAGAACAATCCTAGGATCTTCATCAAACTGTAAATCCAGTTGGGGATGTGTGACCTTTTTTGGACATGACAAGTTTGTTGTCAAAACAAAACTTTCAAATATTATTCAACAGTTAGGCATGATTGAATGCAGGTGTAGGTCTAATTACCACTTCCAGGGGCAATGTAATCACCAGGGTTTGTTTGTAAGTCAAGAATGGATGTTTACAACATTTTCAGTATACCCGGGAATTTGGACAGGAGGTGATCTAGACCACTAACTGGATCCAGGATTTTTAAAGAATGCAACAGTGTCGACAGACATCTGTGCTCGTCTTTTCTAGTTAAGCCTGGTATTATTTGCTTCTTAGTATTGCACCAAGCAAGAGGAACTAAGTATGGATGAAGGTGGTACTTGCTAAAGAAAAATCCCATAGAGTAAATTGTCGAGCTAAATTGTCATGGGTGGCACGGTGGCTGAGTGGATAGCACTCTCGCCTCTCAGCAAGAAGGTCCTGGGTTCGAATCCCGGTCGGACCAGGGCCTTTCTGAGTGGAGTTTGCATGTTCTCCCCGTGTCTGCGTAGGTTTCCTCCGGGTACTCCGGTTTCCCCTACCACTAAAAATATGTACAATAGTTCTGGCATGCGCCTCCTGTACTGGTGACCCCGCTCCCATCTCTGTGTGAAGTGAGAGACAAATGCCCACAAATAACAATTGTAAACCGCTTTGAGACTCAGATCTGCAGTGAAAAGGCGGTATATAAATAAAGATTACTTACTTACTACTAGCCTAAAACTTCCTCTATTTCGAAAAGGCTGCACATAGTGAAAGAATACAAAAGGAGAGTTTGAATGCAGGTTGAATCAAAAGCACAGGCTTGAGTTTATTGACTGCTGCAGCACACAAACAGTGAGTATATATGTTCACAGAAGTAAACAGAGGACACACCTCTTCTCACAAAGATCTCTGCAGACACGTCCCAAACACCAGCACAGCAGGCCTCTTTGGTCAGCTACTTCACAGGAAACATGATTTAGAAATGTACGGTGGAGATTTGTGCACTCAGTTATATTTGAATGATTTGAGATATATCATACTTATATTAATAATAATAATAATAATATTGAAGCATATCATCCGGATTGTTCTCCAGGACAAAAGCATTTACACACAGTCTTTTGGGTATATTACACTCAAAGTACCATCAGGTGAATATGGCTTCATGAACATTTAGAAGGTAACCCTGCTTCAGTGAAAGCAAAGGAATGTACTGGTTCTTTTATGCACATAAAAAGGAAATACAATAAACAGCAAAGACAATTCAACTAAAACGACATTCTTTCAAGATGAGTGCAAATAATCAAGCTTTAGCGCATTTTTTCATAAAATAAATTCCGGGGAATATGTATAAGGTGCCTGATAAAATACTCTGATCTTCTGCACAGCAGAAGATGATGTGCTTCCAGTCCACAGCACAAAGACGCTCTCTTTTTACAGATACACTTCCTGGCTTCTGTCTGCATCAACACTGTGTCGTCATGGAGACGCCCTATCAATGTTTCCTGTCCGGCAACAACAGCTGCGACTGAGCGAATGAGATCACAGCCTCTTCATGGTAATACTTATCAGTCTGCCTCACATGTAAAGTTCAAGTTAACAACAGAAAAGTGATAGTCTTCCTCTCTACAGCCAGCATCGAGCCTTTTCTCTTCAGTTATGATTCACAAATGTATGTAGAAAATTCAATAGAAAATAATTGTTGATTTATTCCAAAATGTAATTCATTTACCTACACCTTAACACGTTCCATATTACTACTGGAGGCATAGAACATGTCAATTGTATTTTTGGCAAAAATAATTGAAGAGTAGAAAAAATATGAATTCTTCTTCATTTAAATTTCACAGTAATGACAAAATTCACAATGGAAATGGCACTCTTGTCTTATCGTCTCAACTTTATCTGTTTAAGAGAAAGTGTCTGTCCCCTCTCGATGCCACAGTCAAAGGTCATTGGGAGAGACTCGCATGTGCACATTCTACTATTTACAGCAAAGTTACAGAAAAACACCTCCGAGTATACAGCTGTATAATCGATGGTGTTGCTTATGTATTCAAAATAGTGAAGCACAATAACCCTAAGAAAGGGTTATTAAGAAAGCGAAGAAAACTTAAAATTCCCAGGCACTTGATTGTAACCAAATGTAGAATATAGTCATTGACTGGGTCAAAAAAGGCAACATTCAATATGTGAAACATAAAAGCACAGGCTCCCAGTTTCCATTCAGAGTAAAGCATCCTCAGCATGCATATATCAAAGATATAGTCCCAAAGGAAAATCGCTAGTGGCTGGTATTTGCATTTGCACACTAACACATGCTACAGTAAAGTGATCGGTGAGTACCCACATGAAGACATGAAATGAGCAGGACCAGAATGAGGTAGAGACCGTTCTGCTGCCAAATAATATGGGGAATGTGTGAGAAAAGGAAAGAAAGTGTGAATGGAGGTGAGGCTGGAAGAGTGAGAGGTCAGGTACTGTTTGTTGACAGTGGTCCCCTTATGTTGGCCGTTGATCTTGGATTCAAAAGAGTAGGTGTGGGTCTTTGAGGGGGGGCTCAGAGTCATCCATGGGCAGAACCAGGCGTGTGCCCCTCATCACCACCTCACTGTCCCCGTAGGTCAGCTCGCCGTCCAGCGCCTCAGAGCTCATGGCGCTGGCAAAGCCCCCGCTCATGTGGCCCGAGGCGTCCGTGTCTACCGTGATGTCCCCGTACGCCAGGTTAATGTCATCGCTCAGGATCAAGTCCGAGTCATCGTCCTTCAGTTGTTCTTCATTCTAAAATGAAAAAAATTATAGATTTTTATCCAGGAGTTTTCACGTTTGTTCATACATGTTTTCACGTCCGAAAATAACCATCTGCAAAAACCCGATATGAATCGATACAAGTGAAGGGACTGAAAATTGCCCGCTTTTCACCTTAAATCTCAGATTATTGTCTATAAAGTTATTTATCCTGTAAGTAACTACAGAACCACTTTGTATGAGTATGTATGTTTGTAGTAAAACTCCAACATTGAATAGCGAAGCCTAATCCGAAACCAATAACATCAGACTAATAACTGATGCATTTTTCCAATATCAGTACCTGTGCATCTAGTTGTCACAGCCATAACAAATGAACAACAATTACATATGGAATATTATAGGGAAAAGGTTGAGAAAGAGAGAGGTAAGAATACTAAGTCTGTTACCATCACCAAAATCCCCATTTGGGCTTTGTTTTACAAATATATGTGTCTGTGTTTCTAACCTCAAAGGCCTGAGGGCTGGTGAGGAAGCGGGCCAGGGGTCCACAGCAGGGAGGCAGCGTGGCTGTGAGTGGGGGCCCACTATGAGTCAGGATTGGCTTCAGGTAACTGAAGAAGTCACAGTTAAGGACATGTCTAGAGCAACACAAGACATCATGCAAAGGCAAGGAAATCCTCATGATATAGAAGACTGCAGCCTGTTTGAATCTGTGAAACTCCAATAATGGGGAGAGTGCCGAGGCCACAGAGCCATAAGATAAACTTTATCCATCACCACATTCATAGTAATAAATCCAAACTGACGTGGAAAGTGGACACGTATCACGCATGATGCTCTGTGAATTTGCTCTGGTAACAATTGCCAACAGCAGAACACTGGCACATGAAAGTGGATCTGGGCAATCCCTCAGAACACGCTCGTCTTAACTCTGACTTTGAGGTACAAATAACGTGTTCAGATGACTTCAAATTAAATTGCTGTGGTTCAATCCTCCTTTTACTCAAAAGGAAACACGATGATGTACCTTATATCGGCTACGTATTAAAAGTGGCGCACATGATTGGCCCACGCTGGTTTCCCCTCTGAACCTGAATTTACCCCACTCCGGATCAGAGTGGCCCTGTAGAGCCTGTTACCACGGCGACTGACACGCAACTGTACCTAAACTCTTCAGAACTTACACCAAACCATACTGTCTTCTAGCAGCAGGCCTCGGGTGAAACTGGTTAAATTACATTATCCTTAAAAACTTAATCTATTTCTGTAAATCACCTTCAAATATGAAACTAAAATACAATATGTTATTTCAGATTTTTATTTGTTCAAAATATTCAGTTAATATTTGCAGATTTGTTTTTATTTGAGGGGGTTTTAAAGCTTGTCAAAATGTTTAACACTATAACAAATAAAGACTATATCTCATTTTGCATGTAATGAGTTTGTGGTATATTAAGTTATGAGTTTCACATTTGAAGTTGATTTAAGTAAGAAAGTAATCTTCATTTATATACCGCCTTTCACAGACCAGTCACAAAGCGGTTTACAATTGTTATTTTTGGGCATTTGTCTCTCACTCCACACAGAGATGGGAGCAGGGTCACCAGTACAGCAGGCACATGTCAGACCTATTGTACATGTTTTTAGTGGTAGGGGAAACCAGAGCACCCGGAGGAAACCTACGCAGACACAGGGAGAACATGCAAACTCCAATTAGAAAGGCCCTGTTCCGACAGGGATTCAAACCCAGGACCTTCTTGCTGAGAAGCGAGAGTGCTATCCACTCAGTCACCGTGCTGCCCATTTACAGAAGTAAACAGACTTTTGAATGATATTTTAATTTCCCGTTTCACCTGTGTGTCCGCTTTGTGTTGCATGCACTCCCTCTGCTGTTTCTAAATGCAAACTACATGTTCCCTCCAGACACAGTTCAGTCCTTTCAATTCTTTGACTTATTAGAAAGGATACTTGTGGTCAAAGTTGTACCAAATCCTGAAAAACCAAACGCTCTCCTGTTTGGTGCTTATTTTCTCCGGACCCTCAACTAAGCCCATCTGAAAAAAAAAAAAAAAACAGAAGAATGTGGGTTTCTGTGCCAGGTTTGGTCATTGCACCTTTCACAAAACACACTTACCGAGTTATCCTGGTCAGAATCTACACCCACTCTGAAATAATGCACACAAAATCATTATGTTCACGAAGGCAAGATCAGCAAGAAGAAATGTGAACATGACTTTACCAATAGGCAAAAATAGTCAGTTTAAAAAGGACAGCTGACACATCCTTCCTAGTTTCTATGGTGACAGTCAAAACTCTCAGTTTATAGACATTTCTCTAATTCAGGAGCCAATCCACAAGGAATAAACAGAACAAAAAAAGTTCCACATCTTCTTTGTCAGTACATATCAACTACCATGTTTCTATGGTCTAATTATTTTCTCATAAAAGCTGTCCAATAGTGGTGACAATATTGAAAAGATTCAAAACATATGCATGATGTTTGCCAGTAAGACATAAAAATAACATTGCAAGTTCATGAATCTAATCAAATCTGCCCTCCACTTGAAATACTATTCCAGGAGATTAACACATTGATTAAAAAAATATATACACACACACACACACTTGTAAATCAGTTTTTTTGTGTTTTTTTTTTTTTTTTTTTAAAAGGTACCTAATGCGCTGACAGGACAACATCTGAGTGGTGCCTCCTCCACAAATCCACACGGTGAAAAACACAATGAGAAGCGTGGTGGAGAACATCATCTGTCGAGCGTATGTGGCGGTGTCGCGAATGGACAGAGCAAAGGTCATGGCTCCTCGCAGTCCTGAAACCATATTTCACCACACATTTATTCCCCCGTTACTGATTATCCAAACGTGATATTCCTCCATAGTCTTACCTGCGAACATCATCATGTGTTGGAAGTTGGACCTAATCTTGTGGCGTCTTCCCAGATTAAGCAGCAAAGACAGGGGGTAAATGTTTGCAGCTCTTCCCACAAACACGGCCAGCTGAGAGACGTGGGTAAAGGAAGCAGAAAACAGCAGCAGCACCCGGGGAAAAAAACTATCAATCATGAAATCAGCTAAACAGAGGCACTTTTGGTTAGAGAGGTTTCACTTTAACTCATCATCAACAACAACAACAGAGCTTATTCTGACTGATCCGTTCAACTAACATGTGCTCATTTTAGTTCACATTCATTATCGTTTCCCATATACTTATAATGTGCAACTATGAACTTTTATCATTCATAGTCGGATGTAAACTAAGAACATTTATTGGTTACCGTTTACAGGCTGAAGCAGAAGTTTTACTCAAAGTTGTTCAGAAGTAATAACTAGTACTAATTTAAAAGTGTCTTCACTGGTATCAGCAGATATCAAAAGTATTGGTATTGTAAATCTGATGTGTTTTCAAACCTGCCCGTTTTCTCTCAGGGATGTTTAAGGATACAAAAGCTCCGACAATGAACATGGGATTGAAGACATGGTTCTGGAAGGTGAAAAGGGCCAGACCCATGTAAGAGAAAATGAAATTCTCTGCCAGGAAATCGAGTAATTCAAAGAGCTGCAACACAAAACAAAGAATACACTTTGTTTAAAGCAAGGAAGGTGAGTGCTGCAGAGGGTACGGGTGGTAGAGGGCTTAACACACAGGTGCTCTTCAAAGACAGGGCAATCTAAGCCGATTTAGGATGTCAAAAAGAGAAAAAAGTCTGAGGCATTCTGTTGTAGTGAAATACAAGTCCTTTATTAAAATGGACTGCCTACGCGTTTCGCCCAAAGGCGGTCTTTGTCAGGGCATTTCTGCCCCTAAAAAAATCTGCAAAGAATACATTTTATTAATTTTACAAATGTTAAATGCATGTTCAAAACGATGGTAAACGTGTATAAAATCAAGCATTTCTTTCCACTGCAGCGTTTTAACCTGCTTGGTCCGGTCCTGCGACTCTGGAGAGAGGTTGTTGAAAGTGTAATGGGCCTGAGTGATCCCACAGAACAGCACGGCTACAACACCTGAGGATCAAACACAGTAGTAGCCTTCAGAGTAAATGTGAGCAGTGGAAGTCCAGTGTGGGGTTGGAGGAAATGTTACCAGTAAATCCACAGGCCTCTGCTAACAGAAATGTACTCCAGGACATGAGGAAGAACAGAGCCGTCTCCAGCAGCTGGAAATCCCTCAGCTTGGTGAACTTTGTTACGTGGAGACAGATGTCAAAGAGAAAAACTTCATACTCTATGTTGACCATAAATAATGTTTTTTCGGGGACAACAAAAAGGATATGAGGGCTGTAACAATTCCGGTGGCCACTCCTAAAGCAAACGATCCACTGAAGACTCCAAGAAACATCCCAAATGATTTGAGCAAAGCCATGCCTTCAAACGTGTGACTGTTGTCGCCGGCTGGCTGGTACGCTACTATAGATCTGAAAAATGCATATAAGAGGGGAAGTGACAATAGTAGTAGACAACTGTCCCCAAAATAAAACCAAAGAGAAAATACATCTATTTGAATCAGCTGGACTGAAACCAGATTGTACACACATTATTCAATTTGAAAGAGTATTTTACATGTGTGTGCAAATTGGAAAAAACTGTTCAGTAAATTACCAAAATCTTGATATCGTAGCCACTGATAGATACTATGGCAAATTCACCAACCACTATGAGGAATTTACACCATAGGCCTTACAACGTATTTTAACCTATGGTGATATCTACTTAGTAGTGTTATACGTGCGCAAGACGGACGTATTGACGCGAGGCTGCGCCTAATTTAGAGTGGATTTCAAATTTTGCTCACACGGTGACACGGCTCCCAGTCAAAACACATGGGAAACATGTATCTGCTAGCGGCCCTTGGCTCTAGATTATCAGATTATCATTGGCAGGTTTTACTGTGATTCTGGACATGTTTTTTTTTTCTTTCATAAAGTCTCAGCGCTGACCTGACCGGCTCACAGAGACCAGGACAACAAATTCATGTGTTTTTTGTTCTCAGTTCTCTGGCTCATATTCTCCTTTAACCTTCTCCATAGACTACACAAGGACGGCATAAGCAGCCACGTCCCTGCGCCTCGAGCCGTGTGCACTCAGCCAGCGCGACAAAGATTACGTGCTGTGAACACCTACTGTGTAAATTCCTCGTTAGACTTACGAAGACAGGACGACAGCGACAGCATCATTGAGAACGCTCTCGCCAAACAATAACGCATACAGGTCTGCATCAACCTGCAGCTCATGGAAAATGGCCAGGACAGTCACTGTGAATGAGAGAAATACAAGTGCAATACAGTGTAGATATATATATTGTAGTAGTAACAGCATCTGCATTTTTACCAGGGTCTGTGGCTGAGACAATGGCTCCAAAGAAAAGGCAGTCAGTGAAGAAGAAATCTCCCCCGAGTTGTCCGACCTGCTTCATGAGGGTCACAGTGCCATACATCAGCAAACTAGCAAGGACAAAAAGAGGGGATTATTATTTACTCAACAACACAACAGAAGGAAACAGAAAACAATCATTATACCCTATGATGAACGTAGAAATTACTGTTCCCAGAAAAGCATAGGCCAAGATGGATCCCATATTTCGAAAAAAGTGCCTCTAAAATAAGAAAATCCAAATGGAATTTACAGAGTCAAAACATTTCAGATAATTCAATAAATTAAATACTGTACCCGTTTCAGACTATAACCAGCATGAAATATGATGGGTGGCAGAAGGATATTGAAGAACACCTCAGGGTCAAATGTCACCTTTAATACAGACCAAAACGTTATCACAATACCCATATTGTCTCAGATGACATAAGGAAAAATATTAGAAGATTTAATTGGCGGAAAAAAATCTAAAGAAGTGCGCAAGAATCTGACCTTACGGAGCATCTCATTCTCATTGTCTGACATATCATCCAGTTTGTTTCCAGTGGAGCTGATGACCCTTTTCAGAGTGTACTCGTAGAACTTGCCACTGACATTGACCAGGACGGTGGCAGGGCTGGCATTAACGTTACAGTTCAGAATAACATTGTCACCATCTCGAGGCATGTGGATCCCATACCGCAAGACCACACCAACCAGGAGCCCTGCAAGAAAATGAAGAAGAGCGTGCTAAGGGCGGACAGTTTGAAAGGGAATTCTTTAATCCATTGATTGAAAGAGTCTGAACTTTATGTGTCGTGATCGTCTGACATGATTAACTTTTCTGATAATTTGATATAATAATGCTTTATTTTACATACTAAAATAATACTAGTCAAGTTAACGATTCCATTTGTGCAGTGAACAAATCTAACCACAACATGCAGTCTCCACCTTTAAAAAAAACATTGTATTTTAAATACTAGTAAGACAGAGCTCTGCCAATTACAATTTGACGCTTTGGACTGAGGGGTGAATGAGTGTGCTCGCCTGTTTTTCACTGATCTAAGGATATGATATGGGCAAAAATGACATGTAACGCTATGTGAAGACTAGTGATGGAAGCAAACCGTTTTGGAGTGAGAATTAAAAACATGGTTTGAACATTAGGTATCCCAGCTTTAATGTTTATAGTTGAATTGTCAAAATTAGTCGACTAATCAATACGATGGTCATAAAATAAAACGCAGGTGAGTCCTTACCATAAATCATTGCCAGCCCAGTTTCGTGGAGAAACCTGAAGCGACGATGTTTGAAGAGCCATATCGTGAGGATGGTGAGGGTGAGCAGTAGGATGAAGATGAGCAAATCTGCGCTGTCCTGTCTGTGGCTCGCCTCGGCTCTTTTCTCTGTAACTATGTTCTCCATGGCACTGTCCTCCTCCTCCTGCGCTGATGAAGATGCTACTGCTCCACCAACACACAAGCACACGCACAGGCTGAGCGCCGCTAGCAGACCCCGGGGAAACACCTTGGTTCTCCTCCGAGCGCCTCTGGTTCTCACAGCGGAGCTCATCGCAGCTGAACCGCGCTCTGGAGCCGCGGTGGAAGCAGTCAAAGCACTATTTCGGCCTCATGCAACACAGCGACCCGGGGGGCAGCAGGCAGCAGACAGCTCCACTTCAGAGCTACAGCAACCCGGAAGTGGAGAGTTAGCTTAGCTTTCAAAACAAAAGCGAACTCCTATTGCCATCTATAGATCCATGATTACCATGCACATGCACTGTCAACATCAAGCAATACTAGAAAACTGGAACCGAACAATACGGAAAATCATATCGTTATAGTTACATATATTGTGCTGTCAATTATGATTAGACGAAAAAGGAAATGATAACTCAAAATTTAGCAATCACGTGACGCCCGTGAACGCGCATTCCCTGGAACGCGCATCCCCGAGTACTGTCCACGGTACCATCGCTTGTAGCTAACAGAAGCTGCGGTGCACCGTCGGTGTTCGTCCATATTCCCTGAGCATTTCACAAAACATACAATAGTGTGTTGTCCTTGCAGCCGCACTGTTAAAGATGACGTCCAAGATTAAAGGTACTGTTGTGTGCTTCCTGTGTTTTGAAATGTTCGCCAGAGCTAGCTTAGCTAACGCTAGCTATCATAGCTCTCACCACTTTGTAAACAAACGTGCATTCCATATGTGTTTTGGTTGATTGCTAAAATTCTCCAACGCCACATCTAGCATATTCGTTAGCCCAGTTGTATTAACCGCTAATAGTCTCAGTGGTCCAAGTGATTATAATACTGAAGCCAGGATGAAAAAGGAAACGTTGTGCTCCAAAATAAATAGGGGTTCTTTATTTCACTTGACAAAACCACCAAACTATCTGTGTCAGTTAACCTCTAACCTAAGTAAACGGCAGTGGTACCTCTATAACTGGACAAAACTACACATACAGTCCACTGGTTATATGTCATTAAAATGTTTACATTTTAATGTTTACATTAAAATGTAAAACAAGATGAACAAACAGAATACAACAATACAGATTGTCTCTTACCAAATATATTGTTGAGAAGGATGTGAAGTGAGGAAGTGTGCCCCAACAGCTTTCAGTTAAAACCAACCCGTGTGAGCTGTGCGTTACTATGGTAACAGTCCAGTTTGTTATTATTTGAATCCTAAATACACATGGCACTGGCAACCCCTTGTGACACAAATAAATAACAAACAACCACTAAAGAAAAATAAAGCACAAGCTTTTCTCAAAATAAGAAATGTTTCTTCACCTGGTTACAATACATTGCCTAATGTGACACTAGCAATGTAAATATTCAGAATTCAACTATGGCATAACTACCACAGAAGCCAAGCAATATATTGCTTTTGTTTATTCACAGGTTAAGGATGATATGGAATCCAGATTGTTGTTATTATGCAAGTTTGCCCTTTGATTTGTCGTGAAGTTTTCGCACTAGTTCTTCTGCCTAGTGCAGATGAAGGTACAAAACCGGTCATTGATTACCTGTAGTTATTTTTTCTTGGTAAGATTTTATGAAGACCATAGCAGAATTTACACTGTAATGGAAAAGTGGGGATAGACCGGTCTTGTAGAAATGGGCTGATATGATTTAACTTAACAACAACTTATTTATGTATTTAAATTATAATTTTTGTTTTACATTGTTGTATTTAGTTGGGAAGACCGGCTCCAAAAACAAGGAGGATGCCCCCTATGAGCTTGAGAGCCAGTTTGTTTTGCGTCTGCCTACAGTAAGTCATATCACTTAAGATGCACAGTTGAGTGTTTGTGCTTGTATTAAGGTTTATTTGCTTTTACAGGAGTATGCCTCGACAGTGAGAAGAATTGCCCAGTCGAGCAGCATGAACATGAAGGACAGGCTTACTATTGAACTCCACCGTGAGTAAATGCTACTTTGAATGCTGCTCAACGTACTTTCTTACTCGTAACTTTTTCGCAGTTTAGAGTCATTTAGATCACATTTTAGATGTATTTTCATGTGCGCAAAAAAGGATGTCTATTATCTACACAATGATGAATGTTGAATTCAACGTGTTAAACTTCACTTTGTAAAATGTATTAGTGACTAATTGCATTTCACTTTAGTTTTCTGTCCAATCAGCAGGTGATTCTTTGGTAGACTTTTTTTTTTAATATAAGTTTTGTTTATTTTATTTTGTAATGTGTACAACACTAATCCACCAATCAAATAACACAACATTTGAAAAGAAAGTACATGTTTAAAAGATCTCAATTACAGTAGCTCGTGCTTTTGTAATGTGTGTCTTCTCACGGGTCTAATGTTTGGTCTGATTTACAGCTGATGGACGGCATGGCATTGTGAGAGTCGACCGTGTCCCTTTGGCGTGTAAACTTGTAGACCTTCCCTGTATGATCGAATCACTCAAAACTGTTGACAAGAAGACATTCTACAAAACAGCTGATGTTTGTCAGGTACGGCTGAGTAAATCAGAAACTTTATTTTTTCTATTCCACCCCCCCACTGCGTGAGTATGCAACAGTACTTCCCCTCTTCCCCAATGTCCCACATGAGATCTATGCAAAGTGCTCCTCTGTGTCTGCTAACAGTACTTTCTGCATAAGCCATAGTGACAAAGGAAAGTTTATTTAATTGATTTTGACCTGTAGTTTGTCCATGTGTCCTCTGCTGATTAGTGCTCCGGGGGCGTCAATGCAAACTCTATTAAGCCCCTTCCAAAAGGCTGTCTGTGAATTTGACTGTAGTCCACAGCCCAGCCTTTAGTACAATATAGTGTAGGCTTTCATGCATTTATCCCGCTGAATGCACAAAACTTCTGTTCTAAGACATTATTCAATGGTGGATCACTGACTTCCTGACGGATAGGAAGCAGCGAGTGCGTCTGGGGAAGAATGTCTCGGACTCTCGGATTATAAATACAGGAGCCCCACAGGGCTGTGTTCTTTCTCCCCTGCTCTTCTCCCTGTACACCAACCACTGCACCTCCAGCCACGACTCCGTGAAGCTGATCAAGTTCGCGGACGACACCACCCTCATTGGACTCATCTCCAACAACAATGAGTCCGCCTACAGGAGGGAGGTGGACCGGCTGGTGTCCTGGTGCAGTGGTAACAACCTGGAGCTGAACGCCCAGAAGACAGTGGAGATGATTGTGGACTTCAGGAAGAGCACTGTCCCCCCGCCCCCACCCTCCGTGATGGACTCCCCCATCACCTCTGTGGAGTCCTTCCGTTTCCTGGGCACCACCATCACCCAGGACCTCAAGTGGGAGCCGACCATCAGCTCCCTCATCAAGAAGGCCCAGCAGAGGATGTACTTCCTGCGGCAGCTCAGGAAAGCCAAGCTGCCTGCACAGATGTTGGTGCAGTTCTACACGGCCATCATCGAGTCCATCCTCACCTCCTCCGTCACCTCCTCCATCACCTCCTCCATCACCGTGTGGTTCGCTGGAGCCACAGTCAGGGACAAACAGAGACTACAGCGCATTGTGCGCTCTGCAGAGAAAGTGATCGGCCGCAGTCTTCCATCGCTGCAGGACCTGTACGTCGCCCGAGCTCGAGGCCGGGCTGGTCGTATCACAGCCGACCCCTCTCACCCTGCACATGGACTATTCCAACCACTCCCCTCAGGCAGGAGGCTGCGGTCCATCAGGACTAGAACCTCCCGCCACAAGAACAGTTTCTTCCCCTCTGCTGTTGGACTCTTGAACACTTCTTAACCTGTCCCCCCGCCCTTTATAAAGTCACTTTACTGCCCATCATACGTCACTTTACTTCACTGTACTGCTGTCACCTTACATTGTGTGCACCATGTGCACTTGTATATTGTAAATAGTAACTGTAACTCTATTTTAAATTTAAATTTATTCTTTAGAAGTGTTTTTTATTCTTATTTTTCTCTCTCTCTATCTCTTTTTGACTGTTGCACTGAGCCAAAGCAATTTCCTAGTCTGTGACCTCCTGTTACTTACGTGGCAATAAAAATGATTCTGATTCTGAAAATGATTCTGATATGACATTAGTTAACTTTTGTTGTAGATGCTGGTCTGCACATTAGATGGAGATCTTTACCCACCCTTAGAGGAACCAACTGGTACTGACCCAAAAACCAAGAAAAAGGACAAAGATAAAGACAAGAAGTTTGTTTGGAACCATGGAAGTAAGTGAACACTGTCTGAGTTGTTGTACTACTTTGTTAGCATCACAGACTTTAATATTAGGTTAGCATATGCTCCCTGTTTTAATTCTTGTTGTCTTTCCCCGTTAGTCACCTGCCCACTGAAAAACACTCGCAAAAGGAGATTTCGGAAAACCGCCAAGAAAAAGGTACTGATTTTTCACATTCCACTTTAATAACCACTTCATGTCTATATCATATTATATTTTAGATTTAATAACGTTTTATTTACCAGAAGTTTACCTTTTTTATAACAGTCATATAATGATTTAGGTTGAAATTGTATTTTTTTTTATATATATACCAATAATGTTTCCATGTTGCCACAAGAGAGGTACTTATTCTGAATTATCTTATATAGATCCTACAAAGTCAGAAGTTTAATTTCAGAAAAAATATCCTACGTCTTCTTACACATATATTCAAATTTACCACTGTATACTATGTTCCCTTTGTGTGTGAGAGGGAGCACTGCACTTCCTATTTTTCCCTTTAAACAATCCAGATGATGTAGATTTGAGCCCTGTCCATTCTGTTTGTAATCACTAATGTGCTTTCTGGCAAGTTTCCATTAGAGACTGTGTGATGAAGATTTACAGGAGGGCATTGGGATATCTTTAATACCATATGTAACTAAATCTTTCTCCTGCAGTACATTGAATCTCCTGATGTGGAGAAGGAAGTGAAACGACTGCTGAGTACAGACGCCGATGCTGTTAGTGTCCGTATCCTTCCAATATTTAACAAGTTACATTTTGACAATGCTTGTTATTGTATCAGAGTACCCATACTTTCTGACATCTTCTGAAAAAAAGTTTTTGAGAAAAGTCTGGTGAGCAAGCCCCAAAAGTTTAGATTTTGAATGCTCTGTAAAAGTGTGACTCCAGGACCTTAACACACATTTGCAGGATGGGAAGTCATTGCTGAAGATGAATCCAAAGATGCAGATCAGCACGGCTCTTTGGGAAACCTGGACTCTTCACCTGGCACCTCAGGGCACAAGATGGGCCATGGACAAAGTGGTATGATCCTGTTTATAACCTACAGCACAATGATTACTCAAAATAAAGCCAACCTTTTGTGATAAAGAATGGTGTCCCATTATAGGCCTAAGTGCCATTGAGATAATTGTTTCCTCAGCAGATCATAAACCTCAGCATGTCATTAACAAACATATTTAACATACTCATTTAGGCAGCTGGTTTGGCAGTTACAGAGTGTTTTTGATTAAAACCAAGGTGATTGTTTATGCAGACATTAGTTCAACAACATCATCTTGTGTTTTCTGTTCGCCTTAATATTATTATTAAACCTTAATATTGTAGCAGGAAAGTCTTCTTTCCTTCGATGAAATCCACGCTGAGAGCAATGCCCTTTGCCTGAAGGAAGGAGACCACCTGTTCTTCTGTATTTAAGGCTTGGCCGATTTGAGGGAAAAAAGGCTTAGAAAGATTTCTTTGTTCATCTTCATCACTTAGGTGATGTAATAACTTTGACAGGTGTATAATTACTTGCATCAGGAGCGCCTGGTTCGTATAGCGTGCTTAACCAGTGCTTTTTTTCTTTAAACATTTTTCACTTCAGAAAACATAAACACGAACAAGTGGCCTGTGCAGTGATCCCTTCGTGTTCACAAGTGTTTCGATTACTCCTTCAGTTAGCCGTAAAGGTTAACCTTCACTTTAATACTGTCCACACGCGCCTTGTCACTGGGGATAACCTCTGCTCCAGGAGTGTGGAAATAAAGGCTTTCCACTCAAGCATCTGATAATCTCTGACCTTAGGCTTCCTCCTGCCAGCTCTCGAGGAGCAGCACTGGTCCATGAGAATGGAGATGTCCTGCGATAAACATGTATGAGTATCTAGCCATGGTCTTTTGAGATGTTTCAAAGAGAGATGATTCATACGCTGTCACTGTACACAAGCACATGAACAATGTCCTTTCTTAATTTACATATGTGTCTGTGCAATGATGCTGAGTCCTTTTTGTTTTCTTTTATCTATGACCAAAGTAAGTAAAGAATATTGGTTGTTTTACCACTGGCAGATAAACAGAAGGTGTCAAGGGTAATGTTAGTTTTAAAATCAGAAGAATAACAATGTCTCAAGATGAATCGAAGGGAGCGCAATTATCACGTGACTTAAAGGTTCCCTTTTTAACTCTCAGCTTTGATGCGGTTTCGTCTTTATGAACTCCCTCGTGTACCCCCCGTGTGTCTTACATGAGCAGCACAACGCGACGAACTGAGGGAAATCTTCAACGACATTAGCAGCTCCAGCGATGATGAGGAGGACGAGGGGGACCGGCACGAGGACGAAGACCTCAATATCATCGACACTGAGGATGATCTGGTGCGGCAGCTACACGACAAACTCAACGAGTCGGACTCTGCGCAGAACGAGGCCGATCAGACCAACCAGATCGGTGAGGATATGAGTGCAGGCAGCTGGGGGCTCTGTATGTGACTTTGAGCATCTCTCAGAAGTGCAGAGTCTCAGATATATAGTACATAGAATCTATTAAATCTCACTACTGATCTAAAACTATTAAGCACAAAAACATCAGCTCACTACTAAATGTTGTTATGAGTGTGTTTGAACAAATTTACATAACAGAGAAGTGATGTACAGATTTTTTTAGTGTCTGTGCCACACTACCACCAAGGAATGAAGAAAGAACAGCGGCTTTGAATGTAATCAACTATGAATTGATATAAATAACAAATAAACTATAAATTACATAAACTCTGAAAATTAGAATACTCTTCAACTTAAAATGTTAAATCGGTATATGATTTAGACTCATTACAAAGTGACATATGCCAAGTCATATGGCATGTCATTTATTTGTTATGTTGATGATTATGGCTTACAGTCTGTTTTAAAAAGATGTTGATACAAGTGAGCCAATTATCAACATTATAACAAATAAAGGCTTGATATATCTCACTTTGCCTGTAATAAGTCTGCCGTATAGTAGTTTACATTGTTGAATTACAGAAGTAAACAGACATAGACAACATGAAGCCTTGGCTCCAGCAGCAGCAAAGCAAGAGCCTTTTCTAATGTGTCCAGGGCAGAGTATGTTTTGGCACCCTTTAGGAGTCTAATGGATGGGTCTGCTGGGATTCTTCTTGGCAGCTTTCTGCACATTAAAGTCGTCCAAGAGGGTGTGGAGAGGAACACTAGATGGATCAAATTATTTTAGTGGTGATTGGATGGTGAAAGAAACCACAGGTTGTCGCTTTCTTTAGATTTGATATGGCTCTGTGTAGTCCAGTGCAAATTGATAATGGTTAAGTGGCTTTGTAGTCTGCTAGCTCAAATGTGTGACAGTTAAAGTACGCTTTTCTCAAAGAATGGGAAGACATTTGACTTCCAATCTGGCCTTATTTTCTATAGTTTATTTCCTCCACTTGAGGAAGAACTTTGCTGCGTGATCTGTAGCTACATCAGAAGAAAAAACTGGTTTTGAACAAAACATTTGTCTCTGCGTTTTTCAAATGTATTTTTGTTTTCTGTCGTCTAATCTGTTTCTGCAGTAATGGAATATCAGGTGCAGATGAACAGTATCAAGGCCAAGCTTCAAGAAACCCGCGCCCGAAAGAAACAGCAGGAGGAGCTCATCATGAAAGTGGAAAACCAGGCCCTCAAAGTAAGACTCGTTAGAGAAAGTAGGTCTGCAAGTGTCCAACAGAAATGACTTTCAGATGAGCTTGGAAGTAAAAAGCTGCGTATTAAAATCAAGTGAGATTGTTTTTAATCTCCTTTGATTCATTGTGTATATGGAATGATGAGCTGCTCGTCCTTGCAGTCCCATTTTGGATTCTAGTTGCCTGTGGGTGAAGCTCATCTTGTTTTTATCACACGCACAAGAAAAAGGTCAGCTGCCTGTGGCTGGCATTCCAAGTGGCCTTTCTGTTGGAGTGACATGAGCAATCAAGGCAGTGCCTAATTTAAGACCATCACAATTTAATGAGGCTCAGTGTGTCTGCTCTAAAGACCCTTCTGTCTCTTCACAGAACCGTTTCCAGGCCTTGTTGGATGAGATTATTCAGCAGGAAGAACGAGAAATGGAACAAGTAAGATCATTTTAGTAAAATGCCAGCAACACTCCTGCTTGACAGTGTCTCTGTTCATTAGCTCTCAGCGACCATTCTCTTGTTTGTTTTGGATTCTGTTCTGTTTTTGACCACCCCATGTGACACAAGATGGCATTCACACTTGTCAAATGAAGGCCATGATTTAATGTGAAAAATCATGATAAGGCAAATAATACCCCAAATGCAGTGGTCAGTGGGATATAAACTGCTTTTATTCTGTTCCAACAGCTGGCCTCACTGCAGGAGCAGCTGGACTCTCTTATAGAGAAGTGACCAGCAGGTGGCAGTCTTACGCCTTGTTCCCAGTCGCTGTGAGATGGAAAAGTTATGTGAAAAATCTGTTGTTGTGTTGTGCTAATGGTGTTTATAAAATGTATTTCCTTCATTTTGTATAATTTGTCCATCTATTGTTTGTTTTCTTTAGTTAATAAAACAAGAAATCCCAATTTGTCTATACTTGTGTCTGCACATTTATTACTGCTACAAGTGACACATTGGATTTTGCAGGAGACAAAGAATGGTCTTGCTGAAGTGACCTAACTGTATGAATATGAAGGATCTGATATTCCAACTTATTTCATTGGTTTAGGGCTGGCATGTCCAAACTAAGGCCTGCGGGCTAATTGCGGTGCTCTTTTATCTTATGTCGGCATCTGCCTTGTTAACTTTAAATAGTCTTTTAGATCATAAACAAGTTCAACTCAGTCAAAAGGGGCACGTTACACCTTGTTGTGAAGCTCAGAACCTTGAGAATTCAGCAACTGACTTAATTTGAATACACTGACATCTATGTTTGAGTCACAAAATTATGCAGATGGCACTAAAGTAGCTGATAAGTCAAGTTTGTCACTGTCAAAATATAGACATGTCATACGTCATGAACAGCCTGCATCCTGTCAAATTTTACATTTGACAGGATTTTACAATCCATGTGGTCGCCCCTAGACAAGTCTGATGAACTAAAGTGGGTCTTTTGCTGGAAAGTTTGGGCACCCCATGTTTAGGGTTAAGGTTAGGGCTCATACAGTAAGAATAGGGTAATGGAGTCCAGTATCAACTTGTAACAGTGATCATGGAGTTAATGACTTGATTGGTGATAGTAGATTGTGCATATGAATATATAGATGCATATTTCTATCTTTTCTGACACATTTGTTCAAGAATCTTCTGGCACTTTCTTTGTAGCTTAAACCTTTTCCCCTTTTGGCCTGTGGTCATCCCCCTGGCTCCATCCTGAAGGAATTGCCCTACCAATGGCAGGAGAAGGCTGGGGATTAGTTTGTCAGATTAGAGCGACCATCTCCAAACCGGGATAATCCTTCCATCTGTCAGAGAGCAGCTAACAGCCAAGACTCTCTCCACTGGGCTAATTAGAAAGCCACAAGGACAAACACCAGGGAAAGAAAAAGCAGCTCTTTTCTGTCTGGAGTTTTCACAATGGAGGACACATATCTTCTTAACCACCCAGGAGTGAAGAAGAAGATCCTGGCAGGAGGCACAGGACCCCTCCCACATTTCCCTCCGGGCACCAAGGTTAGTCAGAAAATCAGAAATGTAATTATTACAACATTAAAATAATTACCCAGGCTTTGTGACGATGAGTTATATCTGAGGCTTATTCCTTTGATGCATTCTGCACAGAAAACTCTATTTTTAGTTTTGTGAGCCATTGTCCACATCAGTCAGACTTGTTTGAATTATTCATAAGGGAGGAATATTCTTCGGCCCATTCTCACAGAGCTAACATTTGGCCAACCAAATTGTAACATGTTTTTGGCAGTGTGTGTCTGATGTGCTGGACATGGACTCTTCTCCTTCCCGCTCACATTCTGCATGTGGCACCAAGCCTGGACGCACTGACAAACATTTCCAATCCCTGGACAATGCCAGCAGGAGTGTGCAGCATTACCTGTGTGGCTGCATGATAATGTGTTTTCTCCCTGGGGCCTTTTTCTCCTTGCACGCATAATCACCATGATTATACTTCCAGTTCCAGCCATATTATCCTGAAAATTGTGTTTTTGTTGAGCATTTTTTTTGCATCACATTCCGTTTGTTTGACCGACTGACTGTTTCACAATGTGCTCTAATGTATGTCATCTAGTGCCTTGCAGAAGTGGCAACAGCTTGAACTTACTGTTACTTAACTCAAGGACCACAACAAAGTAACAACATACAACTGAAGACAAACTGATACATGATTTTGTTTAGTTTAAAACAAATAAAGTGAACTGACAGTTAGTACTTTGTGTAACCTCCAAGTTGTTTTGGGTTTGACTGCAAACACATCGAGAGGCTGATAGTTTATTTATTTATTAGTTTATTAGTTTATTTGAATAGGGATAAGAAAGAATAGTTTTTCTCATTCTTTCTTATACACAAACACAAGTGCTGTAATTTTAGATTGAACAGAAGTTTTCTCTAGGATTTAGGTTTGGACTCATAACATGAATGTTTATTTGTATTTTATTGTATGAAAGTTTGGAGGAAAAGCAGCCCTATAAATGATTATGTCCATAAAGAAGTGAACATTATTCCATTTAGCTCTGCTTTATCCACTGCCGGGTGGCAGGGACAGCTGTTTAAGCAGAGACTTCCTCCAGCTCATTCTCTGAATCTCGTTCCAGGCCAATGATTGACTTTGAAATAATATTATAGATCCATGGAGTGGAGGGACTCCAACATGTCCAAGGTCATCCTTGTGGTCTGCTTTCAGTAGGACATGCCCTGGGCAACTGCCCTATAGGCGCCTCTTGACATGAGGACAAACGACTATACTCCGAGCTCTATTTCAAAGGCGATCATTGTTCATCCAAGAACATTGACCGTTTATTGTAAATACTTTTTTGTCCAAAAGACACTAGCTGATGCTTTATCTTAATAAATATGTTTTTTTTCTAGCTGGTGTTTCACTTCCAAACCCTTTTGGACGACTTTGAACGAACGGTTATAGACGATAGTCGCTGTGCAGGTCGACCAGCAGAGATCTTTGTTGGAAAGATGTTCAAACTGGAGGTGTGGGAGACACTGCTCATGTCCATGAGAGTTGGAGAAGTGGCTGAGTTCTGGTGCGATGCAGTAGTAAGCATGCACACACACACACACACACAAACACACACATATGCACACACACTCGTAAACATACACACACGCATACACAATAGCAGCAGAGGTCTGATAAGAGCGCAAACAGGGGTTTATTAGCATACGCATGAAGCATGCTCCCAGCCTCCTACATGACTCTATAAAAACACACTGTTTATGTGGAAACATTACCATCCACACAGGGCCTCTGTGCAAATGTTGGTTCTTTCCTTCAAGAGAAATGTTTTCATTTGCAAGTAAGATGGTATCCACTTTTTCATGCTTCACTGATTGGTCCAAGCCGACATCACCAGGAGGCTGCTGGCACAATGAAGGGCCTCTTATCAAAAGTATAAGAAGTAGGATCGTAATATCAAAAGATGAAAGAATAGTCACTGTATAAAATCTGAACAAATTGTGGATAGAAACACTTTATTAAAGCTACTTTAGAGTCTGGAAAGTTTTTGATAAGAAGACGCTGATGACCTTCTTTTACAGCACACAGGACTGTACTCCATTGTCTCTAAAGGCATGAGGCTGATTGCTCAAGGCAAAGACCCCCTGGACGGCCAGCGGCACATGTGCGGCATGGGGAACGTCTTCCACTATCACTCCACAGGCTTCCCAGAGCTGGATGAGCTGATGAGGACCCCCCAGCCCCTCATCTTCATCATGGAGCTCCTACAGGTAAACCTTCCCAAACTATGGACTGAACGAGAGTACCACTGAGCTGACATTTGTAGCAAATAGTTTGGCGCTGTCAAAGACCTTTTATTTATTTATACACAATGGTGCATTGTCAGAGACTGCACTGACTAAATCTTTGTTCTTCCTCTTATAACGTGTATCTGTGAAATAATAGATGACCCTGAACTTGTGCCTGATTCAGTTGCTATAACACGTTAACATCACTGTCTGTCTACATTTGTGCAAACTATTATTAATGCTTGTCTTCTCCTCTCACCCTCTTCATCCTTTTGCCGCTGTCATCCACCCCTGCTGTTTCCAGGTGGGAGACCCCATGTCTTACCACAGGGAGTCGTGGATGATGGAGAAGGATGAGAAGCTGCAGATGGTGCCCATCCTGCACATGCAAGGCAACGCTCTGGTGAAGCAGAGGGACTACAGACAGGCCGCCAGCCGCTACAAAGAGGCCGTGCTCCTGCTCAAGACGGTCCAGTCCAGAGTGAGTCCAACCACATGGGACACCGTTTGGAAGGAGAGACGCTTGATGACTTTATCTGGGTCACTAAATTCAGTTAAAAAATGACTTACTTACTTCAAGCAACTCAACTTGAAAATACTTTATCTTAAAATCTGAGCTCCCAATGTATCATGCCACTTAAGTTTATTTCAGACACATTTCCTCATTTAAAGTGAGAAATTGCTGGTAACATTATTGTACTATCATGATTATTTTATCATTTTATTCTTGTTACAAATCATTTTATTAAGATGAGTAACAGTTAGGGCTTTGGCGTGTTGTGGGAGTGTGTTTGTGGTTCTGGATGAGGCGTGAGGCCACACGGCGCTGTGTCTGTGTGCAGGAGATGCCTGGTGATATCGATTACATCAATTTGGGCCGGATGATCATCCCTCTGGAGCTGAACTACTGCCAGTGCATGTTGGAGCTGGAGGAGTTTTATGAAGTCATAGAGCACACCACAGAGCTGCTGGAGAAACACAAAGGTAAGGCCTCCCTCTTGACATTCACCTGTCAGTGGTACAGGCTTTATTGGAATGAGCTTTAATAGAACTGTTAAACCAGACAGGAGAGAACGCAGTGCAGCAACTTCTGACATTTTAATAATTAATCATAAAAGACAAACAGATGATTCGTAGCATATTCAGTAACTGCTAGTTTCTATCCACGGTTACGTGAATACAAATAAAAAGCATAATAATTGCAATACGGAACTAACTTGGCACATTATTTACATTTAGCTAGAATAATGATACTAGTTATTATTATTATTATTGTATCATGAAATATGTAGAGTGTGAGAAAGTGGAGAATAAGCTGGTATTGTTGCAAATTGTTAAAAACAAAACCAGGAATAAATTCAGAATGCTCATTACCATTATCTACAGTATATTATTATATTTAGGAATATGTTTTTGCTGTTAACTACAATGTGGTCAAAGGCTGGGAAATGACCACCTAAAAAACCGTAAATCCTTAGTTTAAAGTGCAAATGAATTAATATGATTTTCTTTTTATATTCATTTGTTTATTTATTTTATAAAACAAACTAATATTTCTTCTTTTAGTTACATGAATTTTGGCCCTTGTTTAAAATCCAATCAATTTATTTTTGTGCCGCCTAAAATCACAATAGCAGTCGTTTTTAGAATTCCACAGAATTGTGCAATTAAAAATCACATGATTAGAATCCAAGAGATTAGAGTCAAAGAATAAAACAAATATAACAGTCATTGAGGACAACAGGAGCGACAGTAGCTCATTTGGTAGAGCAGTGGCCTTTGAGCCTGGAGGTCCTGAGTTCGATTCCCACCATGGGACCTACTCCAACTGCTCCCACTGATCTACTGTCGTTGTGTCCTTGGGCAAGACACTTAACCCCACGTTGCCTGAAGCCCCCGCTGAAAGACCAAGGCTGTTTCACCACTGACGGAGCAGCCATCTTCCTGTGGACTCACCCCCTGCAGAAGATCAGCAAGGGACTGGTGCTATGAGCATTGGGTGGCAGCTCTCATTGTCCCCCTGACCCAGAAATGGACAATAAAGGGCTTGAAAATGAATGTATGAATGAATGAATGAATAACAGTCATTGATCCATGAAAACAAACCAAATGAATAAATGTCCTGGAGTCTTCTGTCTTTGGACCCTTCTCCGTTGGCCCTCTGTGTTTACAAAGTGGTTGCTTAGTAACTACCTTTACCTACTGTAGGTTTTATATCTATTGCAGATGGAAGTAAGATGCTGTGTCAAATAGTATAATTTTACGTCATTAGATATTAGATTCAGATTCAGATTCAGTTTATTTGCCATTTGCAGTAAAAAAAACCACATTGGAATACATTAGTAAAAAGTCTCCAGTGTGCACAGACAAATACAGACATAAAATAACATTAAAAGACAGAAATAAAACAAAACAGTAAACAAATGTCACTGTGAAATCGATCGACTAAAACAGTTTCAAAACAAGTGCAAATCATTAAAGTGCTCTGTTCACACTGATAACAGCTTGTGGATAAAAACTGTTAGCGTAACGAGATGTCCTGCATCTCAGAGAGCGATATCTTCTGCCAGAGGGAAGAAGCTGGAACATGGCTTTTCCAGGGTGGCCAGAAGAGTCATTGACAATCCTAAGAGCTTTGTTGTTAGCTTTACTCCACTGAACCACATTTTGTATCTCTGCTCTATAAGAGGATTCATCATTGTCACTGATGAGAACGATGATGGTGGTGTCATCAGCATATTTGATGATCAAGTTTGAGTCAGCGGAAGACACACAATTTCGAGTGTACAAAGTAAAACGTAAAGGACTCAAAATACATCCCTGAGGAGATCCAGTGCTCACAGAAACAACATCAGAAAAACAGTCATTGATTTTCACTCTCTGAGATCTGTCAGTTAAAAAGCTAAAAATCCATTTACACATGGCAACACTTAAACCGAGGGACATGAGCTTTTCAATCAGTTTACCTGGGACAAGGCAGTTAAAAGCAGAGCTATAATCGATGAAAAGCTATTAGATACATACATTATGTAGATAATGGGTAGTATAAGTTAACTATTTATTATCTAGTCTAACCAGTCATATGCACTTATCGCCTCTGTGACATTTTACTTCTCCCAATGGTGCGTTCAGACCAAACGCGATTTCTGCGGCCAAAGCGGTGGGTCTACATTGACACAACATGGGGGACGCGCGCCAAGGAGCGGCGAGAGATCACGCGGCGCGATTCGCGCGGCCAGAGCGGCGCGAATTCGAGCGTTTCGCGCGAATCGCGCGGCGAGTTTTGAGATGTCAAGCGTTTTGACGCGCGTTTCGCGCGATTCGTGCTTCCAACGCGGCCGCCGCTAGAGTTGAACAATGTTGAACTTTTTGGGAGAATTCGCGTGTGCCGACCAATCAGGAGCTTTCTCCTACAGTGACGTAGTGACGCATTTCACTACCGGAAAAACACTAGTAGATGACAGCTATGGAGGACACGTCAATTGCTCAGGTCGGTGCTCATTCTGAGCTATATAACACTGCGGACCACAGCTACCGGACCGAAATAAAAAGGAGCTTGCTTGGAGGAGGGTTAGCGAGGTGGTTGGTGTCTCGGGTAAGTTATTTTAACTTTTCACTGTTGTAAATATTTCCCCGCGAAAAAAACTACTACTTTCCTGCTTACGAGTTGATGTGTTTATTCAGTGGAAGTTTGCAAAAAGCGGTGGAAGAATCTGAGGGACACATATGCTAAGGAGAGCAGGAAGGAGAAGGAGAAGGTGAAGAAGAGTGGTGCAGAAGCAGGGAAAGGCCAGACGTGGAAGTACCTTGTGGTCATGTCCTTCCTCGAGCCCTACATCACTCCCCGTGACAGCTCCGGGAACATGCCAAGGCGAAGGGCCGAGGAGGAGCAGACCACAGGGTACAACCACCCAGAAGAAGAGCCAGAGGAAGCAGCAGCAGCAGGGCTGTCAGGTGCTGAAGGTCAGTGTCATGCAGCAAACAGAGACCTCGAACAGTTGGAAAAAATACATTTCTTTCCTTTCTATTACCCACATTTTGCTGACTTTTACATTTATATTGCTTTCTGTGTATGCATTTCTTTTAATGCTTTCTTAACATCATGGCCAGGTGAAAATAGGCATTGGCTATTTTCAAACCAGGATAGATCTTGATCATGTGTTGTGTTAAATTTCACTTTTCCCTTTCATATGAACAAATCATTTAAATGTAAATAATAATGTACATTATTATGTACATATAAATGTCATAAGCGCAATGTACACATGATATGAAATAATTGTATTTCTTGTTTTCTTCTGGCGCAGATACTGCCACCACCACATAAGGTGAGACATCTTGGCCTGAGCTGCCTGCTGCTGCTGCTTCTTCTTCCTCAGCCGGTTCTTCTTCTGTGAGGGCTGGACCTTCCCCTGCTTCTGCACCTACAGGTGTGGCTTTTTTTAATCATTGTTTTATTTTTATTCTTATTACAGGAAGTGTCAAGGCACTACAGGTGGAAAGAAGCTTTGGTCTGATACAACACATCTTCCCTCTTTCTTCGATAAAAACATACTACTGAAATACCTTATGCTATAAAAGTACTGAACAAATACATGCAATGGTTGCCACAAGATGGCAGCTATCCTGTTTAATGCAGACAATAGAGTATTACTTTTTTAACAGCCAATTTCAAATTTCATTGCGAAATACACTTCAGAGATATTAGTTTGTAACTGTCGAAATTTGTGCTTGTGTGAGTAATTTCATTGATAACTGCAATGTTCAAGTTAATTGTAACAAACACACAACTTAAAAGTGTTTTACATGTGTTTAACTGTCTACACACTCTGGCTTTAATACAGATATTATTTGCTCTCTTCATTTTGCTTTTTTGAAATACATGTTCCACTTTTTAACACTGTGATTGCCCTGTGTTCTTTGTTGGCGGCTCTACGGACGTGGGCCTCTTCTGAGCCCTCTTCCTTGGTGGGCCTTCAGAGTGGGAGCGGGAGCTGCTGGAGACTCTACGGACCAAAGCAGCCGCACCGCCCCACTACACAGAAGACCATTAGTTCCTGCTCTCTCTCTTTCCTCTCCTGCAAAGGGTGGCACCAGAGTCAAAAGAATTTGTGAAATTCAAAATGTACCAACTTTTATATGAAAGCAGCACCGTTCTGCTTAATTTGGAACCATTGGCCAGTACACAGTTTTTTTGACCTAAGGTGACACCTTTTGCAGGGGAGGAAACAGACATGTGTCCCTTTCCTCTTCCCCCGCACCTCCTCCAAGCAAGCTCCTTTTCATTTGTTTATATGTACATTTAATTTATTTTTCATTGTTTGTTCCTTTTTTTATAAAGAAAATATTTTTCAAACCTCATGTGTTCTACTTCAAGCCAACCATTACTACCTTTCATATAATATTGACAGAAAATGCTATTCTATATTTGTACATTTACTTTTATAAGAGCTGACTGGGTTTTATAGAAGATGGAATAACGAACACTTAAAGAGCGATACAGTAGTTGACAGTATTTTTTATTCATTTCACCTTTTACTGTTTTAACAACCTTGTAATTACGGAAAAGCTTGAATGTGCATTTGATTAACCTGAAGTTGGAGTGGAGTCGCAGTGGAGTCTGGCAGTCATTACCTAGAAACAGAAGGTATACAGGTGAATAGAACAGTGCAAATCAATATGGGTTTGGACTATGGCCAGATGTGGGTCAGTCTTGTGGTGGACATGACTACTCTGTGGGCTGCCACGGCAGTGCTCCCTCCTCACTGAAGTGGGCCATGAACACTTTCCTTATGTCCACTGCTGGCTTCCAGGCGGCCATCCGCTGCACGCCTGGAAGTGGTTCTTCACCGGCAGCAGCTCCCCTCGGGTGCTGGAACCTGCCCATCTCCAGCCATCCTCATGGCTGGAGATGGGCAGGGCGCATTAAATTGCAGCGCAGTGAAAAGGCCTCATCTGCCACGAACACATGGGGCTGGGATCCT